AAATATACTTTTATTTCAATATTTTTTTCATATGTTCAATGTAAAAATAATGGCAGTGAGCGAACTGTTATAATAAGAGTTCCTGTGGATTTTTGGAATCCGGTTTTTTTAACTTAAAAAAATAATATCATCCATTTCGGACCGCGACGCTCTGACCCATTCCAAACGCGGCCAGAGGATTTATAATCGTATTCATTAAGGTATAAATTCCGTGGTGAGTTCGAACCTTTTATTTTTTTGAACCAAAAAAAGAAACTTTGAATTTTTTTCTCTGTAGAAAAATTAAGCTTGGAACTCCTCCCTTCTGGGCTTTCGAGAAGAAAAATTCGTGCTCTTTTAATTTTCATCTGGCAAATATTTTTTTCATTGTGACCCTATTAGATCAATATTTTAATTTCTGAATTTTTGCAACAAATTTTTCAGTAAGTCGAATTTTTTTTAAATTGAAAAGCCTTTGGGAAAGCTTCTAGATAGAATCCTGTGGACTTCTTGGGACGTAAAAAAAGCAAGAATTTTTCAAACTTTGGCCAGTCGTCCCTTAATAAAGATAATTTTAAGTTCGATAAACGTTTTCTCACTTTACGTCATGCCCTAAGGTTTTTTCCAAGTTTCCAAGTTGATTTTGATAACCTGTAACTAAAATCAACAAAAATCAGAGCAATGGTTTTCATTTTCCCTAGACCTCCACGATTTTCCTTTTTTGTGCTTTTTCTCGATTTTTCAATAGTTCCTATTAAGTTTCCAAATGTAAAAAGATCTTCGTAGAGCACTCCTTCGGAATGTAGCTAGATTGGTGTCAAATAAACCAAGAAAAAGTGCACTTTCGGACGTTTGCAAGCTACACAAAAGCTGTGTTTGCTTCTTTTTGGTTGTTTTGAAAGTGAAGAAATTCACGGTTTCCGCCTTTGTTTGTACATAAATACACTGCTTTTGAACTCTCATCTCAACAAAGAAAAGGAAAATTCGAAGTTTTCGAATTCATTTCAACAAATTTTCTCGGGAAACTCCACCGGAATCATTAAAAAAAATTCGATTCAAAAATTTTTCTCATGCATCAATTAACTATTTTTTTAACTATAATATACTTTTTATATGTTGTTAATCGCAATTCGAAACTTTGTGACCGCATTTGGAATGGCTCGAAAAAATGCGTTGCTCTCAAAAATTCGGGTTGATAAGGTCTCAGCGCTTCTTTTTCTTTCCGATGCCTTCGCGCGAAAGCCGTTTTGAGTCGGGCGCGATTCTGAATATCAACATTGCAACCCAGCCATTCCCAATGCGGTCATCCGGCTACAATGTACTGTAGAGTGCCTTGAAACATATTCCACAATTTTTCTGTGAAGCATTTGAAAAATCGTCAAAAAATCCCTCCGGTTCTTTTTTTCTCAATATGTGAAGAAAAGCTCCGTGCTCGGCTTTTGAACTTTTGAACAGCCCGAAAACGACTTTTATTGAATGAAAAGTTTGCTTAAAACGGCTTTTTAGTATCTTCTTTTGTATGTCCGACGAGTGTTCTCTGCTGTCGTTGACCCAAGGAGAGCCCTTTTTTTCGGGGCAACAAATCTTGAAAGGTGTCGGAAATTGGACAAAAAGTGTCAACGTGAAATTTTTTAAATTTTCAAAGTTATTTGGTAAGCTTTTGGAAAAACGTGGAAAAATCTCAAAAATTCAATCACTCGATTTTTTTTCGGATCATTTTGTCTAATTGCTCAATTTCTCATGACTTTGAAGTGCCCGATCGCGTTCGGAATGGCTCGGTTGCAAATTTTTTAATTTTTTAGTGCGACCGACACAAAACGGCTTGCGCGTTGAGACTTTCAAGCTAGGAAAAAAGACTTCAAACTTAGGTTTGATTATCTGATCAGTCCTTTTTGACCTTGAAGGCCATGGTCGCCTTTGGAATGGCTCAATGGCAACTTCTTTGTTTTTAAGTGCGACCGACCCAAAGCGGCTTGCGCGCTGAGGCATTTTCCAATCAAAAACTGTTCATCTAAACCCAAGACCGCCGCTATTTTTTTTTTCTACAACGTCACTTTTTTCCGCTCCTCAAATTTCGATGTTTGCAAAACACCTCGTCGAGATACTCTGACCCCAGGCGCCAGCTATCCGCCAGAAAAAGTCATTTCGCGAGCTCGCGCCCATCAAATTTGTGGCGGTTTCCTGGCGATTCTCTGGCGACATAACCAATAGCGCGAATTTGCTTTTATTACTGTATTTTATATTTCGATCTAAAATTTTGGGACTCGCGTTTTTTGTCTTTTTGTTTTTCTATTTGATTTTTTGCTGATTTCACGATTTTTCAGTGTTCGTTTCCTGTTTTGTCCAAACTAGGGCAAAGGGTTGGTAAATAAGAAAATTCGAATTATTTTCTCGATTTAGTTTCGTGGATGATCAACCGCTCTAAAAGCTTAATGTTTTCATGCTGAAATTCTCTTTCTGTGAGGCTGAAAGAACGACTCCAGTTTAATTAGTAAGTGCTTTCTAATTTTTTCCTCAACTGCTTCCTTCAGAAAAAAAGCATCGTCGGGAAGTCTCCGTTACGGCTGAAGAATGTTTTTTTTCCTCTGACTTGTAAGTTTTGGATTTCATGTAAAGTACTTCATCGATATATTTTCGATCTCACCCGACGGCGTCATGATGTTCATTGCAAATGGATAACGATGTTTGACCAAAATACGGAGAAGGGGTACGACGCAAAATGTCCGCGAAATTTTCAAGTTTTTTTATATTTGTAAACTTTACACGTTCATCAACTTTATGAGCCTCAAAATATCTTGATGCACCCAAATTATTGTAATTTTGTGTCCGCCGTAAATTTTAGCTTTAAAAAACAGCTTATATATATTAGCCTCAAAAATATTACTCGGATTTGTCATGCTCGCGAAATTCGGCTGACGAGTAGAGTTTTCGAAGCAGTTTTTTTCGGACTTGAAAATACGTTTCGTAGTTTGCTTTGAAAAGGGGCTGATAAATTTGAAGAACCGTGTTGTATCACTGCACAACAAAAATGTAATGCTTTGATCATAATTGTGAACAATCAGAATCTCTTCGCACTATTTTTCTTTATTTTGTGGCCATTTGAAGTAAAGTGATAAATGGCTCAAAGTTTTCTTCACGAGTAAAAAATTTCCTCTTTTCAAAAAACTTTGTATAAGAGTCTTCTGTTTAATTCTCTATAAATTAATTTTAAAACTTAAAAATTGACTGCTCGTTGATATCACTTCTTAAATGCGCTGGAGCTTCAAAATTTCTCTCTTCTTTTTGGTATTTTGAAGCAACAAATAACTCTTTGCATACTATCGAAAAATTAAAAAAATTTTTAAATTTTAAAAATTTTTTTGGGTTTACGAGCAGTCAGCTTCAAGTTTCCTTTATTTCTTCGGAATTTTTTTGGCTTACATTTGTTCAAGATGTATTGTTTGGTAAAGTTTTTTTGATGTTCTGTTATTATGATCTTTTTTTCGAATCGAAAGATATTGTTTTAAATTAAGTTGTAAACTTTGCAAGCGTTTCCTTCTTACATCTCATTTTTTTCAAGTTCTCTTCATGTTTGATTTTTATATGTTGATTTTATTTCCATTAAATTTTGTATTTGTGAAATAATAAAAGTTGATAAAATATATTTTTTTAGTATAAAAAAATAAAAAAATATTGGAGGAAGGGAAATGATTGAAAAAAAGGGGGAATCTGCGCGCTATAGATAACCCTGGCGAATTTCTGGCGCGTTTTTCGCCAGCTCGCGAAAGACGGGGCGCGCGCTGGCGAAAGATTGGCGGAAAGCTGGCGACTGGGGTCAGAGTAAATCTAGTGTGGTGTCAAACAGAAAAAAAAAAGAATGGAAACGGTTTTTCGGACGTTGAAAGAGTTACAAAAGAGCCGTTTGCTCTTTTTTTGAGAGTGAAGAAGTTCACGGTTTCCGCTTCTACATAAGTGTGCTGCTTCTAAACTTTCTTGTTGGCCAATTATCAGAAGATGAAACTGTCTAACCAGTCTGCTACCTCTTCTCCCTCATCGTCGAGGTCAGGAAACATGAAAATTGTCGTCTAGAAGGAAATAGGGTGCAGAGTTACACAGTGTTCCAAAGGAGACGGCGGCAAGCGAAAAAAAAGGTCGTCGCAATGGGGCGAAAACGCGAGTTTTTTCTAACGCAACGCGGTGCGGCGCGTGTCACTCCCACAAAATTTCATTCACTTTTATTACGGTTTTTTCTCTTTTTCTTGCGTATTTTTCCATTCTTTCGTATTTTTTCACATTTTATGTGTTCTTAAAACGTGTTTATCGCGTTTTCCAGAGATTTGAAGTGATTTTCGATTGTTTTCGTCACAGAAATTCGCATTAAAAGGACATTTTTTATGACAACTTATTTCCCATAAGATATTTCGTTTGTTTTTTTGTTTTAGAAATTTCAAATGGACTTTCTTAAGAGAAACGCTTTGAGATTTTTCTCAAAATTTTTTTTTCGAGGCAGTATTCGACGAATTTATTCTTGAAAATGTCATTTTGGGTGACAACTTTATTCGCACAAGCTATTATGTATCTTTTTTTGTTTTAAAACGTTCAAATGGTATTTCTTAAGAGAAGTGCTTTGAGCTTTTTCTCAATTTTCCCTTTGGAAGTTCGATTTGACGATTTTTCTTTTTTCATTTAAATTTGTTCGTTGTAATTTAATACACATTAAAAATCTTTGAAAACTTGCGAGAACCTAGGAAAAACATCATTCAATTGTCTTTTTCTAACCACTAAATCCACAAAACTTGACTCTCATCCCCGCGCCCCTTTTGCAATAAACCGTGCCGCTGTTGCAGTCAGCCACGCCTATTGACCACAGCTGCCGCCCGTTTGGGAACACTGAGTTATCAGAATTTCGAATCTTTGCGACAAAAATTTGACGTTCTGATCTATTATAATTCATTTTTAAAAACTTCATTATTATCAAAATGACCAAATAAATTAAATTAAAAACATTTTATTTTGAATGACTCGAGAAAAAAAGGTTTTGTTTATCCAATAATACAGCTTGGCGGATCGTCCTTGCAAGAAATCGCGCTGATCCTGCAAAAATGATGAAATTTTATAAGTTAAACTTTTCGAAGAACGGCACCAGATTATTATCCCTAGAGCGTTCTAGTTCTTGAGAAAAAACACTTTAAAGGCATAGGGGCAGTAAAAAACGGTGTTTCAGTTCAAAGCAGTAATTTGTAGAGCTTTTGAGTGCGAATCGAACGGTAAACTTGAAAACGTACAGAAGTTTCTAGTTTTGGAGAAAACATTATTCAAAGTCGGAGAAAGGAAAGTTTGAGTTCCCGCCAAAAGGGCGCTTTGCAGTAAAGTTGCTCTATGGACAACAGGCTTTGCCATCATCCGGATTTTCGCTTTTTTCTTCGTTTCTTTCAATTTTCAATTTTTTCTGTTGTCACCAAAGTTCTTTTCGTCACAAAAGCTAAGATACTGCTTTCACCTGAAACTCCATTTTTTACTGCCCGTATGCTTTTAAAGTCAAAGAAACCCCTGAAAATTCGTCAAAAGCCAATTTTCAAGGAACTCAAACGGAAAGTGAAATGACTTTCCTTGTCAGTGGTCTATGAAAATCAGAATTTAAAATCTAATGTCAGTTTTTTCCCTGAAAAGAATTCCATATAAAGCTGACCCGGAAGTCGGAACGCCTCCATTACCAATGTAAGACCATTCACCGGCCTCATTACACGTAACGTCGACCATTGATTTGGCAAACTGGAATTTGAAACCTTTTCCCATTCCAGTGGCCGCGTCGAAAATCTGAAGATTGAGTAAGAAAATAACTTTTGCGGAAACTCACGAATGGAGCAGTACAGGCTCTATTGGGAGACATGCAAACGAAAGTTGCCATGCAATTGTTTCCGCTGGAAAATTCATTGATTTTTGATTTTTTTTTTTTAATAAAGAATGAAGAACTTTAATATAGTTCGTTTGCCGCGACTTGACATTTTTCGCGTGTCTGCGTCTCTCTGTTCTCTCACTGGCGAGGTCAGAGTAACAGGAAAATAGCATGTCAACATGAGAGGGTCGCCGAGAGACGAGGAGGGCGCAGAGAAGTTAAAAAAACGGACAATAAACTCACGTCACCATCGGCGCGTACTCCATGTTGGCGACGTTGGGAGCGATTTTGAGTCCTTCCAAGTTACATGGACAGCCTGGAATGTTCTTCTATATATTTTTTTTGTCAGACAAGTGCGTCGCGGTCGCGTAACAGTTACCTTGAGTTTGTATTCTAGAGCGGCCGACCAAAAACTACTTGCACACAAGAACATTTTTCACCATGTGAAAAAAATCACTCAAGTTGTGCTATAACGGAACCAAATAAATGTCCCAGAGAGGTCACTTTAGTGTGAACTTTATAATTCTCTGACTTTTGCTCACTGGGTCAGAACAATCCTCGGAGACTTACTACCTAAAGTCCGCTTTCAACAAGAAAGCCACATTTTGCAATTTAAAAACTCAATTCTTGAAAAAATATAAGTTCGCGCAGGTGTCAAGAATCTTCATATAGATTCTGAGATTGGCTGAAAGTTTTTGAAGGAAATTCTAAACTCCATAAGGAAATTACCTCACTTGTAAGCATCTATGTGTTTTTATAGCTATTTCGACAAGTTTTCTAGTGTTTTAATCAAAAAATTCCGCACAGTATTGTCTGTGTGCCACGACTTGAAATTTCGCCGAACGACATTCCGCTGTGCCGCTGCGCGCCTTTGCGAACCTTGGTCGCGCTTTTATTTTATTTTTTCTTTTATTGAGGTACTCTACTTTCATGTGCTCCCGCAGCAATAATAATAAATTGGAAGCGTGACCTATGTTCGAAAGACGCTTCGCGAGCGCATGCAGCGGAACAGCGGAATGTCGTTCGGTTAAATTTTAAGGCGTGGCACACAAACTATAGCGTCGAAAAAAAATCAGGAAAAAAATACCTTCTTGACTAGTTGAATTCTGTGATTATGATCAAAATGAAAAAAATACCTTCTTGACTAGTTGAATTCTGTGATTATGATCAAAATGATTCATGAAAAAAAATTGAGAAAAAAGAAAACTGTTTTCGTAATTTGATAAAAGTTCAGTAGTTTATCAACACCTTAGTCTAAGGTCCCTAGACTCACTAGGAAACTACTCGGACTCGGGTACGCGTTTCGAGTTGAAACTTTAGTGGGTTATAAACCCAGGTCAGAATAACTGAAAACGAGAGAGAATATCTGCTAAACCCGATAGAGAACTGAGAAAATATTAGAAGAAAATGTGTAAAGTAGGCCTGAAATTTTTCAGAAAGCTACCTTATTTTATATTTTAATACAATCGCCTTGAATGATCCGACTATGATAAACTCTAAAAAACTTATTTTCCAGCCAAAAGAAGGAGGAAAGCGAAAATTTGATGATTTTCAAGCCTAAAATGTTCATTTTCAAAAAGCTTTTTCTCAGAAGCCTATGGGGTTTAGCAGATAATCTCTCTCGTTTCCAAGTACTCTTACCCGGGGTCCATAAGCCACCAAAGTTTCAACTCGAAACGCCTACCCGAGTCAGAGTAGTTCCCTAGTCAGAAAACACGAAAAAATAATTTTTTATTGGTTTCATTCCTTTGAAATGTTTGAAAAATTGGATCCCCAACAAACAGCAAGAAAAATGGTTCTGCAACATTTCGCGCAGATTTTCTAGTTTCTCGCTGTCCTAACATCTTCGCCAAATTTCGGTCTCATCACGCGGGATCTCCATTAGATCTCTCTTATCAATCAAACTTCACATTCTACCCAGCTTAAAAGAAAAAGACATATATCAATATCATTTATTCAATACGAATAATGATACAGTTCGAAGGCCGAAACGACCTCTAAAAGAATCAGTTTACAAAAAGGGGAATTTAAACATTGAAAACAGCAAAAAACCGTTAGAGGCAGTAAAAAATGAGGTTTCAGGTGAAAGCAGTATCTTGTATAGTTTTTCTTTGCGAATCGAATCGTGTACTCAAAAAAATTACAGATGTGACAACTCTAGAAGAAAAACGCGATTTCACTTTCCCGCCTTTAATTTTGAAAAAAGCTTTGGATCGGCATGCGGACGTCTCATTAGATTTTTGTGAGAAATTTTTTTTCGCAATTTGTGAGAAATAACCTGATACCTGCTTCAAATCAAAGGTTTCTACTCTGAAAAATCGACTAAGAAAACAGAAAACACACAATGATATTAAAGGAAACTTTTTTTGACTTTGTTTCAAAATCTCGTTCAGATAGGTTTCTTGTTCTTAGTAACGTACACATCAAAAAATTTTAAATACAACGAAAGCTCAGTGGATCGAAACACGTTAAACATAACATTTATGCGACATTTACACCTTCTACAGATTTCAGATATATGATCATTGAACTTAAGGTTATTTGAGAAAACTACACCAAGATCTCGAACTGAAAGTTTAGGCTGTAAAGCCATGTTTGAAATTTTATTAGAAATACTTGGGTTAAAATCCATAAAATAATTTAAAGAACGCTTCTCATATGAAAATTTCCGCCTGTCTGCGCTCTCTTTTTTCTCGCTGGTGACGTCATAGAAACGTGAAAGAAGCGGGAAAAAAGAGAGAGCGCAGAGAAAGAAACAGTTTTTTCACAACACAAGCTTTTCTCGAAAAAGTTTATTGCACCAGACTTACAAATAAATAAAAAGAGTTTAGTTTCTCTAGAAGTCGAAGCATTTTTGCGACTTGTCTTTGCAGGAAATCTTGGCGAATCTGAAAAAAAAAATATAAATTTCAACGAAAAAGCTTTTTAGTCGAACTTGGGTGTGAAATTTTCGAAGCCTGGTGAAAAAAATTGGAAAGTCACACTTCAATATAACATAGTTTTCAAATAACTTTCTTGTGGTTTCTTTTTGATGCCAACAAGGAAGATGATTGTACTTTGCGGTTGGGAATTTCCGGAAAATTGGCCAGAACGCTCCTTGATGTATCAAAAAAAGATTCTGAAAGTTTCAACCTGTCCAATTTTCTAGTTTTCGAGAAATAAGGGCTCAAAGCTGGCCTATTTTATAGACTGTGTGCCACGACGTGAAATTTCACGGAACGACATTCCGCTGTTCCGCTGCGTGCGTTCGCGAAGCGTCTTTCGAATCAAGGTCACGCTTTCAATTGATTGTTATTGCTGTGGGAGCACATGAAAGTAGAGCACCTTGATAAAAAAAAAATTTAAAAGCGCGACCGGTTCGCAAAGGAGCGCAGCGGCACAGCGGAATGTCGTTCCGTGAAATTCCAAGTCGTGGTACACAGGCTATAACGGACTTTCAGAGTTTCTTTTTGAGCTCGAAGTGTTCTTTCTCGAAAACTAGGAAGTTTTGCAGGTCGAAACTTTCAGAATCTTCTTCGGTACATCTAGGGGTGTTCTAACCGATTTTCGAGAAATTCCCGATCGCAAAGTAAAATGACCTCCCTCCCTTCAAAAGAATAATGTCTTCATTTTTCCCTTCGGGATCTCTTTCTGGTGCTTCACTCGAAAGAAAAGTACTCACCCGGTGGTCGTACCCCCTCCTTTGGGCATATAGGTCCATTCGCCCGCGGTACACGTTACCATGAGAGTTGCAACCGGAAACTCATCGTTCACATTCATTCCCGTTCCCCCTTCCGTTTGGAAAACCTGAAAATTTGGAAGGAATGTCGGAAAGTTTATGTTATTCATATTTTGACCGTTTTCTCAAAAATGAACCAAATCTCGATTTTCGTTTGAGAATTTGAAAAGCTTCAAATAATACCTTCCTCAATAATCTACGTACTTTACAAACTTTAGAGCACCCTACGAAAATCGAGAACTTTTTTTCCACCTATCATGGGACCAGGAGATCCTACAGCACAAAGAGACGTTGTTCGAAGAAAAACAAACTCAAAAAATATAGCTGAAAAAAAAAATCATGACCCCCCGGAGAATGACCGTTTTTGAGCCATTCTCCGTGCGACCATTAAAGAAACAAAAAAACTTACCAAAGCTGCAGTGCAGACTCCTGTTGGAGACGTGCAAGTGAAAGTGGCCATGCAGTTATCTCCACTGAAATTTTTAGCAAGATCAATTTTTCAAGTTGAGTGCTTCATCCGCTTGTGAAAAGTTCTGACTTGTCTGCGCTCTCTTTTCTCTCACCAGAATGGTTTTATATCCGTGAAATGAAACTTTGAGACGATAAAAAAGAGATCAAAACCGTTTCAAGTCGTGACGAAAGAATAATTATTTGTATCGAAGGCTCTGGCCGTATTGAGAATGGCTCGACGCGTTGCGGTCGCGCTGCGGATCGGCTTGTGATACAAAAAAAAAATCGTTAGCCATTCTCAATGCTTTCAAAATAGCCTTCCAAGGTGAGGCGAACGAGATAATGTCATTTGTTTCAAGTTCTGTGGCCGCACGTAGAATGGCTCGACGCGTTGGGATCGGCTTGTGATACAAAAAATAGCCATAAGCCATTCTCCATGCTGCCAACTTGGCCTTCCATCTCACGACGAATTTAATATGGTCATTTGTTTCAAAGGCTTTGACCACATGGAGAATGGCTCGACGCGTTGCGGTCGCGCTGCGGTTCGAGTTTTGATTGAAATGTTTTCATCATACGCCAAGCCATTCTCCATGCCTCAAAAAATCCCAAAAAAAAAAATCAATAAATTTACGTTATCACTGGCGTATATTCGTTATTCATCGTGTTTGGGGCTACCTTCAACGAGTCCAAAGAACAAGGGCATCCTGAAATTTACAATTTGATACGGTTGAATTTGGAATGGCTTGAAGCGGCGCGGGCGCGTTGCGGTTGGAATATGGTTAACTTGCGCTTTTTCCCTTTTTTTTTATGCGGCTGTGAGTCCAATCTACGTACAAGTTCGCACTAGAGCGATTTTAGTATGAAAAAATAGCCAAGTCGAAATAAAATATATTAACCAGGTGTCGTAGTCGTGGTCACTGTGGCGGTTGTGGTCATTGTCGTTGGGGTGGTTGCAGTGGTTAGCGTTTCGGTAACCTACAACTTAAAAATTTCTTCATTTTCTGAATCAGTTCAAGGAAATCAATAATTTAAAAACACAAAAAAATTCCTAGAATGTAGGAGATTGGGATTAGACTTGATAGTTATTGAGGAAGGACACCTCTAAATCGAATGAAACGCTCAAAAATCTTTCTAAATAGGTTTTTTTAAATCCAAATCTATTTTTTTAACATTTTCAACGAAGTCCTAGAAAAACTTCCGAGTCGGTCACAAAAAAACATGTGAAACTTTTTAAACCTCGTTTTTTTTCTTCTCAATTTTGTTAAAATTGATAATCGGGAAAAAAAAAGTGTTAAAACACTTCGGGCCTTTGAGCCTTCATTTCTCGAAAACTAGGAAGTTTAACTGGATGAGACTTTCAGAATCTTCATTTGATATATCAAGAAGACTTCTGACCAATTTTCAGGAAATTCCTAACCGAAACATAAAATGTCCTTGCTTGTAAGAGCTGAATCTGAATCAACCAAGAAAAAACTCACAGTTTCTGTGCCTGTAACTGGGACATCCGAAGACGGCGGTGATGTAGCCGTTTCCGACGGGACTGTCTTCAGACAGCCATTTGCCAGAAAAGTCACACACGTAGGGACCGCAGACGAATTTTCAAAAAATTTTTTTCAGCATCGAGCTTTGTATGGTTTGATAGCTGTTTCGATTCAAAACTCAGAACCGTTTAGTTTTTCGAAAAAGATTGAGGATGAAAAAAGTTATGACGAAAAATGTGCGCGCCGCGCACCATTTTTAGTACTGAAATTTTTAGTATTATTCATTTTTTTGACATTTTTTTCTCGATTTTTTTCTTCTAGAAAAAGTTTTTGATACTGGTCTATTATGATGTAACAAATCATAATAGAGTGCTAAAATGATGCTAATCAGCTATTTTGCCGAAAAAGTCGGTATTTTCCAGAAAACAAAAAACTGATGCTTGCGGGTATCGAACTCGCGACCTAAAAATGAAAAATCGCAGCGCACGCACTGCGCCAAGCTGTCAGGTCTAGCGCGGGGAGCTTCCATCCGCCTTACCCTTTGAGCCGTTTTAAATAGCACAGATTGTCTATTTCAAAAAGAAAAAAACTTGAAGTAATTTAGCTATTTTTTTATCAGAATATGTTCGCAAATCTTTACTCAAACGTTTCGTGGAAATTCACTTCGAAAAAAACTGTTTTTTTCAGTGCTTTTTGCCTCTTTTTAACGATCGCTGCCTTAAAAACGGCCCCGTAAATTTTTTTGGCAAAAGACGAATTTTTTTATTTTATTCTTTTTAATTGAAAGATTTTTTTACTAATAAATGTATATAATCGTTTGAAAAAAACCTGCGTTCGACCGCTTTCGGTGTGATAAACGCCGCTAATTTTTATTCTCTAGTTTCAAGAGCATTTTTTTGCGTATCACACAACTTTTTTTCAAACACAGATGCTGTGGAGAAAAAAATTTAAGTAAGCCCATGGTCTAAATTTTTGAAAAAACAAAAAAACTCGATTATATTCGCTTATTAACGATATTTTGAATTATGACTTTCGGCGCTCCCTAAAAAATTTTTTTGGCAAAGACGAATTTTTTTATTTTATTGTTTTAAAAATTACCGTTACTTGAATCAGAACCATTATAAAAAAAGAAAGAGTGCGTCTCGACCTGAAAACACATGAAAAAAGCAAAAAAACGACAAAAATTTTTAGTTCCATTCACGTTTTTTTGTACGACATTCCGCGAGAACGCATCAAAAAAAGCGTGAAATATTTTTTTAAACGAAAGAGGAAGCTTTTTCTGTACATGTGTGTCAAATTTTATTCGCCAGTTCCACATATTTTACAACTACAACAAAATGAAAGTTGAAAACCAAAAAAAGCCACTTTTTTTCTATCGCGAAAAGGGGCGTGGCTTTGCGGTCCCTACACACACGATAAAAATAAAATGATACGCTTCATTGAGAATCTAGAGATCAACTGAATTGAGAGAAGTCCGACCAAAATGGAGAGAAGGAATATCTTGAATGGGAGGCGTCGCGGCTATCGGCCGACAATCGCCCTTTTGTTCGGTGAAGAATTATTATTTTTTCGATTATCTGAACCCGTTTGGATAAATAAAATAATGAAAAATATGAAAATTCATTTTTCATTATGGAAGCGGCGGTCGCAATTGGAATGGCTCAAAGCGACGCGGTCGCGTTGCGGTCGGGATTTTCGTCTAGAACTTCAGCCAACTCTGAGCTTTCACAGCTCTCCAATGCTTTCCGATGCCACAACGCAAAAGTCGTTTCAAGTCGGGCCCACTTCTAAAAACCGCTCCTTGGCCCTTTAGGCTTGTAAAAAGCTTTAGTTGAAGAAAAATCGTTTTAATTCCAAAGTATACTTTTCTCCTTTTAAACATTAATGTGTATCATTTAAAGACTATATTCTTCAAAAACGCGACATGATAATATATCCACCTTGGTCTGCGACGCTTTTTCTGGTTTTTCCGGTTTTTTTGTAGACTTCCGCATTCTCGGCACCTCCTTGAGTGCAGTGAAAAGACTACAAACCACGAAATTTGGAACATCAGAAAGAGCAAAATTTTGGAAAAAAAAAATATTTTTGGACCAAGGGAAAGTTTCTGGGAAAGTTTTTAGCGGCCACTATAGAGGCTCGCCAAGGGCTACTTGGAGAGGACACTTGAGTGGCCACTATTTTCCGTTTTAGTGGCCACTTCAGTAGTTTTTCATCCAGTATTCCTTCCAGTAACTCTGATGATTTTAAAACAAACAGATTGGACCAGTTAGGTTGACCCATTGACCCCTTAAGTGGCCACTTAAATTTTTAGTAGTTTAGTAGTAGCACTTAGACCTCTATAGTGGCCACTAATTGCTAACCCCTTAAGTGGTTACTAATTTGACTAGTACAGTGGCCACTAAAACGTCAAAACCCTATAGTGGCCACTAAAAAATTTCCCAGTTTTTCAGAATTCCATGACATTTTTCTGCGTCTTTTTCAACTGACCTTCTGAAAAACGAGCCCAAAAATGGAAGAATTCACTCTGAAATTGTCAATTTTGGGTTTGAAAGTTCAATTTACAGCCACTGAACGATAAAAATGAACAAAAGTTTGACGAAAAAACATAAAGATTTATTGAAAAAAAAACCATAAAGTCAATTATTCTGACGTCGGATCCGAATAGTCCGTCGGAGGGTTTGAACTCCTTGGCCGACGACACTTTTGATCTTTTGTCTGGTGTTGGGGAAGACGTTGAGCTTCTGGGACCAGGTCGCCTGGCCCTGAGAAGCCGGAGGACGGAATTCTATCTCCGGAACGTCTTCGTTCAGATCCAAAAAAGACCGGGGGATTCTGAAAAAAATCTGTTTTTCTCTTCCAAAACTTTTTCTAGAATAATGATTTCATGAAGAAACTTTTTAATTTTTCAATTTATTATTTCTTTTTCGGATTATCGTTTTGAAGATGTTTTAAACTGATAAAATCTGAATTTTGAGTTGAAATTGAAGATTTTGCGTATTAAAGTAGGTTTGTTTTCTTTCCATTTTTTTTATCCGAATCAGAAAAAAAAAATTCCTGCTGTGATTTTTTGAAGCACATATGAACCTTTGCGAACAGAAAAAAATTGAAATTTAGTTGACTTCATGAAAAAGATTTTTGAAGCGTGGAACTGTCCCAAGAGGAAAAAAATACACTCAGAAGTTCAAAAAAATCAAAGAATCACTCGAGTAACTCTGTTTTACTTTTTCATTTTTTTAAATCAAGATTTTTTTGCTTTTTTTAAAAACCTAATTTATTATTTATAGTTTAAAAAAATGAATTTTCTGCTTTGGAAACTGGGAATTTCAAGAAAAGAAAAGAAATAATTTCACTAAAATGTCTTGTTTAATGGAATTTCGATCCGACCACCGGTCCAAGAAGTTGAAAATTATAATTCTGATGACTAAATTTCTAAAATTTTGAATCTTTCTGAACCTTTATAGCTATCAGGATGGCTTTGGAAACGCGAAAAGTATCAATAGAAATAAAAAAACGCACTCCGAAAACCCAGTACAACGTTTGCTTGGACCCGCCGAATGATCGTGAGAACATACAGCCGGCGGTTGACCAAAATTGTCAAGCTGAAATAACGTATAATATATTCGGTTCGTTTCAAAATTTTTGATTTACCGCCAAAGGCCGAAATTAGGGAATAAAACCGAGGAAACTATGATTAAAACTGAATTGAAAATTTAAAAGAAAAAGATGATAAAAGGCTTCAAGAAACTCCTCAAAAAGCACTTATCACCATTCTCTGTTGATCTGCTGGCATAATCTGCGAGCACAAGGCGAGCTGTTCTTCGGTCAATCGAGTCATTCGAACAGATCTCCAGAGCCTGAAATCAAAAAAGAAGTCAGTAATATTCTATAAATCTCTTTCACAACTGAAAACGCCTTCAATATCTTATAAAAAAGTTAGAAAAGGGAGAGGAAAACAAAAAGGAGATTTTTATGGTTTACGGTATTTTAAAATTCTGCACACACAGCGACGCATCAGGGGTAGTTAGAAAATTTCGAAAATTCAGCGTTTCTTCTTTTTTATTTTTCGTTCGTTCATTCTTTATTCGAAAGAGTTATCCGCTACGGCTGATCTAACAATAAGCATTTTCCAAAATTGGAACTAATTTCTGAGCAGGTTGGTTATTTACCTTTTTTATCTTTGAACTGAAATGTTTCTTTGCTACGTTTGAATCCATTTTTTTTTAACGAATCTTTTATTTTTGAAATCATGGTCGTTTTTTTGTTACGACTTTTAACATAACCGACAATTTTTGCATCAAATTCCAAGAAATTTATTCGATAATCTCAAGAATTTATGATAAAAGCTGGAAACTTGCTGAAAAAAACGAATACGTTAGAAAGTTCGTTTTAAGAATAGTTTAAAAGATCATCCTCCTGTTTTTAATTGATAAAAACCTTCAATAAACCTTCTGAGCTTTTTAATTTGGTCATACTCACGTCCTTAACTGAAACTCGTCAACAACAACGGAATGATTGGCTTGGATCCAGTCCAAAACGAAGCAAGCCACTTGAAACTCATCCGAGACTTCTAGATCGCACCTGAAATTAAAATTAGGATGAGATTTAGGGATTCAGAAAAGACTCATGAGTCAGTTAAAAAAATTTAGCGGATTTTTATAATCTTCAGGAAAAAAACCAAAAAATAAAGACAAAGAGTGGCAAAAAAATGATGAAAAGGGCTTTTTTTCGAAAAATGTTCCCAGCTTTTTTTCCAGAGAAACTTTTTGAAAGTAGCTTTTTTTTTTGAAGTACTCCGAAAGTTGTTTGAAATGAAAAAAACCTCGAGGCAACTTGAGCCAGAAGCTTGAAATCTTTGACGTATTTGAGCAAAGGTTGGTAGCAGTGCTCGAAATTGTTGGCGATTTTCGGGAGCAGCTGAAAAATTTATTATCAACTTCTTCAAAAAAGACGAAAAATGTTGTTGCATAGCGTTTTTTGACGACGCTCCATATTTTTTCCGTAAAGTGCAGTGTGTAAGGTGCATGCACTGAGGCGCTCTCGCACATGCCGTGTTCAAATTAATTTTCACAAAGTTCAAAACCATCTGTGAAATTCCGTATTTTGTATATATACCGGTACCACAGGTATACCTCTCAAGGACCTCAGGTATTGTTTAGATAAAGCTAAAAGGTATACCAGAGGTCTCCCGATGGATACATTGTGGGACATTCTAGATTCATTTTGAGAGGTGTCTTTCTGGACACATTATGGTACCCCCGGATCCGCCAAGGTGTACGGTACTTTGCCACAAAAAAAAAACGTGACAAGCTGGCGCGGAATAGGCTATAAAACCTGCTCAACGACGTCGTCAAAAGAAAGACTCTTGGCCAAACTCAGAGCCTGGGGCAAGGCCAAGGCGTCGTCTGTGATCCAGAAGCTGGTCAGAGTCTGGAAAATTTCGAAATGAATGTTTTTTTTTTCATGGACCTCGGTGAACCGGACTTTCCTGAGCAGTTCTAGGGATCACTTAAGGGTTCTGACGCTACTAAAGTGGTCACTAAAATCGCACAGAAAAGTCCGGAGCATGTCCGTTTCGCTTTACCAACTCGGACATTCATAACGCAAAAAGGACGTGCTCCAGACGTTTCTGGGCGATTCTAGGGACCACTTAAGAGGGCTGAAACTACTGAAGTGCTCACTAGAAATGCCCCGACACGTCCGTTTCGCGTCATAAATTCTTTGCTGTTCTATAGAGCGCACTTGCCTCTTTTTTCCTCCCTATTTCTCCATTTTTCAATTTTTATTTCGTTTGAAGTTTAATGACGCTTTCAAGATGAGTGGTTTAGTTGAAAGCGATAATGTGATCACCAGAAAAATACTTAAAGGCATAGGAGCAGTAAAAAACGGTGTTTCAGTTCAAAGCAGTACTTTGTAGAGCTTTTCATTGCGAATCGAACGGTTAACTTGAAAACGTACAGAAGTTCCTAGTTTTGGAGAAAAAATAATTCAAAGTTGGAGAAATGAAAGCTTGAGTTCCCGCGAAAAGGGCGCTTTGCAGTAAAGTCGCCCTATGGACAACAAGCATCGCCATCTTCCGGATTTTCGCTTTTTTCTTCGTTTCTTTCAATTTTCAATTTTTTCTGTTTTCACCAAAGTTGTTTTCGTCAGAAAAGCTTTCTATTCATGTATAATTTGCAAACTTTGATCGCAAAAATGCTTTTCTGGTGAAAAATGATGATTTTACATAGGTTTCGATTGGGGTAGCGATTATTTGTGTTTTCTTTATTATCAATGTGTGTTTTCTGTTTTCTTAATCGATTTTTCAGAGAAAAAATCCTTGATTTGAAGCAGATATACAGTTATTTCTCACAAAAAGCGAGTCTAATGAGACTTCCGCAACATCGCGTGCACGGCTACTGTAAACATTTGTCCGTAGACCGATCCAAAGCTTTTTTTCAAAAATTAAAGGCAGGGAAAGTAAAATCGCATTTTTTTCTACTAAATTTGTCACATCTGTAATTTTTTTTGAGTACACCATCCGATTCGCAAAGAAAAAAACTGTATAAAGATACTGCTTTCACCTGAAACCCCATTTTTTTACTGCCCCTATGCCTTAGGGACCGCAAAGCCACGCCCCTTTTCGCGATAGAAAAAAGTGGCTTTTTTTTGGTTTTCAATTTTAATTTTGTTGTAGTTGCAAAAATATGTGGAACTGGCTAATAAAATTTGACACACATGTACAGAAAAGCTTCCTCTTTCGTTTAAAAAATGTTTCACGCTTTTTTGATGCGTTCTCGCGGAATGTCGTACAAAAACGTGAATAGAACTAAAAAATTTTGTCGTTTTTTGCTTTTTCATGTGTTTTCAGGTCGAACGCACTCTTTCTTTTTTTAAATAATGATTTTGATTCAAGTAACGGTAATTTTAAAACAATAAAATAAAAAATTCGTCTTTGCCAAAAATTTTAGGGAGCGCCGAAAGTCATAATTCAAAATATCGTTAATAAGCGAATATAATCGAGTTTGTTGTTTTTTTTAAATTTAGATCATGAGCTTACTTAAATTTTTTTCTCCACAGCATCTGTGCTTGAAAAAAAGTTGTTTAATACGCAAAAAAATGCTCTTGAAACTAGAGAATAAAAATTAGCGGCGTTTATCACACAGAAAGCGGTCGAACGCAGGTTTTTTTCAAACGATTATATACATTTATTAGTAAAAAAATCTTTCAATTAAAAAGAATAAAATAAAAAAATTCGTCTTTGCCAAAAAAATTTACGGGGCCGTTTTTAATGCAGCGATCGTTTAACGAGGCAAAAAGCACTAAAAAAACAGTTTTTTTCGAAGTGAATTTCCACGAAAACGTTTGAGTAAAAATTTGCGAACATATTCTGATAAAAAAATAGCTAAATTACTTCAAATTTTTTTATTTTTTTGAAATAGGCAATCTGTACTATCCAAACGGCTCAAGGGTATGGCGGATGGAAGCTCCCCGCGTTGGACCTAATAGCTTGGCGCAGCGGGTGCGCTGCGATTTTTCATTTTGAGGTCGCGAGTTCGATGCCCGCAAGCGTCAGTTTTTTGTTTTCTGGAAAATACCGACTTTTTCGGCAAACTAGCTGATTAGCATAATTTTAGCACTCTATTATGATTTTTTACATCATAATAGACCAGTATCGAAACTTGTTCGAGAAGAAACATCGAGAAAAATGTCAAAAATGGATAATACCAAAATTTCAGTACTAAAAAAATGGTGCGCGGCGCGCCACATTTTCCGTCATAACTTTTTTCATCCTCAATATTTTTTGAAAAAATAAACGGTTCTGAGTTTTGAATCGAAACAGCTATCGAACCATACAAAGCTCAATGCTGAAAAAAATTTTTTGAAAATTCGTCTGCGGTCCCTACCTATGCCTTTTTAACTCCCCTCAAAGAGACTATTTGAATAAGTTAAAAATTATCAAATTTCGATTTCGGAAATCCCCACGTCATCATTCCCTTCCCGTTTTTTGATGATTTTTCGTCAACTCTTCTTTTTTCGAGGTGATTTCTAGTGCTTTCAGAATCTTTCCTCTGTTTCATTTCAAAAGTTTTCGTACCCAAAAAGCAACCTTTTTGAACTCCTTGACCAGATGGGTGATCCCGAGAACCGTGGCTATGTTGAGCAGCTCGGCGAGCTCCACAATCGTGACTCCAGTGGAGGGAAGACTTCGTTCAGTGAGGATTTTCTCGAGGAGCTGGGCCACCCTGGGACTCGTCGCTGTCAGGTCGACCAAGGGAGGACGATTGCGCTGGAATCGGTTAGTTTATTCATTTTGTTGATTAAGTATGAGGTCATATAATAATCTTTTTTCGGCTTGAAACGTACTGGGAAAATTTGCTGGCAAAATTTTGAGTGGTCACTTTAGGGTTTTGACGTTTTTATTGGTCACTGTAGTAGTCAAATTAGTGGCCACTTGAGGGGTTAGAAATTAATGGCCACTATAGAGATCTAAGTGCTACTACTAGACCACTAAAAATTTTAGTGGCAGCTTTAGGGGTGATGCGGCGTTTGGAGTTCATGCGCAACACCAGAAGGGGTCACTGTAGGGCTTCAAGGGAAAAATAGTACTCCCTAGAAAAATAAAATTTGGGTGGTCACTATAGAGGTTTAGGGTTTGACTCCTGGGCCCTTAAAGCTTGAGTGGACCCTTGAGAGGTATTTTAATTTTTTCTTTTGACTTGAACATCAAAAAGACGTATAGGATGTCCCTCTATAGTAGCCACTAACTCCAACCACTGGAGTGGCCACTTTTGCGAGCTATAAGAGAGGTAAAGTGGTCCCTTGAAGGGAATCTACAAGAGCCCCTAAAGTTGCCACTCTAGGGACCACTCTGGGGTTCCTGGAAACGTGTGATTAGACTCACTTTTTTTTTGCAGATACTTCTCGAAGCCTATAGATTTTTTTGAGAATGTTTTTACTTTTTTTTTCTCAATTTATTACATACTATCTCAAAAAGCGGACTTTTATAATTTTCAATCAGTTTTTAAAAAATCACTTTCTTTGCCTTTCATTTTTAGTTTCGATTTATCATTTTTCCTGATGATTCTCAGCCTGAATTCATTCAGTCTGGTCGAAAAATAAAAAAATGTACAGAACAATAAACCACGAAAACTACAAAATTCCACCATTATTTGTCACCTCGGACTTTTCTGTGTCCTTATAATCCTCCTATTTACGCTCTTTTTTGACCTTTTCCACATATTTTGTCTTTTTTTAAAGCTCTTTATGTATTTTGAAAGTGTAAATTAAATCCTGAAACAATATTTGTCCATGTGACCGATTTTTCCGTCTTTGAACCAAGTTTAACCATCGAAAAAGCAAGTTTTGTAGAACTCTTGAGCCATATACTTTTCTCTGACCTTATAATCCTCATATTGACGCTTTTTTGTCCTTTCTCTCACACGCAGTACTAGCCATAAAATTATTTCAAAGTGATTATTCGAGCATAAATTCTCTAAAAGTTGCTCAAATGACTTGAAACTTCACACAGATTTCAAACAGCTATGCAGTAACTTATTTCCAGAGAAAAAGAAGGTTTGCTCGATTCAGACCAAATTTGTGAGCGAAAACCCGAAAATCGTGAAAAGGAAAATTTTTCTCTTGAGATTCGAAAAATCATATTTAAATCAATCATACAAAAACGTCGATTTTCAATCAGAAACTTTTTCTCCTCTTGAAAAAAGTCTTGGCTTTCCAAAAAACCTAATCAGCCCCTCACCACCCCGATAGTAAGAGCGTAGTGACTTTTTTTTCGGCAGGCCCTTGCGTTTTGAAGCCTCGTCATTCAAATGGACTATATAAGGTCATTTTTGTTCGAAAAACACCCCGTTTTATGTTGAAAAACTTCAAAACACCCTCAAGAATAGTTTTAGACTGTTTTCCTTAGCTTTCTCACTTTATTCGCTCTCCACAACTCACTAACTTCACTAGAACCGATTTTTAAAAAAAGAATGTTTTTTTTCAAACTCTTTTCCTTTTTTTGAAAACTAAAATTCCCTTCCGAAACCTTTTCTGTCTATGATTTTTCGAGTCTTCTATCACTGAAAATGTACTTTTTTTTCAAATGAACGTTTCTTTTCCTTCACCCAAGTTTTCCAGTTCAAATGACCTTTTTTCTGGTCATCCGATCCCGTTATCTTCCATAATTTCTCAACGAAAAATACTGATAAAGGCCGTCTGTTGTTCTGATAATATTGACAACTTCTTATCAAGCTTTTTCCCTGCTCACGTATCACATATATGGTTAGCTTTTATGGTCGCTCGTTCTTTGGATTTTTTGCTGATGAAAAATGGTGCCACCAGGTTTTTTTTTGGTTGAGAATTTTGACTTTTGAATGGTTTTTTCAGAGTTTCTTTCGTGAATTGAATAAGACTTCTTTTAAAAAAAAATCAATGAATTTTTTTGAATTTTAAATTTTTTTCCGGTTATTTTATTCAATCGGAAACAGTTCACGGAAAACCATTAAGTTAATAAAAATCTGATTTTGGCCCTATTTTTTGAAAAAAAAAATTCATGAAAAGTGACTTTTAAGCTTCGAAAAACGACATTTAATCAAATTTTAGCATATTTCAAGTTTTTTAACTATCAACTCATCACTATGAAAAGTTTCATCTTCTCGAAAAAAGTTTTAAAATTTGGATCCAACAAAAAGCAAAATTCTCAATAACCTCAACTTTCCAAAGTACCTTCTCTCACTCGAACTGACCATTTTTCTCTTTTTTCCAACCTCTCTCTGTCCCTCTTTTTTGTATTGAATGAGGCCGAACACAAAAGGAAAAGGGCGCGAAAAGTGGCGCCCGAAAAGAGAGAAAATTCGTCTTTTCGCTGGTTCTCGAGTATTTTTCAAAGGTCCTTCATTTGATTTATGGCTCGAAAAACAGGTTTTCGAAATTTTTTTGAGTATATTTTGTTCGGGACTTCTTATTGGCCTTTTAAAGGAGCATAGACAAATTTCATAAAAAAATGTTTCGAAATCCTTTTTATTTTGAATTTCGCGCCTTTTTTTAAATAATGCTTTGCGCCATGTTTGAAGTGTTTCCGTGAAGTTAAAAAAATTATCTCTAACTCTTCCAAATTCAGTTATCTTTTTCTTCCTCTGAGGAATTTTTTTAATCTTTAATTTTTTTCCGCTCGCGTAAGCCGTTTCATGGTCTGGCGCAGTTTTTATGCTGTTTTTACGACTTAATAATATTCGAAATCATAAAGCTTTCATATTTCATATTATAAAAAAATATAAAAATTTTTTTCACTTTTTAAAAATTCAAACCATTCCAAAAATCGCGCAGAACTTCCCCATCAAGAACCATTTTCTTGCCCCCGGCGAACAAAAAAATTCCACAGATTTGCCATTTTTTTCGCTTCCTCGTCCTGCCATTGATTTTGTGGATACCTAAAAAAACCGAGAATATTTTTTTCGGAAAGAAAAAAACTGGTAAAAAAATCAGAAATTCAGTACAAACTTGAGTCTTTGAAAAATCATGAAATTTCATTAAAAAAATCACGAAATTTTTACATTTCATTATTGGTATTTTTTTATCATTGAAGCTTAATCTCAGCTTTTTCAGTATAATTAGATAAGTTCGAAAATGACAATTTTTCCTGAAAAATAAAAAAATAACAGATTGGAAAAAAAGCTCTCTCCCGCTCTCGAAAAAAATTTTCCATCTCATCAAATAGAAAAACAAAAAAACGTTTCGGTTGCTATGAAATTATTCAAATAAAAAAAGGAAATCCAATCCAATTTTATTATTCAATGTGTCTTCTTGTTTCATTTTTTTCCGAAAAAAACATTTCCATTTTTTTTCGAATTTCTGCCAATAATATTGAAGTCGTTGAAGACGAATTACCTCAATTTGAAGGGAAAGTTTTGTTTTTTCGCATAGGAATGAGAACGAATAAACGTCTTTTTAAAAAAGCATTTTTGAAACTGGAAAGAAAGCTCCGAAAATAAAATGCGTCATTTATTTTTGAACTTTTTTCTTCAATTTTCAAGTGACTTAGGACCTCCCAAGTGGTTTCTATAGGGGCTAGCTCAAGGGCACTTGAAGGTTCCCCTTTAGGGGCCACTTTCCCTCCACTATAGGGGCAACTAAAGTTTTTAAAAGTGGCAAGCTGTTCTCTTTCCCTCTTCAATTTTTAAAATCAAAGTTAAAAGACCCTTTAGGGACCACTTGAGCATCAGGGGCTCAGAAATCCGACCCTGAAGCCCTACGGTAAACACTCAAGTTTTGCCCATATAGGGGTCACTTTTTCGTCTCTTTTAGAGGCTGTTTTTTCCCTAACCACTATAGGGACCACTCTGGCGTTTCTAAATTGAACATGGGAAAAATTTCGTATACACGACTGTTTGGAAAAAATTATGCATTTTTTCAAAAGTTTTCGCCGGAAGTGTATGTAGTTTGATCGTCTCCGAGTCACAAAATGGGTATTTCAAGGGAACTTGTTTACTTCAGTACCTATTTTAAGGCTCCAATCCAATAAAACTTCCCTTTTCTTGACACTATTTCCCCCCTTTGGAAAAGCTTAAAAGTGCCGTAGGGATACAATCTAAAAGCCAAAAAGAACGAGAAAAAAAAACTGCTGACGTCGACGGCTTGGAATTAGCCGGAAAATCCTGTCTGGCGCGGCGGCAAAAGATTTTTTGAATAGATTTCAGCCTCCTTGTTTGGGTTCGGATCGAGTTCTTCATCGGGAAAAAAGTTCCAAAATTTGGAAATTCTCTAGTTTTTTTTTTCAAAATTTGGAAATTCTCTAGTAGAGTTTTGAGGTCTTTTTGGAATTTACTAAAAATTTCTGTTTTTTTTTTGTTGTTTTTTCAGCTTTTCCTTGGCCTTTATAATATAGTAAACGATAAAAAAACCAAATTTTTTTGCGACCCAAACTCATACAAATTCGCGAAAAATGCGGCCTAAACTTCCCTGGAGCCCTTGGCGCAGCGCGTAATCGTTCGCTTGCCATTTTGACATCGCGGGTTCAACTCTTGTCAAGGCCATCAAACTTTTTTGCTGTTTTTTTTTTGTTTCCATGTAATTCCCACAACATTATTTTTCGAATCCTCAAGCATATAGTACATATACAGTCAAATAAAAAAAGATGTTCTTTAACTATTGCTCATGTTAGCCATTCTCAAGCTTCATCTACCTGCAACCAAGCCACGCCCCCTTTCTTTTTTTGCCGTTCGCGCGGCGAAAAAAAAAATATTCGGCCACGTCATCGTCAGCACACCCACACCTGGGCGGCGGAGCGGTTTTCTCGAAAATACGGACCTTTCGATATTTTTCAGCTTTTTTGTTCGTTTTTATTCAGGTCAGAAAAAGTTTATTCAGCTAGAAAAAAATTTTTTTTTTTTTTCCGAAAAAAATGAATTTTTTTCTGCACTTTTTTTGGGACTATTTAGTTGAATTTTTTTACCTATTTTCAGGTGAAAAACAAGAATTTTCTTCAAAACTTTTTGTGATTTTCACATGTAAACGTGTTGTGTCGAACGGCTCTTCAAATATTTGCCCATACTTTTTTTTTTCTCGGCCCGCTCCTTCCTGATTTTTCTGCTTTGAAATTTTGAGTTTTCCATTTTTCTAGGCTACAAAGTACAGATTGTTCATTTTGAACTGATAAACCTGATTTTTAACGAGATTTTGATGATGACTCATTTCGTTTTATCATTTCCGTTCACGGGATTTTGATTATAAAACAAGGGAAAGTCGATGAAAATTTGTAAATTCTGGGTTTTTTGAACAAGGTTCTGGCCTTAAAATATGATATGATATGAATTTTTGAAGACTTGTTAAAAAATTATTTTTTTTAGATTATGTTTTTTCGACTTTTTTGCTATTATTTTGAACTGTGAAATGAAATATTCAGTTAGAAAGTTTTTTAAGTTTCTCAATTTTTTTCACTTTTCCTCAGTTCATTTTTTTCGATTTTTTTCTATAGTTTTTTTCCAAACGCTGTTCTGGTATGAAAAAAAGTGATAGAAATTTTAAAAAAAGAAAAAAAAAGTTTATTTTTTTCATCCATTTTTTTGCAAAATCTAACCTTTTTTTCGAACTTTGAGACAATTTTGGTTTCCTAAATTCATAATTTCATTTTATTGATTTATCGAATTTATACTAATTTTAATAAAAAACCCGAAAATTGGCAAAGCACCAGAGCTCTCAGAAGTTCGGTCGAACACATCAAACAACTGTTTTTTTTTTTGCAAAAAAAAGCCCGGCGGACTGGATTTTTTCCCAACCAAAAAATTTCTTTTCGTCCCGTTTTATTATGAGAAAAAGGGGAAAAAACTGAACTTTTGAGCTGTAGAGAGATGGGAAAATCGAAAAAACGACGCATATTCCAATAAAAATCTCACAAAACGCGGCCAATATCCATTTTTCGACCAATTTCCGTCATGATGGGAAGAACCAAAAATGACTTCACTTCACGTTTTCAGGGGATTTTTAAAAAATTTCCATATTTTGTTCATTTCGTTCTGTTTTTAGTCCGTTATTCTAGAAAAATTCAAAAAGAAGTCATATTTTTTGTCTGAATGCCTGGGCTCTCTAACTCACTCAACGGTAAATATTTTTGCGCTGGTTAGAGAAAAAGAGAGCGGAGATAGTCAGGAATTTCGAAGAGGATACATTTCCCAGATTTTTTTAACCAAGAACTTTTCGGAAAAAACCTAGAGTTTTATTTTTCTCATATCGAAACAACCTATATTAAAATTAATTTTAAGAATTTTTTTCAAAAATAATTTTTTTTTTCTCAAGATTATCATGTTAAAGTCTGAAGTCGTCGCGAATAAAAATATATAAATTTTAGACGTTTTTTTTCTCGAAAATTGGATTTTTCACTTTTTTTTCTTTTTCTTTGCTCGAAAAAGGACCTTAAATTTAAGGTCTTACCTTAATGTCAGCTTCTTCAAGTGTTCTAGTTTTCTAGAATTGTCAAGTACATACTTCTGAATTTTTGTTGCCTGAAAAAAGGAATTTCGGATAGTTATGATTTTTTTGAACTCAACAAATAACCTTGAAGTCAAGTTTTTTTTCCTTTTTTTGACATTTTTCTCAAGTATTTTAAGAGTTCCATTTTTCTAGGCTTATCAAGTACAACATTTTGATATTTTTTTGGTACCCGAATCATTTATTTAGGAAACATACAGACTAAGTTAATTTGAAACCTCACTTTCAAAAAAAAAAATTTCCAGATTTTTTGTGTTTTTTTTCTTCAATTTCCTCCATGATTCACTTCGAAATCCACCAATTTCTGTTCTCTGTAAAACTAACCACTTAATCAAGGTCAGAAGCCCTTGTAGGGGTATTAGTAAGCGGAAAAACTTGCCTTATCAGCGAGATAATATGCTGATAAATGGGCGTGGCTTCAATTGCGTAGCTCCTCGTTTTTTTCAGTTTGAGCTCACAGAAACGCTTCAAAAGCAATGGGGAATTGCGTTTTTCTTGGCATTTATCAGAATTTCTCAAAATTTCCTTTTTGCCTGGTATTTTGATATTTGAGTTTTGCGCAATTTGGAACTGTTTTTCATACTTTTTGCGGTAGAATGGTTCAAAATTATCTCGCGGAAAATTTTACTTTTTTAATTTTTAAAACCTATTTTTTGGATCATTTTGAATATTATTCTCTTAAAGCTTTTCTTAAAAATATTATTTCCTGATTTTTTTTTGCCCTGACTGAATAATTTTCTTTCCTAGATCTCGATAAATCCCTTCAAATTTTTTTACATACTTTCTTATTTCATTGTTTTTTTTTTCCCGGACTCGTTTTCAACCCAAAAAAAATTTTTTCAGGCCAAACACCTCCTTCAAATTCGTCGTTTTTCCATTTAAAGTCGTTTTGAAATTTCGAAAAATCAAAGATCAAACGGCGACGTCCGCTGAAATCCGTTCAACGACTCAAAATGCTGATCAAGGTGAGAAATTTGATTTTTTTTTTCTTTCTGGAAAAGTGCTCACGAATCGAAATGAAAGCGTTTGAGCAACTCTCAAAAAAAAAAAGTTTTTCATTTGATGTCAACTGAATTTTTATATTCTTACATATTAGGCTTGTAAGTTATTGAAAAAAAAAATTTATCTTCAAAATTTTGTCGAAAAGTTGTGCCGGCTCATTTTCTAGACACAGTAAGTTTCGAAAAAAACTGAATTTTGGTTAGGTTCAGCTTCTAACTTTTTCTCTGTTTCCTTATTTTTCCACATTAATTCGGAACCCTCTTGAAATCTCTATAGAAATTGGCTCGAAAATGGCGAATATTGGATATTTTTTTCTAAAAAAACAGGAACTTTTAAAGATATAAAAATTTTGGTTTGAGAAAAAGAAAAAAATTTCATTGGAGCACCTGATTGGACTCAAATAGGCTAAAATGCGTCAGTGGACTTAGGTTTCTGGAGCCTGGATCTCTCAATGTTTATTCCGTCTTTTGCGGATCTGAACTGCTGTTTTTCTCTGCGCCCTCCTTGTCTCTCGGTGACTCTCTCTTATTTTCGTGCTATTTTCATGCTCCCCTGACTTTGCCGGTGAGGCAACAGAGAGACGCAGACACTCGAAAAATTTAAAGTCGAGACGAACGAACTATATAATAAATATTGGCTTCTAGAAGTTCAACTTTTAGTTTTTCTTTGCCCTCTCATTTTCCACACTATCCCTCCAGGAATTCCGAATCCCGATGCCGATCGACGTCGAAGACTTCCAACGTGGCCAACTCTACGCCGTCGCGGAACTCAGCAAAAATGAAACGGGCGGCGGCGAAGGGGCCGAGGTGAGCCGACCGCGACCGCGACACGCAACGCATCTGACGATCTTCAGTTCATCAAGCAGAAGGACTTCACGAGTACGACCCTCCTCCCCGGCAAGACCGTCTCCGGCACTTATACCTACAAGATCTACCATCTGAGGTCCAAGGCGCCGTGGATCCTTCAGAAGGTACTTTTTTTTGACAATAATCATTCGATTTTCGGATTACTGTACTCTTCCAAGTCTGCGACAGTTCGTGGGGTGTATGCGGACCTTTTTTGCGTTTCTGTCTTTTTCAGCATTCTGAGTGCGATTTTTTCGAATTTTTGCTTAGAACGTTTGTTTTGAAGCAAGTAGTTAGTTCAAAATTCATCATTTTCTAATTCTTGCTTTTTATTCGCTTTAAAGAGGAGCGAAAGAATAACAAAAATTGAAAGTAGAGTCATTTAATACGCTGGAAAAAGTCATAAAGAAAAATCGGATTTTTACCTAATCGATAACCAGTATGCATACACTTCAAGAGCGCACGCAGTATCGCAGACTTGATAGTTACCGTAACCCGAAAATTCAAAAATTGTTCTTTGACCCTCTTTTCATCAACAAATCAATAAAACGAATCTTTTAGCTTCATAACTTTTCAGATGCTCCCAGAAGAAGCCTTTGAAATCCACGAGGAAAGCTGGAACGCCTATCCTTACTGTAAAACAGTTCTAACTGTAATTTCCCCACGCTCTCCTCCCTATTGCTCATGTTAGCCTTCAGAACCCGAAATACATGAAGGAAAACTTCCAACAAATCATCGAAACCATTCACTTGCCCGACAATGGAACTTCTGAAAATGTCCGTTTCCCATATCGATTTGTTACTTAATCGATTTTCAGCCTTTAAATTGTCCCATCAAGCGGGAAATCATTACGCTCGACATTTGCGACGATAAAATTATTGGCAAATCGGCCTACAAGGAAAATTGCGATCCAAAAGTGAGATTTTCGAATTAAATTTCAAAAAATGTAGAAAATTCAGATTTTCCAGTCAACAAAAGCAGAAGTTGGGCCGCTGGAAAACGATTGGATCGAGGAACATGAACCGGTGAGTTTTTGGCAAACACTGGGAGGGAGATTGAACCTGGGACCTTTCTGGTGAAGGCCAAAGATGTTACCGGCTGCGCCATGATACAATGTGTTAAAAAAAGTGATGGATTCGTTCGAAAAAAATTGACACTATTCCTCAAAAAAAGAAAAAACAAAAAAAATAATAAAATGGAAAGTCTGGCTTAGTGGGCAAAATTTGCTACAGTTCTGAAGGTTCCAGGTTCGACTCCTCACCGCGTTTTTTGTTTTTTTGCCATTTTTTCCTGTGTTTCAAAAATTCATCAAACCTTACATATTTGTTGACTGTTTTTTAAATCATGCATTTTCAAAAAAAAAAACCGAGTGGCTCAGCGCACAAAATTTTTTGGTGATCTGAAAGGCCTTAGGTTCGAGTCCGCACCACGTCAAATTTGTTTTGCCATATCAAATTCTAATTTTCTTAATGAAGCCTGACACGTTTGCCCTCTATAGTTATAATATTTTTTAGCTAACCAAGTGGGTAAATAATTTTCTGTCGCTCCAGAGGTCCAAGGTTCGAGTCGTCACCGCGCCAAATAATTTTTGCCATTTTGAAGCCTCATTTTCTCAATGAAGCCTGACACATTTGCTTTCCAATAAAATGATATAATTCAAAAGAGGCGTTTAGCTCAGTGGTTAAAGAATTTCCGGTCGCTCTAGAGGTCCAAGGTTCGACTCCTCACCGCGTCAAATAGTTTTTTGCCATTTTTTTCCGCTTTTCAAAATCTTCTCTACCCTTCAATTTTCTTCCAAAAACTCAACTTTCCAGATAATGTGCGCCTACAAACTCGTCTCTCTGCACTTTAAATGGAAGGGATTCTCGAGTCTTGTTGAAAAAACGGTCCTGAAGCAATACCCGAAGATTTTTGGCGTTTTTCACAGGTTTCTAATGGGAAAAAAATGTGTTTCTTTAACGATTTTGGAATTCAGAGAAGCTTACACGTTAATCGACACCTGGTACGACATGACTTTAGAAGAAGTCAGAAAGTTTGAATTGGAAACGGCTGAGGTTCGCAAATCGATTTGGAAAATGTGATGTTATTTTTTTTTTAGGTTTTGCGGAAGCAGATCGCTGAGCCGGAGAAACGGGGAACGACTTGCAATGAGAAATAAAATTTCTATTAAAAATAAATTATTGATTCATTTGCGCTTTTTCGAAGGAAATCGTTAGAAAAAAATCTTAAGTCTCGGCGCCAAAAAACCAAAGAAACGGTCAAAGTTTAAGTGAGAAAGCAATGGAGAAAAATATAAAGTATTTCTTTATATTGTATGAGAGAAACCGCGTGCTAATTTATCGATGAATCGTAGAAAAATAAGAGGATTTCCGAGTACCTACTACACAGAATCTCTTTAAAAAAATTGTTACTCGAAATTTAAATTTTAAAAAAAGTTCAAAAACTGAAATGAAGTGGAAACTTACTTACTTACTTAGATACTTAGATGGTCCATCTTCGCTTTCGACCTTTTATTGCCTTTTTAGTGCCTTTTATTGATCGAAGCGTGGACCACACGTTTTCCAGGAGGTCTTATGCAATCGGTCATCCAGTGTTGTCGTCCTGGTTGACTGGTATTCTTGCGAAAAAGTTCCATCCGTGGTGTTGAACGTGTTATAGCATAATTGTGGTCTTATTATCCTTTTTGCCTTGCCAGGGCTAAAAAAGACCGCTCATTCTGTTAGCAGAAGCAAGCCGAATCGCGTGACCGGTGTACCGTTAGCCGCCATAAATGGCGTTGCCTCCCCATCACCGCGTAGAGGTGGTACTTGAAGGGGATGAAGTGGAAAACAAAAAAAAAATTGAAAAACTTGCTTATTTAAAAAAAAACGCTGAAGCCGTGAAAACGTCGTGGACAAGATTTAAAATCATTACTCGACTGATTTTCGGCGGCCGCCGCTTCTTCTTCTACTCGTCATGCTGTACAAGGCTGAAAATTTTCGTTTTTCATTTGGAAAATAAACTGGAGCGAGAGATCTGTGGTAGCCTGAAGAGACGGCAGAGAAGTGAGAGGGCCTTTCTTTCTCTAGAGTCTCCAAAACGGCGCTCTCTCGGCCTCTCCTTAAAAACAAACTACAAGAGGACAGAGACTACAAAGAAGTTGAGTGCTCTGATTTCTCTGGCGTTTCTTCAAGAAGTATTGATCTCTAGCTCCAACCTTTCCTAGCCTCCCAGGGCTGACAAATATCATATAGAACTGCATTTACCCATTCTTCTCAGGAATACCGTATCCCTCTGCCGCTCGACGTTGACGATTTCAAACGGGGCCAGCTCTACGCCGTCTCGGAGCTCTGCCGCAAAGAGACGGGCGGCGGCGAAGGCGCCGAGGTGAGCCGACCGCGACGCGGCACGCAACGCGTTCGACCATCTTCAGTTCGTCACGCAGAGAGAATTCACGAGTTCGAGCCTCATACCAGGCCAAACTGTCACCGGAACCTACTACCACAAGATTTACCGTCTCAAGTCCAAGGCTCCCTGGATCCTTCAGAAGGTTCCATTTTTTCATCAAAGTCGAAGGAATTTTTTTTGTGACTTCTGATGAAGCTTAAGAGTCTACAAATTCTGGAATAAAATAAGTATTTTGTATTTAGAACTTATATTTAAGTTATTACACTCTTTTTAAGGTATTTTGGATTTTTTTTTAAATTCGACAGGAGACTAAAAAAAATTCTGAAACAACAAAAATTGATGAAAGAAGAATCCTTTTAAATCCTGGAAAACCAAAAAAATCCGGTTTTCACCCTCCTAAGCGATAACAGTATGCATACACTTCAAGAGCGCACGCAGTATCGCAGACTTGATAGTTACCGTAACCCGAAAATTCAAAAATTGTTCTTTGACCCCCTTTTCATCAACAAATCAATAAAACGAATCTTTTAGCTTCATAACTTTTCAGATGCTCCCAGAAGAAGCCTTCGAAATTCACGAGGAAAGCTGGAGCGCCTATCCTTACTGTAAAACAGTGCTAACTGTAATTTTCCTATGCTTTCTTCCCTATTGCTCATGTTATCCTTTAGAACCCGAAATACATGAAGGAAAACTTCAGACAAGTCATTGAAAGCACCCATTTGCCGGACAATGGATCGGCGGAAAATGTAATCTCTCCTACCTATTGATCATTTTCTCACCGATTTTTAGCCTTTGAATGGCCCTAAGAAACGGGAAATTATCACCCTTGATATTTGCGACGATACACTCATCGGCAAATCGGCTTACAAAGAGGATCGCGACCCGAAAGTCCGTTTCTAAAAGTTCGATTCCAAAATATGGAAGAAAATTCCAGAGTTTCCGCTCAGAAAAAGCAGAAGTTGGCCCTCTGGAAGATGAATGGATAGAAGAACACGAACCGGTAAGTTTGTGGCAAAAAAATCCTGGAGAGGAATCGAACCTGTGCCCTTTTTGTGGCGGTCAAGGGTGGTACCGACTGAGCCAGGACGCTTTTTTTCCACGTAAATGAGAATTTTTCTATTTCAAATCTAAAAAAATAAAACGAAAAACTTGAAAAAAAGCCAAGATTGTCTTTGATTGTCGTGAAAAAGGTCCCGGGTTCGAATCTTAGATGCGTCGAAGAATTTTTGCCATTTTTGGAAATTTCTAGAAATCGTGCTCTTTTTCTGAAGGTCACTAGTTGATTCATTAGGGTTCCGAAAATTTTCGCCATTTTTTACTATGAAGAGATGAAAAAAAAATTTCTGGCAGAGCGGGAAAAAATTCCCTGCCAATATAAGGGTCCCAGGTTCGGGTCCTCACCGCGTTGGAAGATTTTTGCCATTTTTTCATAGCCACATTTCATTCCTAGCTTGGAAGCCTTTGGACTTTGAAAGAACTAATGATATTCTTTCAAAAGACTAGCTTAGTGGGGAAAAAATTTTGCTGCCGTTTCAAAAGTCACAGGTTCGATCCCTCACCGCGTGAAACAAATGTTTGCCATTTTTTCCAGAGTTTCCAAATCCTATAAAAGTCAAGCCACTACAGATTAAGAGCTAGCTATAGACTATTTTTTGATGTTTTAAATCTCAGAACTTTTTAAATAATGAAGCCTAGTCCAGTGGGGGAAAATTCTCTGCTTTTTGAAAGGTCCCAGGTTCGAGTCCTCACCGCGTTGGAAGATTTTTGCCATTCTTCCTGTGTTCAGAAATTCACCAATTAAACATCCACTGACTATCTTTTTCAAAACAAGACCTAAAAAAACGACTAGTTGAGATTCCAAAGAATTTTTAGCCATCTGAAAGGTTCCAGGTTCGACTCCTCTTCGCGCCCAAAACTTTTTTGCCATTTTTTTTCTTGATTTCAAAACCATTTTTACCTTTCTTTTTTTGTTTAAAAGTTGAAATATTCAGATAATGTGCGCCTACAAGCTCGTCTCGATCCATTTCAAATGGAAGGGACTGACGAGTCTCGTCGAGAAGACGGTCCTCAAGCAGTATACCAGGATTTTCGGCATGTTCCATCGGTTTCTAATAATTCTCGAGGATTTACTATTTTTCCTGATTTTCAGAGAAGCCTATGCTTCGATCGACACCTGGTACGACATGACGTTTGAGGAAGTTCAAGAGTATGAACTAGAAACGGCCAAGGTTTAAAAATGTCTTTTTTTAAATCTTATATTTTGATTCCAGATCCTGCGAAAGCAATTGGCAGAGCCGGAGAAGCGCGGCACGAAATGCGACGATAAATAACTCAAAAATCGACAAATAAACCATTAATTCCATGCAATTTATTCACAAGAATCGTGGAAATTAGTGCAAAAATGACGAAAATTAATACAAGAAGTCCTACCGGTGCTTTGTGGGGGGATCTATCCGTTTTAAAAAAGAAATAAATCTTGGGACCTTGGGATCACAATCTCATTTGGGAGGGGAATCATTATGCGATCGATGGAGCACCATTAAATACAGATACGGTTATAATATAGGCTATTAAATCTCGGAAAGTGGATACTGGGAAAATTATTAGTGGCCACTATGGGGTTTAGACGTTTTAATGGCCACTGTAGTAGTCGAATTAGTGACCACTTGAGGGGTTAAAAATAAGTGGCCGCTATAGGGTTCTGTCGTTTTAGTGGCTACTTGAGGGGTTGAAAATAAGTGGCCACTATAGGGTTTTGACGTTTTAGCGGCTACTATAGAGATCTAGACAACTAAAATTGTTAGTGGCCACTTTAGGGGTCAATGGATCAACATAACTGGTCCAATCTGTTTGTTTTAAAATTATCAGAGTTACTGGAAGGAATACTGGATGAAAAACTACTGAAGTGGCCACTATAGAGGTGGATTTAGGGGCCACTTCAGTGTTCTCTCCAAGTAGTCCTTGGCGAGCCTCTATAGTGACCACTAAAAACTTTCCGAGTGATGACAATTTGAAGCAAAATGAGTAGGTTTTCAAGCTTAAGAGCACCTAACAGAAATATAATCTCTTCGTGAAACAGGCAATGTGAGAGAAAGTGGGTAAGTAGAAGTTAGTTTCAAAGTACAATTTCCGGCATTGGATTGCTCCGATCAGGGCCTAATAAATGCGCATAAACGGCGTAGGTGTGGCAAGAAGCTCCTAGAATTTTCGGGAATTCAGAAAAAGCATTCAAAATGTTGTGGTCGCATGCGGAATGGCAACGCGTTGCGGTTGGTCGGAGGCTTTGAGCCATTCCCCATGCGACCAACATATTTCAAAACTCAATTTCTATATGCCCTAGTGACCACTTAGATCTCCCTAGTGATCATTTAAAAAGAACTCGGAAAAAAAAACTTTTCTCAGTTCTTTTTTCCCGATTTCCGGGTGAAAACCGAGAAAACCGACCCATCAAGACGAAAACGTGCCAAATCGCATGGGCGAACGCGATAACGCCGTCCAGTTTGAAAAATATGACTCCGACGGCGTAACAGGCGCCTCCGACCATCATCAGATCCAGTCCGGAACGGTCATTCTGCAAAAAAAAAACTAGTTAAATAAAAAAAATTTTAAAAATTAAAAAGAAATTTTTAAAAAATCCAACAGAAATTAAAAAAATGATAAAAATGATACAGAAAACTTTTTTATATAGTGCGATCCTCGCCAGCTTATCACAATTTTCGTTTTCAATCGAGCTCTAAAACCCTTTGCCTTTTTTGTGAGTGCGCCTTTAAAATAAGGGAAAATTTTTAGTCATATTGAAGGCGCAGGTACGAATACAGATCTTGCGCATCGAAGGGAAGGATTCTGTAGCTTAAAGAAAAATAAAAATTGGAAAAATTGGCGCAGAATGGCCTTGAAAGTGTGAATTTTCATGATTTTGCAGTACTTTATGCAAAACGGGCGCGCTTTTTCTGCAATCGCGGCACGATTCAACTCTTCAAGAGATTTCGTTTCTACTAGGCATTTCATTTGAAGCTTTTAGAACTAAATAAAGAAGCTGTGATCTGAAAAAAATAGAAAGGAAAATAGAAACCATGGTAAAAATGGCGACGGACGGGCCACCGGCGATCGCAATGTACAACAACGTTTCCAGGGTTTTATATCTGTAATTTTCAAATTTATTCCGTTAAACGATATAAAAATAGTGAAATGGACAAGTGAAAAACAACCTCTCATGGAAATTATATTGATAAAGGATGCCGAGGATAGCGAAAACCCAGATCATCCATTTCAAGTTGAGCCCCGGGTAGCCGCAATGTCTGAAAAACAATTATTATACATTTTCAAGCCAATTTTTCTTAAAAAATTCAAAAAATATTTCGCCGAAAAACATTGAAAAATTTTTTGAAATTGCTTGAAGTGGAGAAAATGAACCATGCCGCGGTTGCAGAAAAAGCGCGCCCGCTTTGCAAAAAATGCTGCGAAGTCATAAAAGTCCCCATTTTTAAGGTTTAGCCGATCCTCGGCCATAGTTAATTCAGATTTTAAACTTCAGTTGTCGCTCAAGCTCCGCCCCTAATAGCGCGATAAACCAATCAGAAAGCGAGCCATCCACAGAGCGTTTTCGAATGACGTCATTCTACTTGACATTCAAAATATGAACAGACTATAAACAATTGAAAACAAAGAAACTTGATTTGAGGAATTTCAAAGTGGAAAATTATCCATATGAAACTTCAAAAAATCACCTCAAAGTGAGCCAAGGTGTGTAGGAAGCAGCGATGAACAGGTAAATTGCTGCTCGGTCAAATATGTGCAAATAATACCGTAATTTCCTTCGTCTGAAAAAAAGATATCAACAATCTGATTTAAGTGAAAAATTTCAAAGCTTTTAGAAAGTTTTTATAAATTTTTTTGAAAAAAATTCAACTTTTCTCTAGAAACTAACAGTGAAAAAAAGCTTTTTTTTACAAATTCAGAAAGAAATGAACTTGATTAGTAAGGTTTCAGTTGAAAAATACAGAAAAATTCAGAAAAAAAAATCAAAAGAAAAAAAGGGGAAAAAAAATGCAAGGAAAATCGCTTCATAGAGAATCATCGTAATCTGGAGCATCGGAGAACTTAATTACTCGGACATTGGCAACTGAGAAATTTTGGAGTGGTCACTGTAGGGAATAGGGAGCCCTAGAATTTTCGTTCAGAATCACTATAGGGGCCACTAAAATCTTGGCCGTAAAATTGCCCCTATGGTGATCCCTAAACAACAAAACTCTATAGGGACCTCTCTTAAACTCCTCAGAAGATCAACTTTTCCTCAAACTGTCTTCTCAGTTCAAAAGCTCAATTTTTCAAAACCCACTCATTTTTCTGCCGATAGAGCAGTTCACACGTATGATACACCGTGGAGGACGCAAAGAGGAGCGTCGTAAAAGTGCCGTAGAGCAACATTAACCAATATTGGAGCTCCCGATGGGCTTCGCCGATCATAAAATAGTGGAAGACGAGTACGCTGGGGCCTATTCCTATCTGAAAAAGTACAGGGAACTTGAAATTTATAAAGCTGGCCGTTTTTGGGTTATTTCAACCATACATGGGATTGTCAAAAATGTTTTTTTCTCAGTTAAAAAAATGATCGGAGAAAAAAACAGGGGGATTTGGCTGTCGCCCGTCATGCTCATCCCATGTATGATTTCAACCTTGAAAATTTTTTTTCTTGAAATACATTGAAAAAAATGTTTTGAAAAACCACGTTTTAATCAAAAACTTAAGTTCATTTTTTCTCAAATTTCTTTTTTCCTTCTATTTTTCGACGTTTTTTTCCTACAATGAACCTTTCTATCAAAAAAAATGACATGAAAGACGCTAGAAATACTTTTTTCGACCTTTTTTTCGGATTTTTGAATAAAAAAATCATGGGACAAGAGGCAGAATCTTGAAGACTTTTTTTGAAGATCTTTGAAATTATTTTTTTAAAAAAAGTTCGCTTTTTCTCTAACTGTTACAAGAATGTGGAGCCTTTGCAAAAGCCTCAGAAAAAAATCTTTTAATTTTAAAACTTTCAAAAAAATCAAGTTTGATAAACATTTTTTTCTGTCCGAATGAACTTTTTTTCTATGGACCCTGGGAACGTTTTTTATAGATCTTGTCTATAAAATCCTTAAAAATCGACTGAAAACCGACAAACCGCATGAGAAAGAGTGTTGGCGACGTGTTCGTGGTGCGTTGGCTCGTAGGGCTGTCCATTCGACGCCCTTTTATTTTTGTAGGAGCCAGGTGAGGGGCTGAAAAGTACTTGTTTCAAAGGTGTCTTGATCTCGTTCTTGTGGGAAAAAATCCTATTCATGGGGAAAATCGGAAATGGTGGAAATGGCTCCATAGAAACGTTCCTTTTTTGCTGCCTTTCTGCGCCATTTTCTCGGCCCTTATGCACCATTTTTGCTGCCTCTCCCTTTCTCCACCATTTTCGAGCCTTCAAAATCCCAGAAAAATGGATGGCTCGATAAAGGGGCCTTCTTTGCAGCCCTTTTGCTTCCATTTTGCAGCCTTTCTGCGGCCTTTTTTGAGCCTCTCTCTTTTAGTGGCCATTATTCACCATTCCGACTTTGCACGAGATTTTTCGAATTTCAATCACGGGAAATATGTCACTCCACTTCTCATAACAACAAAAAAAACCAAGTTTTTATAATTTCATGAAACTCACTTCCTTTTCCTTCTTCTCACTTGTTTAAACTTCTTCTTTGGTTTTAAATTCTCGTCATTTTTTTCGTCCAAAGTAATTGGAAAATTCAAAAAATCGGCGCCTGAGGAAAATTGCTCGAACCGCGGCAAGAATCGCCGAGGAAACCGTCGAAGCTTGCATTAATTCCTTGAAAGTGAGAAAAAAAAATATAAAAATTCTAAAAGTCGGTGGTCGCACGTGGAATGGCTCAAAGCGTTGCGGTTCGATTATATAATCCGGCGATTTCGAATGCCAAGGTTCCAAAGTCGTTTCAAGTCGGGTGCACTTTCTAACCGCTTTGCATCCGCAACGCGTTGAGCCATTCCCCATGCGACCAAAAAAATCTCAAAACGAAGAAAAAAATTTATGAAAGAGAATAAATCGAGAGAAAAAAATAAGTGATAAGAGCTTTCTTATCTGAAAAAAATGATTCTCAGAAAAATGATAAGATGAGAAAGAAAAATTCAAAAATTTTTGCTTTTTTTCCATTTGCGTGTGACCGCAAACGACTTCGCCGATTGTCATTATGAAAAGTTGAATAAAAACGTCGAAATCGAAAAAAATTGAGATTTTGAATTTCTACTAATTCAATGATATTAAGGGTAAAAAAATAAAAGAAAAATTAGACAAATTTTTAAAAAATTGGTTTTTTGGAGCCGTAATAAGATTTTGATCATTCATTCACCGTTAGCTTGGAAAAAAAGTATATAAATACTAAAAAAATATGTCTGAATCTCTCATTTTAGCACACTATTTCCTTAAAAACGTGAAAGACTTTATATAATGTAATCTAAAACCAGTGAGAAAGGAACAATCAAGGCTGGAAAGTACTAAAAATAAACCTCCAGACAGAAAATTCAAAAATCAAGTTCAAAGAATGAAAATCATAATGATACAAGAGCCTGATTTGTGGAGCAGATTGACACGTGAATTTTTTGTCCAACTCGTACTTTTTCTTATCTTCCTTATAAGCAAACAAAGTGGAACAATCGGGATATTTATTACGATTTTTTTCATCTTAATAAATAAATTGTTAAACCTACTTATTGAAAAAAACTAGTAAAACTACCGGAAAAAAATTAAAAAAATAGTAGAATTTCCACTCTTTTTTTCTGGTCAGACTGTCAAAAATTGCCAAAAAAATTGAATTTTATCAACTTCTTCAATAGAAAAAAACTTTTTAAATAACGACCAGAAAGGTACCATTTTTTTCCAATCAAATCCAAAAAAACTTCGATTTCAAGGCATTTTTTTGTCATTTTTTTGGGCTAAAAATTGGAATCTCGGACGTAGAAAAAAATTTTTTTCATGGTCAGATAACGCTCAAAAAAATACTTAAATAAATGATTCATACAATGGGGAAAATTTCCTCTTTATCATTAGTGAAACGAACTCGTTGATTACCAAATCGGTGATTCATAAGAAACAGCTTATCAAGAAACAAGGGAGATAATTAAAGTTTTTCTTGGAAATTTCTTGAAACTCGGCCAAAAAACTCATTGAAGTACTAGGAAAAGATCTTGAAAGTCTCAATTTGTATAACTTCCTACTTTTCAAGAAATAAGGACTCAAAGTCCCAAAAAATCCTATTTTCAAGGATTTTGAGGGATGATTTCTCGAAAACTAGGAGGTTTTGCAAAATGAGGCTTTCAGAATCTTCTTTTAATACATCAAGGATTCTTCTGGCCAATTTTCAAGAAATTCCCAACCTGGAAGTAAAATGACCTCCTTGTGGGATCTCAAAAAACCCGAAAATTCGGACGTTTTAGTGACCATTTTAGTAGCTTCAGAACCCTTAAGTGATCCCTAGGAATGCCTGAAAACGTCCGGTTTTCATTGACGTGGTTAACTTCAATTTTTTCCGAGTACGAGAAGAGAGGGAAACTCCGATCTTTATAAAAAAATTTCCAAAAAAATTTCCAAACTTACTTGGTCCTTGCGGATCCAAAGAGAAAAAGGCCTAGTTCAAAAAGGCAATCAACACAATTTCTTCAAGCATGCCAAACTTCTGAGTGGTCAGTCTGAGGATGATATCAACGTTCTAAAAACCTCTGATGGAGAGGCACTTACCTGCAACTTCGCTAAAGCTAACCTCTTATCTACAGAATTTCATTCATTTTTCACAATCGATGACGGAAAAACTCCGCCATGTGTTTCTAAAACATCTAACCGTTTATCTGTCATAGATCTCCCAGCGCACAGAATAGAAGCTTTTTCTTCGTAGAATGCCCTCTAAATGTAACACTACTCCGGATGAAATCCCTCCATTTTGCTCAAAAAAACTGTTCCACATCTCTCGCCTATCCTCTTTCTATTATTTTTTTAACGCCTCTCTCCGATCTGGTCAAATTCCATCTGTTTGGAAAACAGCCATTATCAAACCCTTACACAAAAAGGAAGTAGATCTGACCCTTCAAATTACCGTCCAATTAGTTTAACCAGTTCAGTTTGCAAATGTCTTGAAAAAATAGTTGTGCATGATTTCAGCGTTTTTCTCAACTCTAACTCTTTGTTAAACTCTAACCAATTTGGATTCCGCCCTAAATATAACACGTCTATTCAACTAATTCAATATTGTGCAAATCTTTTTGAAAATGCAAACAGTAACCTTTGCACGGACGCTATCTATATTGACTTTTGCAAGGCTTTCGATACTGACTCTCATGCTAAACTTGTTTACAAGCTTCAATTTTACGGCATTTGTGGTCTTCTTCTTGGCTGGATCGAATCCTACTTGACTAATCGTGTGCAGTGTGTTTCTCTTTCTGGAGTACTTTCCGACCCCGCTCCTGTACTCTCCGGCGTACCCCAGGGGTCGGTCATCGGACCCCTTCTGTTTCTACTTTTTATTAACGACATTACGGATAACTTTCGCTCTGCGCCCCTTCTCTATGCTGACGATTTAAAAATTTTTCCTTCGCTCACAAAAACCTCTAGTTCTACTGTCATCGAAGAAGACCTCAAATTACTTGAAAAACTGGTGTTCAACATGGCAAATGGCTATAGCTCCAACTAAATGCTATTCTATTCATTTCGGAAAACGTAACTCAAATATTTCTTATAAAATTTCAAACATGGCTTTACAGCCTAAACTTTCAGTTCGAGATCTTGGTGTAGTTTTCTCAAATAACCTTAAGTTCAATGATCATATATCTGAAATCTGCAGACGGTGTAAATGTCGCATAAATGTTATGTTTAACGTGTTTCGATCCACTGAGCTTTCATTGTATTTAAAATGCTTTGAAGTGTATATTCGTCCTATTATTGATTATTGTTCTGTAGTCTATGCTCCAATTGACTCTCACAATATTTTGTTTTGATTGAAGGTGTTCAGAAAAAGTTTCCTTTTTCCGAGCTTACCATCGTTGTGGCTTGCCCTACCACTCTTATTTCACTTGTTTATCTGAAAAATAGTCTCAAAACTCTTGAGACAAGACGCCTCATCTTTGACATGTCTCTTGTTTATAAAAATTGTACTTAGAGAAGTCCCCATTGATTTCGATAGTCTCTTCTTTTTTTCCCCCGTGTCCGTGCGCTGCGTCGCCATCGCTATTATTTACGTTCAAATATAAGACATAATAGTAACATCGTTGCCTCGTTTTTTAGTATCAGAATAATTAATGTTTGGAACTCCCTTCCCGATGTTGTATTTGATCTATGTAATGATTCTATGCGATTCAAAATCTATTTAGAAAACAACCCCGATCTTCTGGCTGACTTTCTCAAAATATCTTCTAACTTTTAAACGGTTTGTTGCTGTTTTTAATGTTTAAATTTCCCTTTTTGAAAATTGGTTCTGTTAGAGGTCTTTTCGGCCCTTGAACTGTATTATTATTCGTATTGAATGAATGATGATGATGATGATGTACTCAACCAATGCACCGGAGAACTTCAAATAAAAACTTTGAAAAAGACGAACTGAAACCGAAAAATGACGTAGGTAAGAAAAAGTTCAAATTTTTTCCATCAATATGATATCCATTGAGCTATAATTTAAAATTGTCTAACTTCTCTGCGCCCTCTCGTTTCTACGTGCTATGTCCAATTTCTCTGAATTCCCATGCGAGAGAAAAGAGAGCGCAGACCGGTCAGACAGTTAGAAAATGACGAAAATATTAAAATTTGAAAGAATGAACCGTTCAAAAACGACCCAAGAGAGTTCAAATTTTGAATTTAATCGAGAAAATGATCCTAAAGACGGAAAAAAATCATTTTAACATCGAAATTGCAGCTCTGCCTCCTTTAAACCACAAAAACGCCAAAAATTCCAAGAATCTTCTGAAAATAAGGTGCTTAAAACCCTTCCCCTATCTTTTACGTTGACATTATTTGCACAAACGCAACGGTAACGTCAGGAAAAAGACCAAAAATAGCCAAAAATCCCAGAAAACGCTAGCAAAAAGAGTTTTCCATTGCGAGGAACTAGAGAGAAACTGATAAAAGTTGCTCGCGATAAATCAGAAATTGAAACTGCAAGACTAGAAAACAGTTTCAAAGCGTTCATTTATGTAATTCTGCTTGAAATTTAGTGGTTCGATAAATTTCGTATAATAGATGAATTTAGAAATTATTAAATTCGGACGGGTTTAAAAAACAATCTAATCTCTATTCCTCTGCGCCCTCTTATTTTCTCATGCTTTTTCCCTTTTTTAGGACATTTGGCGAGGGAAAAGAGGGCGCAGACATAACAGATTTTTTTAATGCTGAACAAATTCATATAGTGAACCGCGGCAGAAATTAATAAATTTTATAGACCCTTATTCGGAATTTGTAAATATGACTTCTCTGCGCCCTCTCATTTTCACATGCTCCTTCCCTTTTCTATGACTTATGGTGAGAGAAATGAGGGAGCAGACATTCCAGACTGTTTCAAATGGTCAAAACAAAAAAAAAATGAGAAAATTCGGCGAAAAAGTCCATTCATCGTCTGACTTCTCTGGCCCCTCATACTTTTCCATGCTCTCTCCTTTTTTATTTTTTTTATGACCTTTCTATGAAAAAAATCCATTATCGACCTTTTATTCACCAAAACTTAAAAATCTGACTTCTCTGCGCCCTCACGCTCCCACGTGCTATTTTCAATTCTCTCTGAATTACCATGAGAGAGAAGAGAGAGCGCAGACAGGTCAGACTGTTTCAAATCGTCTGAAAAATTTCGATTAGAAAAAAAAAGTCCAAAAAGCTCCATTGAACCTTATTCATCGCGAACTAATAAAGTCTGACTTCTCTAAACCCTCCTATTTTATATGCTATTTTCTTTTTACTCCGTCTCTTCCGATTAGACAGAAGAGGGCCCAGACAGGTTATATTGTATTAAATCATCTAAAAAACCGAAAAAATCAAGAAAAAAAGGCTCACTCGACGACGCCGCAACTGCCTGGAATCAGGTCCCTGGTGACGTCATCGTCGTCGTCTGTCGTCGATGACGTCATCACGTCCTGACGTCGTGCAGCCTCGTCGTCCCACTGACGTCTTCGGAAAAATATTTTTATCTTCGCAAAAAAAAAATCATGTATTTCAATGGTTCAACACCATTTTTTTTCGCGATTTTCAAAAAATTTCAAATTTCAAAACAATTCATTCAATGGACAAGAGATCAAGTAAGAATAAAAACCCAGACAAAAAAAATGAGATCTTAAAAAACTTGAAAAAAAAAACAAGTTAGAACGGAAAATCGATCAAAAAGTCCCTAGAAAATTGGTAAAACCATTATTTTAGTGATAATTATAGTACAAACAATGTTATTTAATGAATTATCCTTGAATTTCAGACTTCTAGATGACCAAAATTGGTGAAGAAAGCAAAACAATGCTCTAAAAAGTGGAGAATAATGAGATCCAAGCGGAAAAATGACCTGAAAGAGTAAATTTTAAAAAATAATTATTTTTTTCAACAGAGAATGAAAAAATCCTTCACTTGAAGAAAATAGAATGTAAGATGCTCAGGAAGACAGAAAAAAACTCATTCCAAGTAAAAATTTAAATAAATAAATAAATAAACCGTTAAAACTGACACATTTTTCATGAGAAAAAGTCATCAAAAAAACTGAAATTTTACAGCAAAAAAATGATATCTTTGAAACAAAAAAAGAACCATTGTAAATATTAAATGCAATATTCAAAAAAATAGAGTTAGATGCGCAGGCACGAAGAAAAAAAGCCATTCCAGAGAAAAATTTCAATAAAACACCCAAAATTGATGTTTTTTTGAAACCGAAATGTCATTTAAAAATCCTAATTTTACAAACAAAAAAATTGATGCCTTTTAATCGAATTTTTTTGAACAGAAAAAAAGGTGATCTAATCAATTTAAAGACACGAAAAAGGAAAGTAAGATGTGCAGGCACGAAGGAAAAAGCCATTGCAGGAAGAAAATTTTAAAAAATGGCGATTTTCAAAGCGAAAAATCAATAAAAATCAAACTTTTTTCAAAATTACGCTTCATGATCGACATTAGGAACAGAAAAAAAGGTTAAATAATCAATTAGAAGAGACAAAAAAAGGAAATTAAGATGCGCAGGCACGAAAAAAATGGGTCATTCCAAGGACATTCGGGAGATTCGGTCGCAGGTCGATTCCGTCCGTTGTTTCAAAGCGTCCGTTTTCGGACCTTAAAAATGGTCAAATTGATAAAAAAATTGATGAGAAACGTGTCCAAATGATAAGAAAGTTGAAAAATAACAGTTTTCAATTAGATAATTACTAGCAATTTTCAAAAATAATTAAATTATTCGGTTAAAACCCTAAAAAAATCAACTTCATCAGATTTTTTTCTACCCCTCCTCATCTTCTAAAAAATTAATAAAAAGTCAAAAAAATTATAAACACGATCAAACTTGATTTCAAATCCGAAAAAAGCGCCAAAAAAATTTCTGTTCATATGAAAATGGATGAGAAAAAGCAACAAGATGGTCTCGAAATCCTCAAAAAGAAAGAGAAAGTCGCGAAATCGATATTTCCAAGCGGAGGACACGCTTTAAAAACGCGGATTCCTTCAAAATTTGACGTTTTGCGGAGATTTCTGAGATTATTATCGTAAATTTCATGGTTTCTTTTTTTCCGGAATGAGCATTTTTCGGTGAAAAAAACGGAAAAAAAGGGAAAAAAATGAAAAATTTTGTAATTAAAAAAATAACTCAAAAACCAATACGCAGAAATCAAATTCGCATTTTTTTGGTGAATGAACTTTTTTTATTATGAATAAAAGAGCACGAAAAATTGATTTTTAGAATAATAATTCGATTAATAACTTCTCTGAAACGGCAAAGGTATGTCAAAAATCGTTGAAAAAAACCAAAGTCGATTACAAACGAAGAAAAATCAGCGGAAATAAAAAAAGAAAAATTTTTCTTCCGGAAAACAAAGTATTTGATAAATTTGCATAAATATAACAATTGTTTACAAAAACTAATCAAATTTGAAAAATTTACAGAAACCGCAAAAAAATCTTTAAAAATCCGTGAAAAAAAGATCGATAATCAGAAAAAAAGATAATAAGCGGAAAAATCGACCAAAAAAATTTTTGAAAAATGTCGCTTTTTTTCGAATATTCTTCTATCTAAAGGATTCAGAAATTTAATTCAGCATTATTTCGAAGAAAAAAATTATATTTGAAACTTTTCAGAAACCGCAAAGTGTTCTAAAAGTTCTTTAAAAAAAATCGATCATAAGGAAGGAAACAAAGACAACTTGATGGAAAATAACAAAAAGGGGGCAGGAAAAAAAAAAGAGAAAAGATGTGTTGGCCAGACGTTGAGAGAAACAACGAGAATGCTGGAAAATAGGCGAAAAAAAAAGGAAGCATTAGTGGATAAATGGCAGGTTTTCTAATGAGTTTCTTCAAAATACTCGGGAAAAATTGAACAAAACTTTTTTTCGAATATAAAAAAGTTTAGGGTCGAATACTGATCCGTTATTCAAAAGTAATTATGATTTTTTTTTTTTTGAATCAGTGAAATTTCGAGAAAAATTTGGCTCAAAATATCGTTTGAACATTTTTTTATGTTGTTAGATATGACGGAAACGACTTTGACTTCCAAAAATTTCCGAATTTTTTTAAATTTCCATGTTTGTCATTTTTTTGTTGATACATTTCCGAACATGACATTTTTTTATGTGACACAATGAAGAAAAAAATGGTCTCGGATTTTTTTTAGCAATTTTTCTGAAATTTTTCAACTTTTTGAACAGTTTTCAAGCTGAAATTAGTAAATTTTTTTCGAAAGTTGGAAAGTTTTTCAAAGCTAATATCACCTGCAATTGATGAAAAAAATAGAAAAAAATTTGATGAAAAAAACTAAAAAAATTTTTTTGAGCTTCAAACTCACTTTTTTTCCGTGAAAAATCGGAAAAAATTTTTTTTTAGGAATTCAAGAAAATTTTTTTAAAAGAGAATTTAACTTTTTTTAAGCTTCTTTTTCGGTTTTTCCAGAAAAATTTGAATACTTGTCCATGTGAATTAAATTTTTTTGGTCAGAAATAGAAGTTTTTTTAGGTAAAGTTAAATTTTTTTCGGTTTTTTTCTGAATTTAAAAAAACGTGTTCAATTTTGGGGGAGTTTTCGACTTTTTTTCCAGCAACTTTAAAAAAATCATCCAAGTAAATTTAAACTTTTTTTCCGGTTTCTCAGCAAATTTAATTTCATTTTCAACTAATTTCGTAGTTTATTGAACGAATATGGCTTTTATTAAAAACTCGCCTCTGACAAAATCGCCTCTGGAAAATCCGGGCGATGAAATTTTCGAAGAAGAGGAAGAAGATGAAGAAGGCGAATTGGGGTACATTCGACTTGAAGGGCCATTTTTCTTCTAGAAAAATCTATTCTTTCTGGAAACTCTTTTCAATAATAACCCGCGGAGAAACGGGAACGTCATGATCTTCCAAAACGATAGGCGGACCTCTTCTCGGCGAATTTTTCGAATGGGAACAGTTTGGAGAGGTTGGTAGGTCTAAAATGACCTTTTTCGGATGATCTAATCAAAAAATCAATACCAGTACTGGAAGACAAGTCCTCCTCCGCAATGCGAATCGATCTATTGGGGGAGGAAGAGACGAAAAATTGATATTGGGGTCTTTTTTCTTCCAATTCGTCGAAATCAATGGCTATCGGAGTTTTCGGGGTTTCTGAATTTTGGAAATCAGGAATGAAAAAATGAAGATACAAACTTCTTCATATGATATTTGACTACAGAAATTCTAATTTATCACAGAAAAAGAGGAAAAATGAGTCAAATCTGGGATAAAAACTCAAATTCTCAATGGAGCGAACTTGCAGCAAAATGAATTCTCTTTTTATTGGAGTTGAATTTTTCACTCTACAGCTTATATTATCCGACTTTCTGTCTTATATCCCGTTAAAATTGAGGAAAAAAATTTTTAAAAAAAGTCGAGTTTGGGAAAAATAAAAATTCTCAATGGAGCAAACTTGCAGCAAAATAAATAATCTTCTAACTTGAAGTTGAATTTTTAACTCTATGGCTCAATTTTCCCGATATTCCCTCCAATATCCTGTAACAATTGGGAGAAAAAAAAAGTCATGTTTGGGAAAAAATACAAATTCTCAGTGGAGCGAGCTTGCAGCAAAATAAATAATCTTCTAACTTGAAGTTGAATTTTTCACTCTACTGCTTCTATTTCCCGCTTTTTTTTTCATTTACCTTTAAAAAGTGTAGAAGAAGTAATAAAAATAATCAAATCTGGCCTGAAAATTGGGTCCTTAATGGAGCGAACTTGGAGCAAAGGATGATTAATTTTGCGGCTCTTTTTTCCACTCTCATTTAATCAAACTTTGCCGTCCTCCTCTTCAGTCAGAGGAGGAAAATTTTTAAAAAAAATCAAAAATCTACCCGGCCGACTCAAATTCGGAGAACTACCGGCTAATCCAGAGCCTTTCGCGGAAGAAGAAGATCTCGATCCGAACCTGAAAATTTGAAATTTCACCTAGCTCTTGGAAATTTCAAAACAATTTCTCTGGGCCCTCCCTGTCTCTCAGTGACCCTCTCATGTAGCCGTGCTATTTTCATGTTTCTCTGACCTCGCCGGCGAGGGAACAGAGAGACGCAGACAGTCGGAAACTTTCAAATCGTTTGAAAATAATCATTTATCAGTTATCAGCTCTAATTACCCATGCAGATCTCGCTGGAAATTAAACTAATTTTCTTCAGATCCTGATTTTTTCGCGTGGTCTGATCATACAACCCGGAAAACCTGCACCCAGCAAAATTAGTCTCATTTGGAAGCCCTTTAAAAGCCGAGGCCTTGGTTTATAATAAAAAAAAAAGGACCTATGACTAATTTTGTGCATGACATCCTTAACGAAGCCATCTTTGTCCTTGCCCTTGGGGGAGTGAAGACGTGAGAACCATTCAGAATTGGAAAGGTTGAAGTCGGAGAAACTCCGGACGAGTCGCCATTTTCGGTTTTTTGGGTCTTTTTTGGGCGATTCGACCTCAGGAATGCTTCTGGAAGACAAAAAAACTTTGACATGAGTTCGGTCGCATTTGGAATGGCTGTACGCGTTGCAGTTGCGCTGCGGCTTCAAAAACTAGCTTGGAAGTGTTTTTGTGGAAATAATGGTTTATAGTAGTCAAAAGCGCGAGCCGTTTTTGGTCGGCCGCATCTTCTTGAAAACCGCTTCGCGGCCGCAACGCATCTGTCTATTTTCCGCAGCTTTTTTTCAAGAATTTGAGGTTAATTCATCATAAAAATCATGTCATCTAAGGTTTACACAAAGAAACAAAAAATTCTAAAAAAAAAAGTATTTATTTTATCCAAACCCTTTTTTTTGAGTCTCAAACATCATCCAAAACTGAAAATCCTACTCAAATGGTTTCATTTTTCGAGACCATTTTTCAAATTCAACCTATGCTCCTTTAAAAAAATGTGATGCGGTCTTTACTGGGAGATCAACAAAGTTTAACGGACCAATTTAAATAAAAAGAATACGTCAATTGATAATTCTTCTCTGAAACTGCAATATATGTTAAAACATACTGAAATAATTGAAATTTTCCTAAAAAAATCGGAATAATTTTTTTCTAAGATCATAATTCCATAGAATTTTTTTGAAAGCTCACTTCTTAAAATCCTTCAACAAAAAAAAAATCACGAATTAGTTCTAAAAACAGTCTTCTCACGTCTTTTTGGCTATAAAACACAGTAAAATCGGTTCTTCGCCTCGAAACCTTTTTTGAAGTCAGCCTATGCTCCTTTAAAAACCCTCAGCGATTTTTGAGCGGACTTTAAAGGAAAATATACGTAGCGTGAACCGAACTAGAATAAAAATCGAAAAATGCTTCCATTCAAATCTCTTCTCTGAAACCGCAATCTACTGAGCGATTCTGAGAAAAATTTGGAAACTCTCAAACAATTTTCAAATTCCAAAAAATCTTCAAAAAGAGAATTTTTTTTTCACTTATTGTCAATGAATTCTTCGCCTTTTTTCGACATTTTTTCCTTAAGCCAAAATTTTCTAAAATTACCTCTCATCCATAACAATGCTGCCATCGGGCCGAACCGTCATCACTTTTCCAGGAATTTTTTTCTGAAAAAAATTATTCTTTTTGAAATTTACTTTTTTTAAAAAAAGATGAGCATATATACTCCAAAAGCTTCAAAATGCCTAAAAAGCAAAATTTTAGGCGCAAAATTCTATCTGAATATCAAAAAAATAGAAATATTTTCAAGAAATTAATTTTTTTTCGATCACCTCTTTTTTTCTAACGAATATATTGATCTGATGAACTGATTTTGAATTTGTGAGAACTCGCTGAAAGTTTAAAATTGAAACAGTGAACTGAGGTTTTTAGTCCAAAACAATTTTTTTCTTAGCTTTTTAGTTGAAAATTCTATTGAGAAAGCTTTTCGTCTCGAGATTCTTTCGATAAACTTGTCTATGCTCCTTTAAAAGGTTCATTAATTATTTTTGAACAGTTTACTTCCTTCAAAAATTACCTGGAAGAGCTTTTTTGAGCGACCAAAATTTCTCCGTCGCTGAGGTCACTAGGGGTTGAAGATCGTGAGTTTGATGTCGAAGGAGCTGAAGGGTCAAATTTGGAAAGATCTAAAATTCAAGGTTTGAAGTCTCATAATGAAACAGTGAAAAATCTGGATCGCTAACTGTTTTTTTTCCAGCAGCTCACTTGAAAAAATGAATTCGAGTCTTACAAAACACTTATTCTCTGTTTCAACGGCTGCTTCCGACTCAAAGCGGTTACGCGCAGTTATATCAAAAAACGCAAGAACGAGTTCGAATGAAGACTTTCTGTTGAAAGTCTGTGAGACATTTCTTCGAAAAAATCGAAGAAAAAACAGAAAAGCTGATTTTTCTATTTTCATGTCGAGCCTAAATTGCAAGTTCATCCGACTCTAAACGGCTTACGCCTGCTGATATTGAAACATCGATAGAACTTTTGAAAAAAAACCTTTATATTGAAAATATGTGAAACTTTAAATAAACTACGATTCTGTGTGAAACTTTGGGCTGCTTCAAAGTGCGCCCGGCCCAAACCGACTTGCGCGCTACATCATCTCAAAGAACTCATTCATTCTGACAATATATTTCGAGCCGCAACGCTTCGAGCCATTCCAAATGCGACCAATCTCAAAAATACCTTGATCAACTTTCGGCGCCAGTTCATCGAACGACGGCGGATCCGTTGCGATGTCGATTTTCTGATAAATAAGAGATTTATTCCGATTTTAAACTCGGAAGGTAACCTCAATGTCATCTTTGAAGCTTGATTTTTCCGAGAAAGTCTGGGTTCCGCCTTCTTTTCTCTCGACATCGGAAGTCTGGGTCAGCGTACTTCTTTGCGTTGAAATGATTGGTTGAGATCGGATAAACCTCACTTCTCTCCTAGATAATTAACTTATAAGCTGAAGGAAAAAAAGAATCATACAAAATCAGAACAGCCAAAATTGGCGAAAAAAAATATCAGAACATGTCCGAAAACCGGAAAAAGTACCATTCCAACCGTTAATAATTCGAAAACAAAAAAAAAAATTAAAATTCCAACTGATTATTGTTCATTTTACAGCACAAAAATCCAGAAATTCAAAAATTTCCCACGAGAAGTCTAGAATTATTCAAATAACAAAGCAATGAAAAAAATAAATTCAAAAAGTTTCCTTCTACTCTTTCAATTTTTTTAATCGAAAAAAAGGAATTTTGTCGTCATTTGAAAAAAATCACTATTTCAGTTGAAAAAAATTTCATTTTTTTGAAATTTTTTTGCATTTGCATCTCGTCTATGTAGCATTTTGAAAAAAATGAACCTTTATTTTAAAAAAATATAATTTAAAAACTTTCCGGAAACAATTTTTTTACTGCAAATGTTAACCTGATGAAATGACAATTTTTTTGAAAAATTTTTGATTTTTTGATTTTTTTTTCCGTTGAATTTTTTTGCGACCATTTCCAAAAATGAACAGCTTTATTACACACTTTTTCAAATTTTTCGTCGCGAAAGAACTTTATTTGAACTCTTGAAACCCAAAAATATTTATTCCGTATACTTATTTGGTCATAAAAAGTGACTTTTCAAAACATTTTTATTCCGATTTTTTCCGATTTCGATTTCTAATAAATAATATTTTTTGACTCGTATAAATTGATGACTTTTTATGAAACTATCCAAAAATAGGGTACAAAAATCGTATTTCGAAAAAAAGGTACAATTCAATTCAAAAAAACGTCTTTTCCTGCGATTTTAAGTGAATTTTTTTGAAAAATGCGAGAAAAAAGCTGTACAAAAATAACCTCCTCATCTCAAAAGTCATTTTTTTAAATGTTCATAAAAAAATTTATAAAAAAATATTTATATGTTTCACCTCGAGTCCTTCAATACAACGGCATCCGTTGGGACGACGTCTTCCGCTCTGGGAGTCTTCTGTAAATGATTTTCCCGTTATATAAGGATTATAGAATGTCAATATCTTTGCGTCAATAATTCATACTTTTTAATAGTTTAGAACGATCTTTAACACTCCTTTGAGTATATATTTATCTCACAAATATATACACTTAACTACTATACAAAAATATCTAGAACAACTATTGATTACCAACCAAATATTGAGGTAAAAACATTTTAGGCCTATAATGGGATCTACGCAGGCTTGTGCGAGGGCCGGCCCGTCACCCTCCCGGCCCCCCGACCACTTCGTAAGCCCGGCCCAGCACGGCCTTAGCGGGCCCCAAGAAAAAATGGCCCGCTCGGCCCGAATCGCGCATTTTTTTTTCTAGTCGGCTATCAAGTTTTTTTACGACAAAAATCACGTTTTTGCTCATTTTTTTCTCTTAAAGCTTAACAAAAAAACTATGATCTCAGAAGTAAAAGTCACATTTCGGTGAAAAATTTTTTTAAACAAAAATTTTAAATTTTTTTTGAAGCCCAGCCCAGGCCCGAGCCCACGCGGGCTTTTTTTCCTGAAAAATGAGGCCCGAAGCCCGGGCCGGGCCGCCCGGCCTGACGCACAAGCCTGGTTCTACGCAGAAATCATGTACGCTAGCGCGCACATTATTTGTGTGTAGGTTTACGGGGACTCCGCATTCCACAACACATACAATCAAAAAAATATATATAATTAACCTAATTTTTTTGGATTTAAAAAACTATATAATTCGCTTAAAGAACCTAATTCTTCATAAAAACTAAAAAATGAAAAAAAAAAACTTAGCAAACAAGAAGAAATTCAACAAAATTGCATAAATTGTTTATTGAAAAACTCTATTCTGAAAAAAATTTCTCGCCTTGTCGGACTCAAACCGTAAACTTCTGAGGATTTCTAGTGGCCACTTTAGCGGCGTCAGTACTCTTAAGTGATCCCTAGAAATTCTCAGAAAAAAGCTCCCGTTTGCATTAATGAGGTTTTTTTCGGGTTTTTTTGGTTCAATCTCAATCTCAATTTTTTTTTTTCTTTTCTTTTTTTGTTTTCGTACTAGAAATCAAGGTTATTTTAGTGTAAATTTTGGAATTTTCTAATTTCCTCAAATGTAAAAAAAGAACTGCCTGGGCCAAATACCAAAATTTTGAAGTTCTTTATTTCAAATTTCCAAATTATCCTGTGTTAAAATAAAAATTTAAAACTTCATATTTCCGAAAATAAACGTTTCCTCGGGTAGGAATGTTAGTCTGGAGCTCAATTTGACCGTTTCTTTTTGAAAAATTTTTGAAAACCCACAAAAAAACTTTTGGGGTGCGTTTTGCAGTAAAGTTGCTCTATGGACAATATGTCTCGTTTCGCTTTTTTCTTCGTTTTTCTCAATTTTCCATTTTTCTTTCAATTGTCAGTTTTTTTTTGGGAACTTCCCACTAATTTCACATTTATCCTGTCCCAAATAATCACAAAAATCCCTACTTTCGGGAGCCCCGAAACTTTCGAAAGTTCCTTTTCCAGCGTCAGCTTGTCGTATCGTTGCGGCGAAGCGAACGGGTTGATTTCGGTCGGTTTGCGGAGATTCGCCCCGAAAAAGCGTTCTTCACTCGATCCAGAGCTTTTCTGGCCGTTTTTCTTCTGGCCTGGCTGGACCGGCGGACTCGGATGGCCAGAACGGCTAAAATATACATTTTCTAGGGGCCTTTGGAATGAAGCCAACAAAGTTGAAAGGTCGCTGTTGATATTTTCATCCCTCAAGTTTGACACATCGATTCGCGGAACGTACTGTGGCGTTGGAGGGTCTGTCAAAAAATATTGATTGATTTTTTTCTGAATATTTATTATTATCCTACTTTTCTGAACTTGAGAAGCAACTAATGGAATTTGCATTTTCGGAAAAATTTCGGCCAAGCGAGAATTGGAAAATTTAAAAACCAAAACATTGGCTTCAGAGGGTAAAAAGTCAGCAAAACATGGAAAAACCTGGTAAAAAAAAATTAGAAGATGCATCAGAAAAGGGATTTTGGAAATAAGGAATGTATTTTTTTATTCAAATCGACTTTTTGCGGGGTCACACTTTCCATAGATTCATAGTTTCCAGACCATAGATGGGCAAATTCAGAATTTGTTCAGCCCGGGAGGAGGGGTTGGCTCACAAGAATTAGAAAAATTAGAGATAAAATCCATTTTCAACCTCAGAGAGGTACATTTGGCCACAATAATACAAGTTTCCGCCTCAGGGAGGTAGTATCAATTTTAATTTATGAAAAGTTGAGAGGAGGGGTTGGCGGTCTTTGAAAATGGTCTGTCTATGTATGTTCCAGACTCAAAAAAACCCAAGCAAAGATTTTTTAAAGTCCTTTTTCAGATCTGAAAGATGAACTCGGAAACTTCACAAACTCTCAAGCTATTCATCCTTTCCGAACCTTTTCTTCCATAAATATCCCAAAACGAACCAGGATCGACTTTGTGAACCCGATGAAACTTCCCGCTGACGACTTCTTCCCCAAAGCGACTGTCCTTCTCGCCCTCCGAAAAGTCTTCGGAATCTTCCGAAAGATGGTCCAGTTGTTCCCGATGTCTTCTGTCCAGTTCCAGCCGTCGCTGATATTCTCTTTCCGCCGGTTCGAAACCGATTCTCGTCACGACTTGAATCGGAAATGGATGAATGAGAAAATTTCATTGATTTTTTCGTTTATTCGAATCAAGTAAAAAATTGTAAATAAAAAAAGATATTCGAAGAAAAATTGATTAAGTACTTTCTAAAGTCCTTAGAGCGATTATCAAAAGTATAACAGTTTCAAATATTATAGTTCGTCCGCCGCGACTTGGCAGTTCTCGCGTGTCTGCGTCTCTCTGTTCTCTCACCGGCGAGGTCAGAGAAACATGGAAATAGCACGTAAACATGAGAGAGGCGTCGAGAGATAAAGGGGGCGCAGAGTAGGCTTTTAAGGTCGCCAAAAAAACAGACTATAAAAAAATATTTTTTTCAAGGACGTATCGTTTCCTAAATTGAAAGAAACTAGTGCAAAAAAATGGGCAATTTTGGTGATTTAAAAATAATATTTTTTTATTGTTTTTTTGATACTTTTTGTGCTTTTTTTTCTAGAATCGGAAAAAAAAAATCTCGATTTTAGATTTCAGAATGAATCACAAAGATGATGTGGAGCTTTAGAGCAGAATCCTGATTCTCGGTTGTTATTTATAAATCTTTATGAAGATATGAATCAATAGAATAATTCCACTTATTTCGATAAAAAATCGATTCAGCATTGAACTTTCCACCAACTTTATATCTGATTCACGGTTGGCTTGAGCCATCGGAAAATGGGTCCTGACACGATAAGAAAAGAGATAGCGCCTGGTTAGTGGAGAGCGCAGACAGGCCACGCCCCCTAGCCGTAAATCAGCTATATTCTCACTTTACATAGGATTTTTCGAGGGTAAGAACATTAAAACCTAAAATTCTACCGAAAAAGGACGTTTAACACTGTATAAAAATAATATTGAAAGCTGGCTTGAGCCATCGGAAAATGGGTCCTGACACGATAAAAAAAAAGAGACAGTGTGTGGTTAATGGAGAGCGCAGACAAAAGACTCACGTTCTCTCTTCAGCATGTTGAAGCATTCCGGCTTCAGAAAAGTCAGATAGCCGGTGGCTTCACCCGTTTCCATGGCATATTTCAGTGACTTCTGAGCAAAATAATTATTTTTGAAGTTCAAAATGTGAGAAATGTGAGAACCTTGACTTGATCGCGCATTTCGACAAGTTCATTGATGGCCAAGTTTTTGTCGGCTGTCGCGATTCGGGTCTCGATCAAACTGAAAGATATTTTGAGAGTTGTGCAAGTTGGCGTGACTACTGTAGACAGTTGTCTGTACACCGATCCAAAGCATATTTCAAAATTAAAAGAGGGAAAAATAAAAATTCTTCACAGTGATTATTTTGAGTAGACCGTTCGATTCAGAATGAAAATCTCTATTTAGGAATTTTAAAGTGATCCCTATAGGGGTTTGACGGGAAAACAGCCTCTTTAGAGGTCGAAAAAGTGGTCCCTATAGGGGCTCACCCCCAAGATCCTAAAGCTTGAGTGGTCCCTATGGGGGGGTCTTTCAAAAATCTATTCAAAAAAAGGTTGTTTTTTTAAGTTTTTTTCGCATGAAAATTATTCTTCTCATAGAGTTCATAAAATATATCGACTTGTAATTCCCCTATAGGGACCACTTTTGCAAGCTTTAGTGGCCCCTATAGGGGTTGGTAAAGTAGTCCCTAGAGAGGTCGAAAAGTGGTCCCTATGGGGGTCTATCGATTTCGTTCAAAAAAGGTTATTTGTTTAGTTTTTCGCATGAAAATGCTTCTTCGCAGAGAGTGTCCCCTATAGGGGTTATTAACTGAAACTTCTATAGGGACCACTTTTGCAAACTTTAATGGCCCCTATAGGGTTGGTAAGGAGATCCTATAGGGTCACTCTAGAGTTCCTGAAACCCCATTTTTCCCTTTTCATAGGCCCTCAAGAATGTCGGTGTCAGTTTCATAGAAATCGAAACGAACCAATCAATGAGGGACTTGTCGGGGTTCTGGACGAGGTTCTCCTTCATCCGGTAGACGATCCGCTTCGAGAGCAACAGCGAGTCGGAAGATCTGGCACGCCTTTCGCCGTGCAGAACCTGCGCTTTGGCCCTCGCCATCCTCCATAAAACTGATCCCAGAAAAGTCTCATTTTCAGAATTTATCTTTCAATAAATACGAGGGGAATTGCGAAAGTAGTTTCTCTTTTCATAATATATAATTTAGAACAAACTTAGGAACAAAAAAAGAAATGCGAAATGAAGCTAATTTTCAGGAAAAATCAGGGGGATTTTTTTTCTGAAAAATCAAACAGAATACCCTTTTTGTACTAAATTGAAGTTTTGAGAGTCCCAAGCTTCCTAATTTTCAAAAAAAAGCCTTTCGAATCGGATCAAACCATCAGAGGCGATGAAAAAAACCTAAATTTAAGATTTTGACCTTTTTAAAATCAGGAAAAATTGGGCAGGTTGAACCTTTCAGGGTCTTCAAGTAGTACATCAAGGAATATCCTAGCCGATTTTTCAAAAAGAAGAGAGTTCAAAAATGAAATTAACCTCCATTAAGAAAAAAAGATCCAAAAAGAAAAAAAATACCTTCAAAAAACATTTTTCTACCGACTATTCATGTCTTTCTATGAAGAAGTCCTTTCTTAAAAAATGAAACATCGTTGAAAAAGGGATAAATGAACTTTTTTTTGATAATCTAGGACCTTTAAAAAGAACAAACAAATTTTTTTAAGGGAACGAAAATCAAAAAAGCAGGAATTTCTCAAAGTTCATCGTAGATTTGAATGAAAAAAAATTATTCCAGCTCAAAATTACTCGTATTTTTCCATATTTCGCCAATAAAAAGCCTTTTTTAACCTTGTAATCATTAGAAAATGATGAAAATTTGAATTTTCACCAAAAAAAAAGTTCAAACCGATTGCAAAATTGTGTCGATTGCCTCCATTGTCCGATAAGAAATCGAAAATGAAACTCGACGTGGAAATTTTCATCTTATATATTCTTTATATTTACTTAAAACGTGAAAAACCTTTAAAAAAACCCAACGTTTATATAATTCTTTTTGAAATTTGAAGCCGCCAGAATTTTTAATTTTTGATGAAGCGAATTTAGTTATACTGCGAAAATTTTCAGTGACCACTATAGGGTTTTGACGTTTTAGTGGCCACGATATTAGTCAAATTAGTGGCCACTTGAGGGGTTGACAACTGGTGACCACTATAGGGGTCTAAGTGCTACTATTAGACCACAGAAAATTTTAGTGGCCACTTTAGGGGTCAATGGATCAACATAACTGGTCCAATCTGTTTGTTTTAGAATTATCAGAGTTACTGGAAGGAATACTGGATGAAAATTACAGAAGTGGCCACTAAATAAAGAACTTTTATAGTGGCCACTGAAGCAGAAAATAGTGGCCACTATAGAGGTTGGTTTAGTGGCCACTTTAATGTCCTCTCCAAGTAGTCCTTGGCGAGCCTCTACCACTAAAAATTTTCCCACTTTTCGTGGAAAAAATAAATATTTAATGAAAATCTGACAACCCAAACGCTCACAGAAGCCAAACAAAGGTACAGAAAAACACGAACAAAAAACATTTAAAGGTACTTTGAAGCGGGATAGAAGCGTAACCACTTTGTTTTTTGATTTGCACAGAGGACAAGCCAAAAATTTTCACAAAAAACGTCGAAATTTAAACTTTTATTCAACTTACAAGAAGTTACGGGGAGCAATATGAAGATTTCTATCAAAAGTGACTAGGAAAAGCTGACCAGAACCAAAATATCACGGAAAAATATCATCAAAGAAAGGCGAAAAGTCATAAAAAATTGGAAGTTTTTTTTTTCTTCGATATTAAAAAATAAAACAAATCTCGGGAAATTAAAGTATCACAATCCATAGAGTAGGCATCAGAAAAAAATCTCAAAAAATAAAAAATCCCTAGAAACCGGATAAAACCACAACATTAAGGTACCCGATGGGGGGAAGAAATGGAAAATTTTTTGGAAAAATGGCCGAATTTTCGAGAAACGGTGGAAAAATTTAATGGTTTTATGATCTGAATACTTTTTTTAAAAGTTCCTAATTTTCTTCCGATGACTTTCTGACTTGAGAATGTTCGCATTTGGAATGGCTCAAGGCCGTGAAACAGTTCATTCGTTACTCAAAAAAATAATAAAATTGGCAAATTCCCAAATTTTTTTTCTTTTCAGAAATTCAAAACTCTGATAGTTTTGAGGCAAACAGATTGGACCAGTTATGTCAATCCGTTGACCCCTAAAGCGGCCACTAAAGTTTTTAGTGGTCTAGTAGTAGCACTTAGACCTCTATAGTGGCCACTTATTTTTAACCCCTTAAGTGGTCACTAATTTGGCTGCTATAGCGGCCACTAAAACGCCAAAACACTACAGTGGCCACTAAAAATTCTTTCAGGCTTGCATTACACGACCAAAAAATCTCCTAAAATCTCAAATTCCACCATTTTTGTTCGAAAAACAGCCATTTTTTCAAGAAATGCGAATATCGACTAGAAAGAATGGAAAAAAAATAGAAATCCGTCGAGAGATGGACCTCAAAAGCAAACAATAGAAGGAGGGGAATCTCGGAAAAATATAGACAAGTGGAAAAAAAGGTCCAACTCAATATTATTTTGGAAGGAAAAGTTCAAAGTTTAATGAAAATCGCGAAGACTTGCGATGGCTCGGGTGGCTTCGATCCGGACGTGAACGTCTTCTGGATCTTTCAGAAGGGCGACGAGGCCTGAAACTTACAAAAAATGAACATTTTTCACATTTTCTGATAGAACTTCTATCAAGCAAGCTGTGGAGTTCTCATTTCGAAAACAAAAATTTCTTGTAAACTTTCAAAACATATCATTTCTCACTGAAAATTCACCAGTAAAAGTCAAATCTTTCAAAAATTCGTCGCTAATTGCAAACTATCAAAAAAATTGTCAGTGGAGCACATTTTCTCGACTTATGAGCTCATTTCCAGTTTTAAGACATTTTTCAGCCAAATAGCCGAAGTTTTTTTTTAGTAATGTATTCAGTTTTTAAGCATTTATTCTCCAAAAAAAAATCACAAGAAAAATTTTTTGCAAAAAATTGTCAATGGAGCACAATTTCCTGACTTTTTGAGCTCATTTTCAAATTTAGGACGTTCTTCAGTCAATAGCCGAGCTTTTTTCGAAAAAGAGGAACATATTCAGTTCTTTATCACTATTTTTTTTCAAAAAAAGAACTAAAAAAACTGCAATTTTTTTGAAAAAAATTGTCAATGGAGCACATTTCCCAATTTTTTTCAAGAAAAATTACTTTTTTTGAGCCGTCTTTCAGCTAATATTCGAGCTTTTTGTTGAATCTGAGGCTTCTAAGAAATTGTCAATGGAGCACAAATTCCTATTTTTTTTAAGCTGGTATCCTTTTTTGGGCCATTTTTGAACCACTATCCAATTTTTTTTCACGAAACTTTTTTCAAAAAAATTTTCAATAGAGCACAATTTCCTGACTTTTTGAGCTCACCCTTTCAGGCAATATTTGGATTTTTTTTGTGGAGTTAACCTACATAACGTTTTGATGAATTTTTCACAAAACGAACTGTCAAAAAATCATTTCCCCCAAAACTTACCGGTAAAGATCAAATCTTTAGAAATGGTGGCTCTCAACTGAGCTCCCAGGCCCTCCAGAAGGCATCCGGTCAACAGAGCGGCGTTGGATCGGATTCTGGGACTCGAGCTTTTGAAATAGTTCGACGTCGCCAAGGCGTATTGATTCACCCGGTCGGGGAAGGCCAAAGACTGAAGATGATCTTGAAATTTTAGGTATTTTTGGAGAAAAAACCAAGATCATGGCGAAATCTTTGACGAAAGAGGAATACGAGGCGGGTAATCGGCCGTTCGCCAATTCTCTTTCGAGAAGGATCGAGGCTTCCGATGACGTCAACAGAGGATGTAATCGGAAGAGCGATAGGGCGCATTTCTGCAACATGCAGGATGTTTTCCTTTAAAGACTACATGTGGAGAAAAAGCTTAAGTGGCCACTTAGGGGCCGCTCGACAAACTCTACTCAAAGAGAACTCTAAAGTGGCCCCTAAAACCTCCTCTATAAAAGCCACTTTGCGTCCTAGTGGCCACTATAGCAGTTCTAGTAGCCTAGTAGTGCCACTTTGACTTGTAAAGAGGACACTAACTTTCAGCCTCCTATATACACGGCGTTTCTGCCAGTTGAAGAAAATGCAAGGAATTTGAAACTCGGCAAAGTCTGCGCACTTCTCGAAATTCGCCCGCGAAATTTGAAAAAGTGGCTTTATTTTTGATTTTTTGTCAATTTTTTCATATTTTTTCACTTTTTCTTTTCGTAGATTGCTGATAGTATTGCGGGACCACGATCGGGGTATACTCTGGGTTGTTAGACGTTTTTTTGAAAGTAGTTCTGTGAGGCTAACTTTAAAAACTCGTGATGAAGAAGCGTTTTGAAAAATCTCCACCTGTTTGTATGGAACATGTTTTACCCCATTTTATGTTTTCTTATTCTATTTTTGTCGATTGTTCAGATTCCTAGGTTGTGGACATCAATGAGATGAAGTTACATGAAAAAAGTCTGTGGAGTTGAGAAAGTATGTTCCGGAATTCATTTATATCCGGATATTCCGTCAACTTTTTATAATAAAAAGTACTTTGTTTCTCCACAGCAATATAGTTTTATTTAATCTCTTTTAATTTCCTCGTCTTTTTTCTTCAATGTTCATTCGTTTCTCACACTTATATCATCGGTTAACCTTATTTTCCAAATTTTTTGTGCATGCACTAAACACGTCCTAATTGACGGAGAAAAGTGGGCGGGGCGTCGCAAAAGAAACACCGTGTATAACCAATAATTCGACTACTATAGTGGTCACTAGAACATCAAAACCCTAATGTTAACCTCTAAAGTGTCCACGGAGTTAAAGTCATTTAAGTGGTCACTGATTCGACTCCTATAATGGCAACAAAACTGTGGGAAAATAATCAGTGGCCTCTTTGGGGATTGTCGTTTTAATGGCCTCTTAAGTGGCTAAAATCTAGTGACCTCTTTAGAAGCCTAAGTGGTACTACTCGACCATTAAAGATCACTATAGTGGCCACTAAGACGCGAAATAGTGGCTCCAATAGAGGTGGTTTAAGTGCGCACTTCAGTGCCCTTTTCAATTAGTCCTTGAGACACCTCTTAAGTGGCCACTAGAGCTTTTTTTCCGTACTTTGAGGACCATTTCATCAAAGTCTTTTCTGGCGTTCATTAGGTTTCACTGCCCAAAAAAGGTTTTCGAAAAAGGAGTTGCGCCTTTTTTTCGATTGACCATGATAAAAGTTTGATTACTTTAACTGCAATCCCCTTTAAGGCTCAAATTATCAAATTATCGATCTTTTGCTTTTCGAGATTTTTCTTCATGTTCCAAACTATCACTCCAATTTTCTTGTCTCCTACCTGCCGAACATCTTCGAAATCATCATTGAGATGAAGAATCAAGGAGACGACGTTCGTATGGAGATGTCCACGAAATTCTTCGTAAGACTCGCCGACTCGGGCGCCAAGTTCTCCGAAGAGACTGAATGACGCCGATCGGAGTGATGGAGAGTCCTAGAAAAAGGGATTCCATGCTATTTACGGGCCATATTTCAAAGAAGGAATTATAATTTTGTGTATCAACTAGCATTAATTTGCTTCAACTTTCTGAAAATTTCATGGCCGCATGTGGAATGGCTTGAAGCGTCGTTGTACTCGAAAAAACAAAAATGTAGTTTTTTCGGCTTTCAAAACTATTGAAACGCCTATTTTTTCAACTAATTTGATTTTACTCAAGTTTCCTAAAACTGCATGGAATGGCTCGAAGCGTCGCGGTCGCGTTGCGTTTTTTAAAAATTCGAAAATAGGCCCTCGATTTCCGTAAGATCCTATGGCTCACTCAAGTGACTTCTTCCCAATGCTACATAGTGTCGTAAAGCGTAAGCCGTTTTTGGTCGGGTGCACTGAAAAAACACGCCCTCCGCGTAACCGCTTCGCAACCGCGATGCTTCTAGCCATTTCTTAAATTAATTTTTACATTTTTCAGTTCGATCTTTTCTGGAATTGCTAGTATTCCCTACAGTTCTATCGCTGCAACATAGAAAATTAATATTTATCGCAAGCAAAAAAAATCAATAAAATCAATCGATAACCTTCTCGAAGCAGGGCCGAATCTTGAGGAGAACCTGCGGTAGAATCGTCGTCAATTGCGCGTCATTAGTCCTTGAAACGAGCTTATTCAGGGCCAAAATCGACTCCATCGCCACCTAAAATCGAGAAGACTGTAGCGAAAAGCACAGCGAAATAAAATCTACCGTATCCCTGCGATCTCCGAGATCGTCGAGACCCGCCATCGCGGCTTCGACGGCCATCCCGACAAACCTTTGGACGACATCTTTTGAACTGCATTCGGATAATTCGCCCAGACCTTTTACGCACAACTGAACGAGGAAAAATGGCTCAGAAAATCGAGAAAGTTTGCTCCATCAACAACTTTCAATAATTTATAGATTTGAGCTGAGATTTTCAAAAATTGATTTCTACCGGTTTTTTTTTTGACGAAAAAGGCTTCGAATAACTTCCCACAATGAATAATTGGCCAAGAAAAATCATAGATTTACAAGTTTTTGGAAAAAAATGTGACTCTGAACAGTCTGACCTGTCTGCGCTCTCTTTACTCTTGCTTGCCAGATCATAGGAAAACGAAAAGAGCACGGAAAAACAAGAGAATTGCAGAAGAGTAGAAAAAAGGGCGAAATTGTATAAAACGGCCAGGCTAACCAGAAAGCAATCTGACTAATCCAAAAATTGCACCTTTCTCATAAATTTTGCACCTGTCAGACGTTTTATGTTCAATCTGGACAGGTAAATGGGAAAATTCTTCGAGATAAATCTTCAAGATTTCTTTACAACAATTTTTTTTTCATTAAATTTTTAGAAGGGAATAAGTTCAGAAAAAAAAAATTATTTTAACGAAACGCACGAATTTCCGCATCAAACCGCTTTTCCTGGGTCAACTTTTGATAACTCTTTAACCCCTCAATTTCACGGTGTATCCGACCCAAAACTACTTTCGCGCGAGGCCATCGATAAATTTTGAACAAAGTTACTGAGTATCTATTCGACTTCTTATTATCTACCGAAGACTACAAATAAAAAAAATCGATGAAAACCAAATTTCAATCCCATTAGTTTTTTTTCTTCTGAAGCATACTTCGGCTGGATCCCACCTTGGGGTGTGGCCTATTGAAACTTTTTTTGTACCTTCCGTATCCGAAGACTCGGATCCGTGAGTGAATCCTCCAGACGACGGACACAACGGACGAGGAGCTGCTCGTTGAAGTCGCCGGTTTCATTGGGGCTTCTGATAAAATTGATGGATGACTGTCATTTTTTATTTTGATCATTCATTCGATTAAGTCATTTCAATTCTGATTCGTATTCGAAAGTTTGGCCTCGAAGTCCTTGCGAAGAAATATTTTCCTTTCCATGAAACTTGCCCAAAAAATTTTTTTAATGCATTGGATGATCTTCGAATCTGCGAAATGCTTTATACTTGAAGAAAAAAAGTGAAGAAAGCCAATAAAAAATAACAAAAAATGCAACTTTAAAGGTTTATTTCTTTTTTTTTAACTTTGTATTTTCTGCAAGTATACTGGAAGAAGCTTAACAGGAAGGCTCAAAGTCCATAAAAAGCTTAAAAAAACGATCATTTTGAAACTTTCAGCCCTCATTTTCCGAAACAGAAAAAATTATTGAGATCACGACTTCCAGGATATTCTTCAAGTACATCAAAAATTGTTATTCGTATATTTGAAAAAAAAAATTTAGACTATGAAAAAAATATTAGGGCTATGGATTTCTAAAGCTAAATTTGTATCAACTAGAGGCCAGACAATTTAAAAAAAAAGGAAAATTTGAAGGCTGCGTGATGAAAATGAATGAAGTTTGAAGTAAATGCTACATTGGAAACAAGGAAATCAGTCAAAAACTTCAAACTGACTTGCGAATCAAAGCCGACGCCACGATGACTGCGGCGAGTCTTCTGGGCTCAGATTCGTTGGTCGCGAATTCTTCGACAGATCTGGAGAGTGGCGCCACCCAAGCTGGCCGCTGTTCCACCAAAGATCGGACAAAAGCAGTCAACTAAAACTTATTTCTCAGTTTCAACATTCTTCTACTCTTTCAATCCATCTAGAAGACTTAGAAACTTGCTGCGTACATTTCTGAGCAATCCTAGGACTCACTTAAGAGTTTTGACGCCACTAAAGTGGTCCCTATAAGTGCCCCGACACGTCCGAGGTCCGAAAAGTTACCTAAATTTTGTCTACAAGCTTTTTTGAGTAATCAAATATGAAAAATGCATTTTTCACTTATTCGTTATCAACTCAATGTGTAAGGAATGTTCTTCAGCCATGAAAAAAATTTCAAATCTTTTTAATAACTTTAAAATGGGTCAGACTATCATTAATGTCTGAAAAAATAAAATAAAAAAAGGCTCACAGCGACAATAAACTGATCCCGATCGAGGCATTCGGTCCAGCCACGCGCCTGGTTCATGTCCTCGATCACTGTCACCGACCTCGTTCTTCAATTCTTCCGTATTTTACAGTTTTTTGGGCAACTTAGGAAAATCTCAACCTTGAAAAAGTAAGGTATCTGATCATTTTAATGACTTTTTCAAGGTCAATACTGTCACTGTCTCTCCACAATTTTTACTTTTTTGACCCATTTCAATCATTTTCACTCTTTTTATTGATATTCAGGGCTTTTTCTCGAAAAATAATTGTTTTGAACTAACAAACGAAGAAAATCGCACTTTTAGTCAATTCTCAACAAACTTCTGGAAGCATAGACAAATTTTGAGAGTCCTATGCGCCTTTAAATACCTCGAAAAGAGCCCTAAAACATATCATTGCTCTACAGTAACCCTTGAGTTAACGATTTTCACTTCGAAACCTATTCAGTTCATTTTTTTTTCCTTATAATCGGTCCGAAAATCATTTTTGTTGCTTTTAAAGACGCATAAGTGCTTCATGACCTGTAATAAAACTGGAAAAACTTTCCGCCTGGAGACCTTTTTCAAAGATGAGTCCATGCTCCTTTAAATGTTTGAGCTATTTTATAAAATAAATTGGTTTCGAATGTTCGATTCTACTATTGATCCGATGAAAGAGGAAGTATATTTCTTATTGTAAACCTTCTATTACTAATTTTATCCATTTCTTCCCTTTTTTGTTGAATCACCTTTCCAGAAGGCTTCGAATGGCTGCGACGGCCATTCCGGCCGGTTTTTCAGCGGCCCTTCGCAGTTCCGGCGTGATTATCAGGGGTAGTTTTGTGCCTAGAAACTCATTTTTTCCAGGAAGAAGTTTTCTAGCAAAAACCATCTTTGACTTCTTTCTGGATGACCGGGAACTGGGTATCAGCGACGGAGCACACAAACTGCATCAGAAGGGCCAAAGTGAGGGGTAGTCGCTCGATGAGGGCCGTTTCAGGCTCGCCGTTCTCAAAAATCAAGGTTTAAATTTGAAATTATTTCTTTTCAATGTTTTTTTCATTAAAAACCAAACTTTTTTTTGTTAAAAAGTTCTTGAAAACACTATTTTTTTCTTTTCAAAAATAAATACCTCAATAACTTGGGCCACAGCCGCAACATATTGACACGGTTCCACATGAGCGATCTGTAAAAAATGTCATTTTTTTTTGCGATAGAGCACACAAGCTTCATTCAAAAATGCCCAAGTGATTTATTAAACTTGAAAATAATTTTTAGCCAAAAAGTTCAGGATAAAACAAGCGATGAATTTAAAGGAAAAAAAAGTTCGTTTCAACAAGGCCACGACAGAGTGGTCCCTATAGGGGCTACCTTATTACCCTTAAAGTTTCCCCTTTAGGGACCAGCTTAACCTTCCCTCAAGGGGGCACTAAAGCTTGAGAAAGTGGCCACTCTAGGGGCGCGTTTGTCGTTTATTGATATCTCGTTCGAACAATCAGAGAAAAAAAAATTGGAAGACCACTCTAGGGTTCACTTAGGGGCTAAGGCATCAGATCCTTTATCCCTGTAGGGACCACCTGAATTTTAGCCCTCTAGGGAACACTATTTAGTTCTCTGTAAGGGGTTTATTTCTTCAGAGCCTCTCTAGGAACCACTCTGATACTGCTATCATTATGGAACATTCTTTTTTCCCGTATATAGACTGTTTTTGCTTAACCCCTCTAGGGACCCCTCTGGCGTTAGTAAGTCCAGGGATATTGTCCCTTAAAAGAGCTTTTTTCCCCTCTAGGGACCACTCTGACGTTCCTATCTCTATGGAGCATTATTTTGTCTTTTATAGAGACTGTTTTTGCCCTAACCCCTCTAGGGACCCCTCTGGTTTTCTTAAGTTTAGGGATATTGTCCCTTATAGAACCTGTTTTTTTTCCAGCTCCTCTAGGGACTACTCGAGAAAAAGATACCTTAGCCGAACTGCCGGCGCCAATATCGACGACCTCATAAGGTTGGTCCAGACTCGAGTTCAACAACTCCAATAAATGATCGAGAATCCCCGCGAAGAGATACCGATCCCGTGAGATACACTTCCAGGCGTCGGCGATGGTCCTGGAACATTTCTATTTCCGATGCTCCAATTGACGGCAACCAACTCCGAGTAGGGCAACGGCTGTTTCAGAATGACGTCACACACGGGCTGTTGTTGATGAGCGGCGAAGGCGACGACTGCGGCAAGGAGGTCGGGGTAGGTGTGGACACAGGAATGCACTTCGGAGAGTTTGGCGAGAAGTGTCGAGACCAGGGTTTCCGCCTTCAAACGTCAAATAATCACTTTTGAAGGAAAATGGTCAGTAAAAAAGGTTGGAAAAATTACTGTCACCCTTTCGTATTGTTCTTTGAAGGCACATGGTCAGTAAAAACGAAGTTTGAAACAATAAAGTCATCTTTAACAGCTTTTTATTGAATGTCAAACAGTCAAAATGAACAGAAGTTCCTATTTTTTGAAATCTTTTGAACTTGAAAACAAGAGAGATTATCTGCTAAAACCGATAAACTGAGAAAAAAATTATTAGAAAATGTGAAAATTAGGCCTGAAAATCATTCCAGCCGACACTAAGAATAACTGACGAGATAAACGCGAGGTCGGTGGCGGTACATTGACGAACTCGCAAAAATGTCGCCTTTTTCTCGGCGCGACCTCGCATTTATCTTGCATTTCGGAAATTTTCAAAATGCGAGAGAAATGCGAGCTCGCGCCTAGAAAAGTGCGAGCTGGCGCCCAGAAAAATGCGAGACCGGCGCGAGAAAAAAAGCGAGATGTTTGCGAGCTCGTCAATGTACCGCCAGTGTCTCGCGTTTATCTCGGCAGTTATTCTTAGTGGATGTACGTTTGAACAGAAATAAAAAAAAACTTGGGTTCCCGCCAAGCATTAGTTTTACAGCAAAGCTGCTCTATACAAAAAACTTCCGAGTCACTTCAAAGGCACTTGAAAAATCAAATAATCACTTTTGAAGGAAAATGGTCAGTAAAAAAGGTTGGAAAAATTACTGTCACCCTTTCGTATTGTTCTTTGAAAGCACATTGTCAGTAAAAACAAAGTTTGAAACATTGATGTCATCTTGAACAGCTTTTAATGGATGTCAAACGGTCAAAATTACCAGAATTTCCTATTTTTTGAGAAAAATTACCTCAAAGTTGAAATAAAAAATCCTAAAAATTATTATCATATACCAACGCAAGCAACTTATTCTACAGAATCTGCTGATTTTTGAGGTTTTCAACACGTTTTTATTTTCATTTTTTTTTTCATTTGTGCTCAAATGAAATCGAATCGGAAATCGACCTTTGAAAAACTTTTCCATTGGGTAAGCCTACGTATGGCGCTTATTCTTTTTGAATAGCCTATTTTCCCGAACTCCAAATCAAACCTCGGCGACGAGGGTTGTCCCGCGGGAGGTGAGAGCGTAGGTGAGGAGCTGGGCGGCGGCCGAGCTCACCTGGCTCTGCCGGTCGGTCAGCATCTCGAAGACCGCCGTCAGGTAGGTCTGCATCTGGGACTGCGGCAGGCGGCACTCGATCACCTGTCCAGTTGACTTTTTAGAACAAGAAAAATCGAAATTATCTCCAGAAGGAAGAGGAAGGTCTTTGAATGCATTTTTGTCAGAATTTCAGAGACTCAAGAAAGTCTGGAAAAGGAGCGAATATTTAATTAAGGATCTAATGACAAAAAAGAGAAACATAAACATATTTTTCAGCCTTTTGGGAACAAGTCTGATCGAATATTTAGACCTTTCAAGGAGAATAATTTAGGATGAAGCTTGAAATTTTGTAAAAATTCTCTCAGGCATTCCCTGAAGGTCTAGATAAAGATACATTTTAGTCCCTGGTTGCGAAAACTTCAATTCTTTCGAAAAGTGACGTTTAAAAGTTCTCGTTCAACACAAAAATGAGCCTAGACCTCATTTTTCGCGACTTTGAAAGCTACGAACGCCAGAAACTCCCAAACAGGACCCTTAAGTGATCTCAATATGTTTTTCTAACTATTCCTATGCGGGAAAAATAATCGCTCCTACACTATTTTCCCACAATTTCTCCCATTTTCGAGAGTTCCTTGTTACCTGAGACATGGCCTTGACGGCTCTTTTCGCCGTTTGGCCGTCGAGTTTTCCCTCGCCAGCGAGATATTCGTTGGAGAATTGTTCGAAAGAGAACAAGCTCGAGTCGGAATATCGTCCATGTCCCTGGAGAACATATTTTTATGGAAAATTCTGGGATTTTTTAAATGAGCTAAACTATCTCGTTATGCATTACAGGTTTTTAAAAAACGATGAATTGTGAAAATTTCGGGCAAAAATAACTTTAGGTATTTTCTAGGAGGAAACGAAAAATCGTCAAATTTTTGAAGGTAAAATCGATTTTCCACAAAAAAAAAATATTTTTTTGGCCAAAAATTTGGTAATCGATAGGTCTCAAGAAGGGAAAATTTATGATATAACGAGAGAAAGAGTGAAAAAGATAACTGAATTTTGGAGAGTCAGAGACAATTTTGCATTGCGCGGAAGATGAAGAAAAATAAGAGATTTTTTCGTGTCACGTTGATTTTTTCGCGAGATTTCGAACTAAACTCGATTTTTTAAAAATTCAAATTTCTCAAAACTGCCGACTTTTATGCATGTTGAAGTATACCATTCGAACCGTAATGAGAACCATCACAAAATCGTAAAATCCCACCCCATTTTCGAATGCGCTGATGACTTTAAAAAACACGACCTTATGCATATAAGCCAGTCGAAAAGCCCAATGGATTGCGGCCAACGACTGGATCCTCACGTGGGCCAAAGAATCGGCCATTCGCGGGGATAGTCGGCCGAGTAACGAGGAAAGGGGTCCAAAGTCTGAGGCGTGCTGAAAAGTCAGTTCTAAGGAAATGCCAAAACAAAAAAATCGAGAACTTTTTCTTAAATTCTTTTTTTTTTTTTTTTTCATTTTAGTGAGTCTTATTTTGGCTAGGTTGAGACAAAGAGGGGCGTGGCTTGTCTGCGCTCTCCTCAAATCAGGCAGTGTACTTTTTTTTCGGGTCAGGACATTTTTTTTTGATGGCTCAAGCCAGCCTTGAATCAGCTACCTAAGAGAATTGTTTTTGATTTTTTTTTCAAATTAAATTTCTGAACAAACTTGACTAAAATCTTCTCTAGGACCAAAAAGTTGAAATCTGTATTCCAATTTTGGCGCTTCACAACTCGTAAAAAGCAAATAGAGCGGTTTTCGAATATTTCAAGGCGACATGATTCGAAAAAAAAGTCGATTGTAAAAAATAAAACTTGCAGTCGAATTTTTGACTAAACTGTGCTAAAAGTTTCCGTAGAACCAAAAATTTTGAGATTTTTTCTACGAGTTGTTGTCTCTCAAAACTCACAAACTGCAGGAAAAAGCGTTATTTGAAAATTGCGAGGCGTTCATACAAGGTCTTGAGATAAATATTTTTCATGATCGCAATCCAGGTCACTTTCCAAACTCACCCCTAGAGTGATGTCTTCAGCGCATTCGTAGTAGACACGAAGAACAAGGACAGTCGCATCGATGGCCCGGGATCTTTCGTGTTCCGCGACTTTTCCGTAATGCGCTTGGAGCATCTCAAAATCGCAAAAAAATCGCAGGGAAAACTTTAAAGCCTTGAAGTTCGGTAAAAATTGAGAACTGAAATTTTTTTTCGAAAAAAGACCGGTCTAAGAGGTTCCAGGGGTGCCAAAAAAGACAATCTGAAGGCTATGAAAAAGGCTTCATCTTATTATTTAAGGAGCTTCTCACAGTCCGTTCAGATTTTGAATGTCAAGTAGAATGACGTCATTCGAGAACGCTCTGTGGATGGCTCGCTCTCTGATTAGTGTATCGCGCCATTAGGGGGCGGAGCTTCAGCGAGAACTTGACATTTGGAATATGAACAGACTATCAGAGGTCCTTGAAAAGCTTTTCAGCTCTTTCTAAATGAAATTTTTTCTTTTTTTGACTCATCGACATCCACCCTGACTAGTATGTACCTTTAATAGGAGGGTTACGGTATTCGTGGTGGGACGCATTCTAACGAGTTGCTCCAAGGCCAATCCGTACTGATGAACAGTCGCATCCATTATGGTCGCCGATTCGTCGTCTTCCATCTTAATTGTAGTTCCATTCAATCACTAGAAATGATTAATTTCAACTCTCAAAAAACTCACAAAATCAATCAAATATTCAGAAAACGAATTCGCAAGCAAAACAAAGACCAAAACGAACTAAATAATCAAGGAAGATTAAAAGGCCTATTGCAACGGAGAAAACAACACTTTATTCATTATTTTTTTATTAGGTGAAACGGTGAGTACTTCTTAAAAAAATTATAAATTAAATGAAGTTTATTAGCAAAAACCAAAAAAAGGGCCTTAAAATTATTGCACTTTGAAGTCACATTTTTAATTATCGAAAAAAATTATGAAAAAGTTTTTCCCTTTGTTCTCTGACCTCTCCTGTGAGAGAAAAAGAGAGCGCAGACAGGGTTAGACTGTTTCAAGTCATGGCAAATACATTATAAATTTAATTTCAGAAATTAATAATTATATGGTCAGCTTTGAAAATGAATGTCTAATTTTGATATTATTAGAATGAAAAACCGCGCGATTTTCCTTCAAAGTATGAAAAATTTTAGGACTCTTTTAGTAAAAAAATCACAATTATGTGATAAAAAAATCTCAAAAAAATCATTGGTCAACCCAGAAGTCTCTAAAAAAAGCTCTAAATAACTTTAACTCTGTGGAAGAAATCCTAATATTTATTTTTTTCAAAAAAATCAGCAATTTTTTTCGTTTTTTTCTAATTCATTTTTTTCCAAAAGGAACCGAAAATTAATAACTTCCTGCAATTTTTTTCAAAAATTAAGAGCTCTCATTTTTTTCGTAAGAAATCAAAAATCTTCCTTCCTTACAGTATGAAATCTGGAGCTTAATTAATACTTATTAACTGATTAGTGTGAACCCTAAAGAGTTAACTTGAATATAAAACTTGTTGGGAAATCTAAAAAAAAGTTGGTCCACTCAGCACACACAAACAAATCACACGCTCAAACGAAAAACCACGCAAAACTCAAAAAAAAGAACCTTTCGATGGGGATTGACCCGATGAACGGGGGTTCCGTTGGGACCTTCAGAAGTGGCGGACGACGTCGTCGACGAGGCGGTGAAGCTTCCGCCGGTGGCGCTGGAGAGCGTCGAGAGAACCGAGGAAGAAGCGAAGTCGAAGAGGTCGTAGGCCAGCTGTAGCGACCGGGCAACAGAAATGTTTGAGGTGGGAGGAAATGAAAGCGTTGCAAAATCTTTTTGAAGCCGAAAACTATCGTTGTTTACCAATTTTCAGAAGACTCGTTGAAAATTGGCCTTTTTCATTTTCCTAGATCTCAGGAGCGCCAGAATGATCCCTATAGGAGCTAGGAGAAAAACAGCCTTTATAGAGGGCAAAAAAGTGCCCTGAAAAAGCTTTTTCTCAAAGAGTTCTGAACCATAGTTGACTAGCATTACCCCTAAAGAGGCCTCTTTTTTAAGCTTCAGTGGTCCCTGTAGGGGTGGTGAGGTGGTCCCTAGAGGGGAGCCTTCCGGGGTGTCTAAGGTTACCCCTATAGGGACCACCCTGGAGTTACTAATCCGATCATTCAAAATAAGCCAGCCAAATAAGGAAGCTTTATTGGCCCCTATAGGAAAAGGTCAAGTGCTCCCTAAAGGGGTCCAAAAAGTGCCTACTAAAATCAAGTTGAAGTGTTCCCTAGAGGGGAACCTTTAAGGAACTCCAAGGTTGCCCCTAAATGGACCACTCTGGGGTTACTAAGCTTCACGTTGAAAAAAAATTATTTTCGTTATCACTTTCCAGAAAATCGTTCTTTTTTATGGGATTATGAAGTTTCAAACGCTTCAAACAACAAATTTTTCAAAAATGGTGAAGTTTTCGGACTTCGGAGCATTGCAAACTCACAGAAATCCAAATTTTCAATTTAAAATTTGGTCATTTTTAATATTCTACAACAATTTTCATAGTGTCTTTCAATTTTTTCCATTTTTTTTTCGGTTAGACCATCATTTTTTCTAAATTTTAGCGCTAAGAAATGTTCCCCAAATGATAAATCGTCGATTTTTCGAAAAGAAATCTTTCATTTTTCTAAATTTTCAAGGCTGATAGTATATTAAACCCTGTGAGTACCGTGATTTTGGGTAAAATCTTGAGAAAAGTGTGAAAAAGCTGATGAAAGCGTTAGCAAAAGAGATGACGTGTTAGCCTGCAAACGTAAGCAAAAAATGTTTTTTTTTTCTGTAAGTCAATTTTTTTTAACTTCCTATATACTGATTCCCGGGAAAATCGAAAAAAATTGGAATCATGCTGAAAGAAAAAGTCCCCAAATCATTCGAAAAGCAAAAAATCTCCGGAATTACCGTTTTGAGCCCACTTTTCTCCCGACACATTGGCAGGATGTACTGAGTGAGGACTCGGCTCAGTTCCCAAATGTCATTGTCGTCGAGGGCCGGTTCAAGTTGACTGAAAAAATTTTTTTAAGATATTTTTTTCGGAATGAACTTAAGTTATGTGACTATCTCGTTTCTGATCTACAAGATTTTCATGGTGAAGACAAAATTTTAAAAAAAAACTTTATAAAAAAATGAAGAATATTAATATCCAAACAACCTCTGAAAGTCATACTAATTGAAGTTTTTTTTCTCGATAGACTCTACGTTTTTTTAATCTTCCTATATCAAGTAAGGAAAAAAAGTCGGAAAAAAAGTCGTCGTTCGAAAAATTCGCTGGCTTTTTTTGTCATACCACCAAAAACCTGATTTAAAAAAAGTGAAAAGTTTGTTTAATCTGAAACACTCCTCGTAACTCACCCCTTCTTGAAGCAAATTCATTGAAAAACTTGTAAATTTCCATTCAAGTTTAGAAAAAAACCAAATTTTTTTGAAAAATTCTGGATGAAATAAGCTTTCTTTTTTTCAAACTAGAACGTTCTAACATTTTAATGAAGCTAATTACATTTGAAAAAAATTTCATTCGACCGTCGAGGAAAGAGAGAAATCAGACTTGAAACTTCTCTGAGCCCCCCTCGTCTCTCGGCGACCCTCTCATTTTGACGTGCTATTTCTATATTTCTCTGGCCCGCTGGTGAGGGAGCAGAGAGACTCAGACACTCGAAAAATTTCAATGGACGGACTATTATTTGGAAAAATTCATCGTTTTAGGTATTTTATAATTATGTACAAACGATAAATCTATGACAAAAGTAGATAATTCAATGAGTAGTAAAAATACGTGAGAACAGGATTTTCAAGATTCCTCTGAAAGGAAATCGCTTACACCAAAGCCGCGGCAGCTTTCGCCGCCAAGAGCCTCAACGAGCTGGCGAGCATCTCCGGCGATTCGCTTTGGACGTACTCCTCAAGTTGGAAAGTCCACAATTTTTCTCATTTTTTCTTTTAGAACCCTCAAGTAGCTGAGAAGTTCGTTCCGGGCGTCGAAAGTCCAATCGTTTCCGATTCTGGTAGGATGGACGGCCATGGCGATGAGTCGCATCGTTTCCAACAGGGCTTCTCGGACGACTATGTCTTGCTGAAAAGTTCAAATTATGAAAGAACTCTTCAATCAAAGTACTATCTGATTATGAATAAATTATTCATCTTTGTATTATCGATGGCTGTAATGCCTCTACGAACCTCAAAAATAAAGGATTTTGTCAAATTTCTGCCCCACCTTGCAGTTGGCGAAATAGTGGCGGAGGAAGACGAGTACAGTATGCTGCAGCCGTTGGGTTACTGTATCGATGGGACAGGCCATGACGACGTGGCCGTAACAGAGCATCAAGGTCGCCCTGAGGGACACCATCTCGGCGTCCGGGTACTGTCGCATCGGCATCGTGTCCTGGGAAAATCCGAGATTACTATTCCAATCCTACCCGATCGCCCGGTTATTTTATAAGAAAGCCCAAATTTTCTTAAAGTCAAATTTTAGTTTTTTCTTTACGTTACAAATCCGGCCTTCAGTTCTTCTTCCACTTTAAATTTAACAAAAACTATGATTTTAAAATCTAAAGTCCGGGCCGGCCCAGAAGCCCTGCCCAACGTAAAAAGCCTTTATGAGCGTAAACAAGCTCAGAGAGGGAAAGCCTATTTTCGAAGAATAATAAATAAAAATAAATTTTTCTTCCATAAGGTAGTACTGACTTTTATTTAGGAAGACTTGGGAGAAGTTAATGGCGGGTTTTAGTAAAGAAAGTCTAATCATGTTTTTTTAAGCTTCTGAATCAGACTAGATCAATCTTCGAAAATGCTCCGTTCAATCTTTAATTCTGATATCCCAGCAAAAATTCAAAACTGAACACCGAAAGCAGGGAATCATTGAAATTCTTCCAAAAATATCTCATAAAAATTACGTTTTTTTAAAAAATTCCCAACAGAAAATATCAACAATATGAGAAAATTTGGAGAGGTCCCTTGAAGGTAGTGTAAAAGGGCTCCTCAAGGAACCCCCACTCTGTCCCTAAAGCATATGGACTGTTCAGAAGGCACTATAGAATCCATTAGAATTTTTCACCCTTTTTGATACCTGAAAATGCCCACTATAGGAGTCTTCGAAACAAAAAATTCTAGTGGAACCCTTTCGAAAAAATTGAGTCTTTTTTTGAAAAATTGAAAACCCTAAAGGGACTCTCTAAAGACCCACCCACGCTCTCCCTATAGTGATCCCTTAAGCATTTTTGTTTTAATGAAGTGCTCAGAATGCACTAGGCGATAAGAGCAACTAAAGATTGTACCCTCTAAAGACCGTAAAAATGCCCCTATAGGGGCTTTTAAACAAATGAACGCTAGAGGGACCCTTTCAAAAAAAAGGAGTCTTTAAACCCCCTAAAAGGGACCCTCTAGGAACCCCTACGCTCTCCCTATAGTGACCCCTAAAGCCTTAGGGTTTTAATGGACCGTCCAGAATGTACTATAGGGACACTGGAATTTTTCTCCATTGTAGAGACCGTGAAAATGCCCCCTATAGGGGTCTTTTACACAAATGAACCCTAGAGGGACCTTTCAAAAAAATTTAGTCTAAAAAAAACCTTAAAGGGACCCTCTAGGAACCCCTACGCTCTCCCTATAGTGATCCCTAGAGCATATGGACTGTTCAGAAGGCACTATGGAGACACTTGAATTTTTAAACCCTATAAATATCGCAGAAACGACCCCTATAGGGACCCTCAGAACAACAAAAGGGACCCTTCTCAAATTTTTTTCAAAATTTGACGGCGAACGCTTCGAAAACCTCTCAAGCTGGTTCAAAACCACCAAAAAATCCAAAACCCTTTATTTTTCACCTTGATGAATCCGAAGATGCCGCTGCTCCGTTTGGCGTGCTCCCACTTGCTGACGTTTTCCAGCTCGACGAGCACGAGCTCGGTGTGGGCCGTGGCGACGGCTCCGACTCCCCGGGCACACCCTTGGCGTTCCGCAGCCAAGGCGTGGGCCGTCGACCTTCAAAACGTCGAAAAAAATGATTTTTTTCAAATTTTTTTGTCTAAAAAGGACCCTTATCTAAAAAAATATTTGAAAACATTTTTTTCGAGAAAGTTCCAAATTTCAAATTAAATTATTTTTCCTTATTTTGTTTTTTTGTTAATGATAGTGTCAATTTCCACTTTTTTTCAAAGATTCTGTTCAAAAATTTGTTAGTGATAACTTTAAAAAAATTTCTAAAAATTAAGATTTCCAGCATAAAAAAAGTGGCTGTATTTTTAAAAAACGTCCAAGAAAAAAATCAAAAAAATACATGCACATTTGCCCTTATCTTATGCCGAATATACTGAAATTCCAACAAATTTATCGTTTTCAAATTGAAAAGGCATAAATTAAAAAAATAATTTCACTTCGTTTTTTTCACAAATATTTGCTCCCTACAGACCCTTTTTTTCATATACTTTTGAACTGAAACCGATTTTTTAAGATTATAAATACTTTATTCCCTCAAGAGCTCACTTGAACATCAGCATCAAGTGCTCGACGACAAATTGTTTGTTGGCGATTTTAGCCAGTGTCGTTCCCAGGCATCGCAGAAGGAACGCCTGGAAATTCAGGAAAATGATCAAAGAGTTTCGGGAAAACCTTCTCGTCGGCCATGTCTTTGTACATATCCAACTGCTTGCCCATCGCCGCCGCGATTTCCGTTCGCCAAGTTCCGTCGACGACGGAAGAGACGCACAGGGAGAGCCATTCGAGACACGCTTCGTGCCATCTTCAATGAAAAACATTTTTTTCTTTAAAAATATTAATAAATCTTTTTTTCAAATTTTTCCTTTTCGAAAAGGGTTTTGAACATTTTCAATGATTTTGAGGTGTCCTGCGACTAAATTGCGGTGGTATGAAAAAAAGACCAGCGAAAAATTCAAACGGCGACTTTTCCGATTTTTTTCGTATCGCTAGGGAACTTTCCGACGGCCAATTTTCCGACGAATCCCTTTCCGACTTTTTTTCTCGATAAAATCTTCGTTTTAAATTTTTCCTATGAAAAAGTAGGTAGTTGGTTCATGATCAAAACACAAAGAAATAGGAAAAAAAATGTTGATAGATGTTTTATTAACCGAAAAACATAAGGGAAAAAAGTCGGAAAGTTCCCTAGCGATATGAAAAACTCGGAAAAGTCGCCGTTTGAATTTTTGCCGGTGTTTTTTTCATACCACGAAAATTCTCTATGAAATTGCTTCTCACAATGGAAAGTCGGTCGGCTTGAAGGGCTGTTATGATGACAAACTTTTTTTAAAATTTGGAAAAGGTGAAAATTTTTGAATTTTTTCTTGAAAAAAATTAAGAGGAAAAAAAGTAGGATATTCCTCTTCTTCTTATTCACAAATAGAGCTAATAGGTGAAAAAAACGGACAGTTTTTTTTGCGATTAAAAAGTTTTCCAACAAAAAAATATTGAAATGTTCCAACAAAAAAATGAAAAATTCCAAAAATTTCTAAAAAAATTCTAAATTTTGAGGCGTTTCGTGCAACAAAAATCTCCCATTTTAAAATCCGTGAAATCCTTCTCGAAATGGAAGGTCGGTAGGTTCGAAATTTTTTTAATGATACCAATTGGAAAAAAATGGAAATTTTAATTAAACTTGAAAATCTGCCCTGCATACGCTTCAAAACCCACGAACTATACAAATCATAAAAAAACAAGCGTATTTTGTGATTTTTTTAAAGATCTATGCTTCAAAAAGAAGCCCTAGTGCGAGAAGAGTTTCTTTTTTTCGAAAGGAATCATCAAAATTATAACTAAGAGATGAGAAAAAAACTTCTTTTTGTAAGCAAGAAAAAAAGTTTAAGAACCAAAAAAATTATCAAGAAAGCGAAAAAAATAAGTTGTAAGAAAGTTTAACACTAGGGATACTACCAAAAAAAAATTTTCAAATCACTCAAAACCGGAAAAAAAACACTAAAATGAAATAGAAGAAAGGGAAACCCTGGTTTTTTATAAGTTTCGACGAGTTTTAGAACCGCTTTGAAACAGAAAACTATTTTTAAACCTAGCGATTTTTCGGCCTCGAAGTTCCGCCGGGGGCGATTCCCCAGTAGGACTTGACACGTTGGCGGCGGAGAGTTCTGAAAATTTTTTTTTTAATTCTCAACTCCCAACTGGTTCAAAAAACCTGTTTTATTTCAAAAAAAAAGCATGCCAAATTTTTTTTCCTCACCAAATCCTTGTTTTAGTTCAGTTTTTTTCAGGCTGATTCTAAGATGCTTAAAAATGGATGATTCAAGTCAGATTGAATTGGAAAAAAATCGCTGATCTATAAAAAATCATTTTTTTGCTCAAAAATCAGGAAAAAAAAATTTCCGATTACATGGATATAGGTCATTCACGGCAAACTTGAGACTATATTTATGAAGAATTTCAGAGAAATAGTGAGTTAAAAGAGGAGATTCAGACATTTCTGAATTATTTTTCGTCCAGAGTTATGAATTTTTTTGGAAATTTTAAAATCTCCATATTCGAGATAAAAATAATGCTGGAAAAAAATTATTTTTTTAAACTTTGAGTGATCTTCCAAAAGGATTAGTGTAGTTACAAAAATACGAAAATCTTAATTTTGGATAATAGACCTTCAAAAATTCTAGAAAACTTTAAAATTTATTTATATTCTTCAAAAAGTCACCATCGAGAAGCGGTTCCAACTTTTCGGTCCATTTCGAACTGACTTGGGCGATGTTCGGATGGAACCACGTGTCCAGGGCTTTTATCAGTCCTCCAGCTTCTCTAAAATTGATGAATTATTAAATTTCGTTAGATAAAAAGTTTATTAGAAAAGCAAAAGAAACCTCGCCCTTCTGGCCAGAAGGCCATTCAACGGCGCGTTACACAGACAAGTATAGAGCCGGGCGAAAACCGCGTGTCGTCCGGCGACTCTTGCTGAAAATCGATGAATCACTTAGAAAAATTGACAAAAAAATCATTATTATTCAATATATCAAATATATAAAACGAGTAAGAGACTTACTTTAAAAATTTAACATTAAAAAAATTCAAAGGTCATCTTTATTCATAAATAGTTTTGAAGGCTCTTTCTATTTTTCCAAACCTTTGTGGGAGCTTTAAAAATAACTTCGTTACTGGGAACTGCAAAAAAATAATTTTTACGATGCATATGATAGAAATCACAAACAACAAAAAAAAAAATGTAAAAAAAAAATTAAATCAAACTTCGAATTTTCCAACAAACCCACCATTATCGAAGCCCGTCTCAAAGTCCATTTTGTTGCCATTTTGCAGTTCCCTCGTGATCAGTGTTCTGAGACACTTGCAAATGTCTCCAACCACCGGAGTATATCTTTCGGCACAGACGAATTCCAGAAGGTAAGGCCAGAGAAGCTGGAAATGGGAAAGGTCCTTGAAAGTATGAGAAAGTACGCTCAAATATAGTCAATGTTTCCCGACTTGAAAGACGAAGGAGGCGAGGCAAGGGACGGGACGCGTAGCGTGTGCGTACGCGGTTCTTGGCGCCTTTTCACTTCAGTCGCCGCCGACTATTTAAAAAGCTCGGAAACCGCTTTTTTTTCAATGTTTTCCACTGTTTTCCCCGCCCCGCTTCCCTCGCCTTTCAAGTCGGGAAACATTGACTATATCAACTAGTTTCTTTCAATAAGAAAATTCAGAAATATATTTTTTCGAACAAACAGTAGCGCGATGAAATTCTCATTATTCATCTAAAAATCCGAATTTGAGTTAACTTTTCTTTTTTAATCCTGACGAAACTGAAAAATTCTCGAAAAACTCAAATAAATGTTCTGAAAATCCCCTTTTTTTTTCGCGCAATGGGGAAAATTTCAGTGGACCCTTTAGGGTTTTGAGATTTCAGTAGTCCCTATAGCATTTGCAGTAGTGGCCATTGACCAAAATTAAAAAGTCTAAGAGTCTAAGTGGTACTACAGAGGTGGTTTCAGTGTCCTCTTGAAGAAGTACTCGAAGAACCTCTTAAGTGGCCACTACAGTTTTTCACAGTTGACTAATTTTTTCAAACTTTCTGGAAAAATCTGAAAACTCATTGAATGTCCTGAAATTCACCTTATTGGCACAAATACAAGTGCTAGCAATGGTATGAAGCGCCTGGGCACACTGAGTTCTCAATTGGTTCGATCCGGCGACGTCGACTTCCAGTTTCCGGGTCTGAAAAATAATTTTCAATTCTTAACTTCGTTCTTCTTTTTTTGGTTACTAAAGAATTCTTAATTCTCAATTTGGAAGCCTAAAAATATCATCAAATCACAAAAATTCAAAACTCCTTGGTTCAAAAAAGAAAAAGTCTGCTAAACAATCAACAAGACCCTGGACCAGTTATGTTGATCCATTGACCCCTTAAGTGGCCACTAAAAATTTTAGTGGTTTAGTAGTAGCACTTAGATCTTTACAGTGGCCACTAATTTTTATCCCCTTAAGCGGTCACTAATTCGACTACTATAGTGGACGCTAAAACGTCAAAACCCTATAGTGACCACTCAAAATTTCCCAGTTTCTGTAGAATTTTTGCTCATTTTCTGGAAACACTCCGTCTTCCTTCGATATAAAAAACTTCCCACGCGAAAAATAAATATTATTATCATGAAAATTCGTTTTTCTTACGATTTTTACGTGTTTCTTACGATTAAAAGCTGAAAAAAGACTGAAAGCCCTGGAAGCCGACCTGAACTTCCTGCTCAGTCGGGGCGACAAGATTCCGGACCAAAAAGGCGATGACGTAATCGCCGCCTTCAGCGTCCACGTAGGCATGATCAGCCAAGGCGACGCACAGTTGAACTATCGCTCTTTTTACCTTGAATTCAAAAGTGAACAATTTTTTCTATCTCACTCATACGTGGGGACAAGTGAAGGGCTCAGTTAGGTATGAAGACAGAAAATTTTCTAACGTTTTTTCATTTCTCGCAATTGATCTCGTTTTTGAGTTATAAAGCAGTGGTATGAAAAAAAGACCAGCGAAAGTTCAAAAGGCGACTTTTCCATATCGCTAGGGAACTTTCCGACGGATCTCTTTTCGACTTTTTTTCTCAACAAATTCTTCGTTTTAAATCTTCCTATATAAAGTAGGTAGTTGGTTCATGATTAAAACACAAATAAATAGGAAAAAAAATGTTTATAGATGTTTTATAAACCGAAAAACACAAGGGAAAAAAAATCGGAGATGTTGCCGTTTGAATTTTCGCTGGTGTTTTTTTTTCATACCACCTATAAAGCTTCAAAGTCCGGTAGATACACAAGTTCCCTAACTCGAAAACAAGATCTATCGCAAGGAAATTTTCGGAAAAAACGTTCCCAGGCAAATAATGGATCAAATAAACTTTTAACCTCATTTTAACCTTTTACTGCTTTAAGAGTTTGAAAAATCAAAATGGTTTTTTGGTATTTTTCCTCCTGAACATCTAAAATAAAGAGGTGGAATTATTTTAAAAAAAAAAACAGTTCATGATGTTCAAAAAGAAGGTTCTGACGGTCTCAGACGGCACAACTTCCTAGTTTTGAAAAAGACACAGTTTGAAGCCATAGTCGATTCCAAATCGTGGAAAAAAGGACTATAACCAACCCTAATGGAAGTGGTGTTCTCCGCGGCGAGCAATTTTCTCAATCCCATCATCAGAAGCGATCTTTTGTCTTCCATGTGTTGGCCTGAAGAAAAATTCAAATTTTTTCAACTTTTTGATTCAATCTTCTCACAAGGGAGGTAAACATACATGGAATGAGTGAGCCTGGCGTCAGCCAAGTCCCCTCCCCCTCTATTTTTTTCGATTAAAAAAATTTTTTTTTAATAGTGCATTTAATGAAATATCTCAGTTCGCACTCCTAAAAAAATTTTTTTATATTTTTATTTTTGTCAAGTCCCCCCTCCTTCCAAATTTTTTTGTTAAGTCTACACCCCAGCTTGCGGTTCTCCTGAACATTGCCCAGAACACTTCTTGATGTATCAGATGAAGATTCTAAAAGGTTAAACCTCCAAAACTCCCTAGTTTTCAAGAAAGGACCTCTAAAAGTCGAAGAAAACTCCAAAATCCGTTAAAACCCGCCATTTTAGAGCTTTGAGCCTATATTTCTGGTAAGCTAAAAATTCGGGAAGGTGTAAACTTTCAGAATATTTTTCTGATACATCAGGGAAAAATCCCAGAAAAATCCCAAGATCTTTTTTGTCTTATAAACCCACCAGAAGAATTGAGCAAATGTCTCAAGACGTTGATGGCGCCCAACTTTTGGGTATCCGAAACGTTTTGCATTTTGTGGAGCAAATAATAGACGATTCGGTCCGCAAATCGTGTCGCTGGAAAAAAATTTCAAATCATAAGAAACATAAAAAAATTTTTCTAATGAATTATGAAGTATTGGGATCTATTGAAAAAAATGAAAAAAAGGATTATTTGAGTTCTCTATTCATTTTTTAAAAAATTTTCGAAAAGGTTTCCTGTCTCTTTTTCAACAACTTTATCAGGCAAACTATTTTCAGAGATGGTCAGAAAGTGCTGAAAAAAAAGCCAAAAGAAATTTCATAAGAGATTTTTTTCAAAAACAGTCAAAAACAGCCAGGATTCAACAAAAAAAAAAGTTTAGGAAAAGCTTTTTGAACTTTTCCACGGCCCTCTCTTCCTCTATACTATTTCCAGGTTTGTGGATTTTTTTTTTTGACACTTTTTTCCCTAAAGTATCTGCTTAGCTTGAGACACATAAAACATAGAATTTATTTTTATTTAGTCGTGTAAAGACCCTTATCCTCAGATGATAATCAGTTCAAACATTTTTCCGCTCTTCTTTTTGAAGAAGCACCTTTTTTTTAAAACGGCTCGAAACTCCTATTTTACGTATTAATATAATGAATAAAGCGTCAATTTTTAAATCTCGGAAACTACTCTGAACACGGCAATATGAAAGCAAAAACGTCAAATTGTGGTTTCCAATTAAACTGTTATTTCATTTCTTCTTCAATGATATAAGCTTTTGAAAACGACAAACAAATATAAGAAGAAAAATCGGCCATATTTCTTCAAAATTTCAATACTTTTCCACATCACTCACCAACAACGTGGTTCATTCAGTTCCTAAAAAAATGTCCTTCAAATTTTTTTTCCTTTAAGAAGGCCCTAATACACTCCCTAGAAGACCCACTAAATCTAAAAACTCCCTGTAGGACCTCCTTCAGCGTTTCCCAGTTTTTAAATTGATTTATCCTTAATTTTTTTCTCAACTATCCCATTAGGATCTTCGAAACTCACCAGCAACATGGTTCATTCAGTTCTACAGGGAATGCTTCAAGCTTTTTCCCTTAAGAAGGCCCTAACACACTCCCTAGAGGGCCCCCTGAACCTTAAAGTACCTGAAGGACCCTCTTCAGGTTTTACTAGCAGTTCTTAATTAATTTATCACTGATATGTTTCTATCATATTATTTTCTCAACTAACCAAAATTAATACTTTAAAACTCACCAGCAACATGGAAGCATCTGAAAGCCTCGCTGTGGTTTTTGATGGCCTGGGGGCTCAAAGTGACGCTGTTATCATCCGGATCGAGACAGGCGTTCGGGAACAAGGCGTTCAGAATATCTTCCAGATACGGCTCCAAGGGACAGACGTCGTCCACACAGGCCGCCTCCAGGAACCGGCAGATTCCCTGAAGAAATCCTTTCAAAATCGCTTCTTTATTTCCCACGGACCATCGTGATCATATGCGTCTCGTTGTAGGCCTTTTTGTAGAGCGGGATGAGATTCGTGACGATTTTCTTGACGTCTTCCACCAATCTCATCTGGCGGATCATCAGACACAGCTCTCCGACGCATTCTGCCGATTCTCCGCGCGTCTAAAGTCATTTTTTCCGTTTCCAAGTAATTTTAACAGCTGAAAGAGAGAGCAAAAACTTAATAAAATGCTTGATTTTTCAAATCGATTCCTTTCAAATTACCCTGAGATCCCAAGTCCCTTCCGGTGACTTCATTTCGTCCTGATCTCAGAAGCTTTTTCATAAGTCCCTTTTTGAAAGCATATAATCAGTATTTTAATCTCGGACCCTGTAGAAAAAGTGCAATGCCCGGAATTCAATATTTAAAAATCATTTTTTTTCCCAAAACTAAAAAAAAATTTCTAGTTGAAAAAATGGAAAAAAAAAACAACGATTAAACTTTTTTTCAACGGGTTGTCACAAAATATAAGTACTGCGACATTAAGAAACCGAACTTTTTCAATTCTTCCTTTTTTAACGACAACTTATAAACGCCAGAGTATGCCCTAAAGGGGCAACCTTATGAACTCTTGAAGGTTCCCCTAGAGGGACACTAAAACTTGCAAAACTGGCCGCTCTAGGGGAGCATTTTGATCGTTTATTGTTATGGTCTCTATGAGAAAAAGAATTTCATACAAAAAAGATTAAAACGCTCTCTAGGGACCAACGCTTTAGGGTCTCAGTGGTCAGACCCTAAAAGGAACACTTGAATTTTAGCCTTTCAAGGGCCACTATTTTTCCCCTGTAGCCTCTTTTATTTCCTAACCCCTCTAGGGGCCACTCTGGTGTTCCAAAGTGAAGTTGCTACCAAGGAAATCGTATAAATACAAAATTCGGTGAAGTCGTTCTTCAGATGATTGGTTTTTAATATTTTCCTTTCTTTCAAAACGAAAAAAAAAAACTAAAAGCTGCTTAGGAACTCCAGAGTGGGTCCTATAGCGGCAACCTTAGGGGAGGGTCCCCTCTAGTGACCACTTTACCGACCCCTACGAAAGCCACTAAAAATTGCAAAATTGGCCCCCTACGATTATTTTTATAAACTCTAAGCGAAGAAGCAACTGAATAAACAAGCCTTTTTTGAATGAAATTGGAAGACCCCTATAGGGTCCACTTGGGCTTCAGGAGCTAAGAAGTCAGACCCTAAACCCCTCTATGGAGCACTTTAATTTTACCCCTATAGGGACCACTCTGGAATTCCTAAGTGTGCTCATTTTTGTAATAGAATAGATAATGATTCTGGAAAGAAAACGGATGTGCAACTCGGAAACTTTTTTCCTCTTTTTAAACATTTCAACTTGAAACGGGAACCTTGGGATCCTTGCTGTAGATCCACTGGAAGATGACGTCATAGACGGCTTCGGTTTGGTCGGAATAAGTGGCCCGGTTGGAGACTTCCTGGGAGACTTCGGCTGCTGATCCGGGCCTCGAATCTCCTTGAATTTTTAGTTTTTCAAGGAAAAATGGTTCTGAAACCATTGCATTCGAGGTCCTCGCTTGCCTCTTTTGGCCTCTCCGTTTCGCATTCTCGGACCGCCTCGCAAAATGAGCAAATCGCTCGGGCCCAGGCGCATCTGCATTCCGAATTTCAGGTTTTATTTTTCTTATCGATGAATTTAAAATTTGCAATTTCGTTCTTATTTCTTGTCAATGGATTCGAAAACTCGGATTTAATTTTACCAGGGGATCCAAAAGTTCAAAGTTCATTATTATCAACGGATTCGAAATTTCAGATCTTCAGATCCAAATTTACGATTTCATTTTTTTTTTTTTGAAGTCTACTGTGAAAATTTGTAGTGGCCACTATAGGGTTTTGACGTTTTAGTGGCCACTATAGTAGCCAAATTAGTGACCACTTAAGGGGTTAAAAATTAGTAGCCACTATAGAGGTTTAAGGACTACTACTAGACCACTAAAAATTTTAGTGACCACTTTAGGGGTCAATGGATCAACATAACTGATCCAATATGTTTTTTTTTAAATTATCAGAGTTACTGGAAGGACTACTGGATGAAAAAACTACTGAAGGGGTCCCTAAATCAGAAAACAGTGGCCCCTCTAGAGGTGGGTTTAGTGGCCACTCAAGTGTCCTCTCCAAGTAGTCCTTGGCGAGCCTCTATAGTGGCCACTTAAATTTTTCCCAGTAGTAAATAAATAAATAAAAACTCATTTTTCGTTCGCAGACAGACAGACTCTTTAACGTGGAGAAAGTGATCCAAGAAAAAATATATTCAAAAAAAAATCCACATAACTTATAGATATCTATATTTTTCCGTGTTCAAGTTACGACTACTTCAAATTCGTTCAAAATGATTTTGTGAAATACGCAAAATTATAATTTTGAAATACGCTAAAAAAAATTGGGTCCTACAAGGAGATTTCTAGTTTCTTTCGGCATTTTTTGAACAAAAATTGGAATTTTTAGACTTTTTTGATTTTTCGAATCACCTCAGAGGATCGGTCTTGACGTGTTGAAGCAGCGGAACCGTTCTGGATAGAATATCGGTCAGAAATTTGACCAGAGCGAAAGCTGAAAAAATATTTCTAGTTTTCGCAGATTTTTTTTTTGGAACGCACGATTGTGTTCGGCGATGGTGGCCATCGTGAGGACGATGTATCGATGGGGACTCGTCGTGAGGCCGGGAGGGAACTTCTGGAGGACGGCGTCGATGACGTGGTTCGCGAATCGGCTGCTTCTCGCCAACGTCACCAGAAGCTCCCGAGCGGCTTCTGCCCATTCGACGTCGGCGTCCTGAATCGAAAACTTCAGCTGGACAAATATTTTTCTTCATCAAAACGCTCAATCGTCGTAAAACTCATGCGATTCTGGCTTTCGTGCTCTAACGCGCACTTTTCCTTGCAGGACCCATTATCGGCCTAAATTGTTTCAACCCAAGGTTTATAGCGCCTTTTCTAGATTTTTTCGTTTGAACTTTTGATGAAAATTTTCTGAACTGTACTTCGGAACTCAGAACCAGAAAAGATGTCTCACAACAGATTTTTTTTTTCGGTTCTAAGCTTTTGAAGCGTATTAACTCGAAAAGAAAATCTATTGCAAAATTTTGTTTTTCTTGTACTGGAAAACGTTCCCTAGTGCGAAATATTTCATTTTCCGGTTAGAAAGGACACTGAAAAAAACCTTATAACAAAGCCGATTTATCCAAAAAAAGAAATGTGTTTTTTTACATGTTAAGCTTAGAATATTATATATATTATTAAAGAAATCCACGAATTTTCTAACATCTACATGAATCGGTGTTTTTTTAATATTTTAAAAATTCCCATGAAGAAATCAGAAAAAAATTTAATGAAGGTTTTTTTAAAAAGTTATGAAATGATTTTTGAATTCGTCGAAGTTCGAACCAAACCTTGGTCATGGTCATTTCCTGCGTCGCCAGGTTGATGATCAACAAAACCAATTGTTCATCGAGTTTCGTGACGACAGAACCAATCGAAACGGTCTTCGCGAGCTCCTTTAAGACGAAGGCTCGATTTCCGGCCGGCAACTAAAAAAATCTTGAAAAATCAGGAAAAAAAATCTCTTTTTGTTTTAAACTTTTAACTCTCTTTTAGTGATAATTCTATTCGTTGTGCAGACTCCGGAATAAAAAAATGTAAAAAAAGGAGAAAAAAATATGGACAGCTTAAAAAAATTTTAGATTATCCTTAAAATCATCATTATTAGGAAAAAAACTGAGCTTAAAAAAACATTTTTTTCGTTGAAAAAAATTAGAAAAAAATCTGAATTTTTTTAGCTACTGAAAAAAAGAACTAAATAGACAGAAAAAGCTTCAAAAAAATCGGAAAACAATATATTTCAGAAAATGTGATGGCTAACACAATTTTATTAACCTTGAAAACTCACAAAATTCCATTTTTTTCTTTCTCCAGTCTTCCAAATTAAAAAAAGTGAAACAGGGAATTCCTTTTTTTCAGGGAGAATCTTTATTTCCTCATTAAAAAAATTTCCATTTTTATTTCTGCAAAAAAACTTCATAACTATCACAAACCAGAAAAAAATCGATGAATTTCCTAAATTTAAACTTATAAGTAATACTCGAAACAGGAAACTGCAGAAAAACTTTAATCAATCAAATTTAGACTTTTTTTAATCATGCTCAAACGGCTGCAGATGAGGCTAAATGGGGAAAAAAATGACTATTTCGATTACTTTGAAAAAAATAATCATACCAAATTCCCGAAAAATATCTTTAAAAATTTCCGCTTTCAGTTTAAAAAAATGGGGTTTATGCTCAAATATAGCTTCCTTACACCCGAATGACTGTATTTTTTTCAAACCTTTGGATTTTGAAGCAAATAATGATGACAAGCGGTGAGCATGACGTTCGGCTGATGAGAACTGATCGCTTGAAGCGAATCAGAAACCTTGAAAAAAATTAAATTTTTTTAAAATTAAATTTGGTTAAATTTTAAACATTTTATTCAATTTTTTTTCGCTTTGAATAAACATTTTGAAAAAAAGACTTGAAAAATTATAACTAAACCTCATTCCGGACATTTTTCCAAACTTGGATACGTCGATGCACAATCCAACAAGCTTGTCATCAAATCTGAACCATTTTATCCATCCAAAAATGTCTTCCCCATGTATTCACCTTGCAAGCTTGATATTGGAGTCGTCATTGCAACCGTTTTTGGCGGCTCACATTGAAAAATAACGGTACGGTGCTGGAAAAAGTGCATAGCGAATCAATAATATCCGAAGCGGAAAGAACACGCAGGAAAAAGGACGTCGTAATAACAATTTCCCATGAGAATAAATGGTGAGAATTTTTTTCTGATTCGATTTTTTGAAACGTTACAGTCACATGCAATTTCGCAAACATTCAAAAGAACGATTAATCGCGTTACAGCTTTGATTTCGGAAAAAAAAAAGAAAAGAAAAAGAAGATTTTCGTAATGAAAAAACTGTAAGACTATTAGTTGTTCATATATTGTAACCAAAAAGTATTAGGCTGTTTTGAATAATAATCAGCTAACCGGAAATGAAAAAAACAAAACAGAAAGAAGAGAAAGAGAAAAATTAAGAAATTTGTGCACAAAAAAAGCACGAGGGATTTTACCTACGCGCAAAAGTTGCAATTTGCCGTGAAAGTGCAGCAAAAAATTTCAAAATTTTGAGTCCAAATTAATTTCGGAAATTTGTAAATTAAAACGTTGGAGGATGTTAATATTGTATTGAATTACTATTATAAGATAAACAGGTGGTGGAGATTGTTTATTTAACTGTCATAGTTTATTTTTGCGAGCCATTGAAAAAAAAAGATGCAAATTTTCTTTTTGTTAATTTTAAAACTTTAGAATGCATTGTGTTGTTAAAAAATGCACTGGAATTAGGGCAGAAAACATTTTTGCTTCATTTTTGAAAATCCAAGATTTTTCACAGGTTTATTTGTTTTCAGAAAGGTTTTCTATTATGACGCATTCACTGGAAAAACAAAACGTTTCCTTCTGTTTTCCTGTTTTTTCCAATTTCGAAGCGTTTTTGTTAGATTTAGAGACGTGGATTGTTGTTAATTGTTGTTTTGGGAATAAATCGATGGCAAATTGCAAACCAGCTGTTTTGCGGCGGAACTCACGCATGCGTAATAAATGTTTGCTTGCATTTTTTTTCCCTTTCCGTGGATTTCAAAAATTCATGAAAAAAGGTTGGCGTCCGCGAAGGATTGTGAAATTATAAATTTTGTTGGAGTTGAGGAATGGGAAAATTGTGAATTTTCATTGAAAACTTTTTTTAACGTAAAAAAATTTCTAAACTATTGAATTTTTCCAAATAGTCAATCAAATTATAAATCTTTTTTCAGAAATCTCATAAATTTTTATGTGACTACAATTTCTAAGGGGCAAAGGGGAACAACAAACAATTTTTAGGAATATTTTAAATATTCATTTGCTTTTTTTGAAAGCGGTAAGTGCTGGAAAAAAATGAACATCTCTCTCATATTTTTTTCTTTTCAAAAATTTCTTTTAAATTAACTCAAAACTTTCAAAAACTGCAAAAAAACGCATTTCTTCAACTTCTTCAGAAAAAAAGGGAAAAGTCGGCAAAAAAATTCAAGAAAAAGATAAAATTATCTTCTTATCAAAATGACCGATGTCCGTCGGAATCAGGCCAGACCGAAAGTCAAAGAATGATCTGGACCTAGATAATGCCGTGGTTTTTTGAAAAAGAGAAGATTTTTTCTGATAATTGGCTTTTTAATTGGTATGTGTTCCTCTATAATTAAATCTAGGAAGCGTTGGTCAAACTATTTTCTTTTTCGTTGAGATTTTCGGGTTCTTTAAGGATTATTTTTCATTTATTAAAGCCTAAAAATGTTTATAGTTTACTCTAAAGACCTTATTATGGTTTTTGAAAACATAGAAGCCTCAAAAGGCTAAAAAAATGACACTGAAAAACGGTGATTCGTTTCGAAATTTTTTTATTTTAATAGTTTATGCTCCTTTAAATAACTCCTTGGACCTCGGTATCGCGAACCGGACGTTTGGGAGCATTTCTAGTGATCACTTTAGTATCGTCAGGACTCTAAAGTGGTCCCTTAATCGCTCAGAAACGTCCGGGAAGTGTCCGGCTTTCGTGACCGAATTTCGAGATAGCAAAGGCTTTTTTCCTGATCAAAATATATTAAGCCTTACAAGTTCTAATATTATGCGCTCTATGGCTAAAATTTTTTTTTTCTTTTTTTCTCACGCCAAAAAACGCCCTGAATTCGATCAAAAAACCTCTTTACTCGACAGAAAAACAGCTACATAATCAAGAAGAACAAAAAAAAAACATGAACTACAACAAAATGCAGTCAGAACTTAAGCCTAACCTTTGGTGTGAGGGGGGAAAACGACGAGAATTCGATTAGAAACGATAAAAAATAAATAAAAAGGAAAGGAGCGTGCCAATCAAACAAGGTTACAACCATCGCGATGAAGCGGGAAAAAAATGGTTAGATTTTTATTGAGAACCCATTAGAAAGAAAGAAAAGAAAACCAACAAGGAACTTTTTTGTATATATTTTTTATTTTTTGCTTTTTTGAAAGTACGGAGCCAGCGTAGATCAATAAATGAAGGTACCGCTTTTCCTGACATGAATGAAAAATGATTAAAAAAATAGAAATAACGAAACTAAGGATAGCCTTTTTTTGTTGGAAAAACAATCCCGATTGTCGACTAAAATAGAATATTTCTCAAGAAACCCACCATTTTCAAGACAAAAAAACCAAAAATAATGTTTTAAAAATACACACGAATTAGAGAAACAGGTGGAGGTGCTAAAATAGGAGAAAAGCGATAAATAAAAGGATAGGATCACAGAAAAGGAAAAAAAAAACATCTCGAAAAGTTTCTGGAGGATTTAAAAGGGACAAAAACGTGATTAGGAGGCGATAACAAGTATTCCAACTCAAAAAAACGATCAAAAATAATAAAAATAGGTTCATAAATAGACGGAGGGAGTAAATATGAAGGGATGGGGAATATTTATGGCTTAGAAAATGTATTCTTCGTCGCTGTTGTTCGTCATGTCGATCGCCCAGCGGAACTTTTCACGTTGCGTTTTGTTGAAGACCTAAAAAAATTAATTAATTAATCAAAAACTTCAGCTCCAGAGGTCAGTTTATGAAAGTGAAAGGTTCGAGGTTCGAAACAGAATAAAAAAATTTAGGACCTATAAATAAACAATTCTTAATCAAAAACTATTCCCTGAATTTTTCCCAAAAAAATAAAAATTTTTCCTATCTAAAAAAATTTTTTTCAAACTTCCAAAATTACGAAAAATATAAAACTTTGATAATATTTTTGAAGAAAAAAATTATCCCCCTTTTTTTCCAAAAATTTGACCTTAAAAATTTGATTTTTTTGCGCTCTATTTTTTTATTTATTAAAAATGCTTATAAATCTTTTTCAAATTGTTTTTTTCTGATCAGAAATGATATTTTTTTCGAGACCAGTTTTTTTCCCGTCCTTTTATATAAATCTTTACAAAATTTTTTTCTGACAAAAATAAATTTGTAGAAATTAATTTCAAACTGAGTTTGGGTCGAAAAAAGACAAAAATTCCTCTCTTATTGACTGCTAATATTCGATTTATACTGTAGGAACATGATAAAAAAAAAGCCTCGAAAATATAAAATGTCTACCATTTTTGGAAATTGCAGATGTACATATCAAAGTAAAATTTTTCATTAAAAAATTTTTTTTTCGAGTTTTCACAGCTCAGTTTGACTGCAGAGACTCGCTACTTCCGAAAAATGACCGTCATTCAAAAAGGTCCGAATTTTTCAAATAATTCAAAAATTACAGTTGCGTCTCAAGACGAACTTCTTGTTTAAAGGACCTCATTTTCAATTTTTCCCAGTTCTCTGTCCAATTTTCACCTTTTCAATGGGAACATCGTGCTTCTTGCACCAGGCGACGGATATCCGAGGGTCCAAATAGTTCAACTTGGAGGTTCCCAAGGCGATTTGCTTGTTTTCATCCTGAACTCGCAACATTTTCGGGTGGAAATCCGAGAAATCAGTACCTTGTCGGTCCTGTTGATCTTCAGCCGCTTGTACTGATCTTTCAGACGATCGTACTTCTTCTGAGCCTTCTCCTTGGCGGCGCCTCGGGCGTGCTCCAGCTCTTTTTTCGCCGCGTCAACCTCCTTTTTCTTGTCTTTTATCTGAAAATATCTAGGTGAAAACAAAAATTCGATGAATAATCCATACATAAAGTTGTAAGGCTAAGAGAAATTAAGGAAAAACCCCAAGTTCACATCGAACCGGGCTTTCGACCTAAGAGACTGCAGGGGGGCTTTAAATAAGGTTTCAAGGAAAAAAAGGAAAAAAATTCATATTCTAACTAAAAAAATTTTTTTCCCAGTGATACTTTATTTGTAGAAATTCAAAAAAATTGCTCTTTTTGCGCCAGATCCGGCTGATTTCGCTTGGGGAAGGGGGAGGGGGTCGGACTTGGAAAAATAGCAGCGGGGAGAGGGGGGCGTGCTAGGCTGACCCGAGAACAACCCTGATCTCTAGCTAGCGTTATCGATGGAGCGCAAAAATCCCTATTACAAAATTTTCTCGCAGCTCACTTTTCGGAGATGATTTTTTATCGGAAACTTGCTCGTTTTTCGCATTCGCCCCCCCCTTTTTAAGCTTCTCCTCTCATTGCTCACCTTGGCTTCCAAGTTCTCCATGGCCTTTTCGTGGGTCTTCGGGACGGACCGTTGATGGTTACAAAGGATGGCGACTTGTCGGTTCGCTCTGTTGTAGGAAAGCATCTTCTGATGGACATTGTCTTTGGCTAAAGTTAATCGTGTTAGAATTTAGAAAAAAAGACGATTTTCTTACGATTCGTGAGCTTCATGAGCTGATCTTGGAGTGTGATGGAAGCGTTGTAGGTACGGAAAACTTTGACGGTCAATCCCGGCATCAGAGTCCGCAAATGTTCGTTCAAAGTGGCCGTCTGGAATAAAATTATTGTTTTTAATTCGTTGAGGGAGCTTTCAAGTTCTTGAAATTTAGAAAAAACTTAACATTTTCAAGGGTACAAAAAATGGAATAAAAATTCGGCTGTCACAGTATAGACAGTTTTTACGGACCAATTTCTTGTTCATGGTTCAAATTTTCGTCTATAGCCTGGTCAGGTTTAAAATTTCAAGCACAATGACGTCATTCGAGAAAGCTCTGGGGGTGGGCCGCTCTCTCATTGGTTTATCACGGCATTAGGGGCGGAGCTTGACCGAAAACTAGATGTTCAAAATTTTAACAAGCCCTGTTTCCAAGGCATAAGGTTGTTAATTTTCCGGGGATTTATTAAAAATTTGAAATTTCTGAAAAATCATCTGAGATAATCTTGAAATTTCTAGCGGAAAAAAATATTCCAAAATTATCTTGAAGTTCCAATAAACTTAAAGACAGTTAAGCTGGCGAGAGCAGCCGTCAAGCTTTTACCAAAAAAACGGTTCTTTAGGGGGATTTCAGAGCCCTGCAAATCTTTCTAATAGAGGATTTTTTCAAGATTGCGTTATGATTAACCCCTCAAACCGCCACCCACAAAACTATCCCATTCCCCAACTCACATCCAACCGATCGAAGAGATCATCTCCAGGCGACTTGTTCTCCATGAAGATCTTGAGGTTCTTGTAGACGCGTTTCTCGACGTGCACCCGGTTGAAGTAGCGGATCGAGTCCTTACCGAGGAAGTCGAACTCGACGACGTTTCTGAAGGTCATTCCATGTTCTGAGATGCAGATGAGGCCTACGTGAGCATGTAGAAACTCCAGGAAGAGGGGTTAGTTTACAAAAATTTCAAAAGTCTAGAGAAACTTTCCACTTCTAAACTTCTAATCTCAAGGAAGGAATGTTGACTTCAACTTAGGCAACCTAATGCGGACTTTGGGTCGTTATACAGTAATACAGTAAAGTAATACAGTAATCTATACAGTAATCTACAGAAATGGAAAAAAATCTTTTCTATTCGTAGCACCTGTCTCCTTACTCGGCTTCATGTTTGTCGTCGTCGTTGAGCTTGATCTTGTCGTAGAGTTTGATGTGTTCGACGCGCAGAGAGCAGCAGCCGACCGTGTCTGCGGCCTCGTCGACGTCTTTCTCGTTACCCGCACGAAGAGCCAACTTCAATTTTTTTTTTTTTTTATAACTTTTGAGACTTTGTAGTGTACTCTGAGCGAAAAAATCGATTTTTTTCAATTTAAGAATATCCGTCAGATAGAGAAATTTGTTGTGATTCCGAAAATCTACTTGAAATTTTGAAAAATTCGCTCGTTTTCGAGAAAATGAGTCCAAAAGGTAAGTCAAAGATCAATCTTTTCGGGCAGGTCTTCATTCAAAATTCTCTTAGAGGATCAAAATTGAAGGCTACAGTATTCCAGTTACGGTATTTTTATAATAAATTGAGCTTTTTCTGTCATCTAAGTGTTTGGCGGAATTCAATGACCCAACTTCAAAATTACAAAAACTCCAAAACATCCTTCAAACTATGCGTAGAAAATTCGCTTTCTCTTCACAAAATCTGAACCAAAATACGATTTTTCTCTCCAATCACCTTATCAATGAAATAGAGGGCAACTGCGCGCTGTCGGACTCGCATTTCCTTGGATTTCCAGTCCTCCTGGTAGACGGCCCGGATGCTGTCGATGCGTTTCTTCAGCCGACGCGCCGTCTCATACTTCTCATAATCTTTTTCTCCCTGGACAATTTTATCACGGTTTTTGATGGGATTTCTTCTCGTGGAACCTTGATTTTACTCGACGGATTCAACATGATGTATTTGTTCTGGCCGAGGACATTTTCGGTCCAGGAGCAGAGCCACGTGACCGCGTTGTCGTGTCGGACCTCCTTCCATTTGTGACCTTTTGGTGGCTCGGGAATCGCGCTGTCCCTTTAATAAGAAATTTTTGAAGGGGCAGTTTTTATTGTACTCTTTACTTTTCCGTGTTCATCTTCGCATCAATTTTTTACATTTTCTTCTCCAATTCCTATATTTCTAACCAGGGAGCTTTTTTTGAAAAACGTTCTCTAGTAAAGTGAATCCTTTTTTGAACTTTTCGAAAATGAAAGATTCACTTCCGATTGCGCAAAAAAATAATCGGATTTTCACAAAATCCAAATTCCTGTTAGAAAAAATTAAAGTTTACGTGATTTCTTTTTATATTTCTTAGATAAATCGTGTATTGAGAAAAATGAAAAAAAGCATTTTTTTCTCTTCAAAATGAGCTGATTCAAATTTTTCGAATCTCCAGCCGTTCTGAGTAGTTCCTAATAAAATCCTCAAATTCTTAATATTTCAAGCTTTTTCAATTTTTTTCTACACTCTCAAAAAGCTCACTATTACGAGGATTTCGTAAATTACCTAATTTTCAAAACATCATCCTTTTTTGAGTTATTTTCTTCGAATGAAAACTTCAATTTTACTGGAATTTCTACCCAGTTCAAGCAGTTATTAACGAAATCAATGACTTTTAAAAACTTTCTCCCCTCAGTTAAAGCTCAGATGATAAAAAAATTAAGAGAGCTTCATCAAAAATCCTTATTATATTTTTTTGAGCTCTTCTAAAAATCTCTACGCACTTGGAGCAGTTTATGATGACATCCTCCGGTTGTATCCGTTTCTTGAGCATCCCCATTTTCGGATGGCCTCCTCGTCCGCGGAACAATCCGGGGGGTTCGATCCGGAAGTTGGCGACTTTCTGTTTGTGGCCGTCGATGAAGGCGAACCCGAAGATCTTCACCTCAGCTTCTCGTTCTTCCTAAGAACCATTTCTTTTTCAATTTTTTCTCTCTTCAAGCCTACCTTGATCTTCAGCTTTTGATCTTTTGTCATGGCCTTTCGGATTTCCGACTGTTCCTTGTAATAGACGTCGATCACGCCGAAATCGCATTTTTTCAAGTCCGTTATGTGTTCTCTTTCTTTTGACGTCATCACCTAAAATTTATAAATAAAAATAAACTTAGAAATTGCAAAAAAATTTCCATACGACCTGCTTTTCAATCATCAACTGGTTAAGTAATGTGAGAGTTTCAAAAGTTGAGAATTTTTTTGAATTTTTTTCAGATTTTTTTGTTCAACAACTGTTAGAAGAGAGCTTTTTTTCTTTGAAAAATTTAACCTTTAAGAAAAACATTTTTTTGAGCTCATCACAATGCTACTCGTTCTAGGAGAGAGAAAAAAAAACACCAAATTTTGAAAAAGCTTAAGAAAAAAAGGGGAATTTTCCGCCCCATCTCAAAGTATTTTTGACAGAACATTTGAGAATAATTTCGTATTTTTAAGTGGATTTTTCGAGTCAAAATGAACGTTTTTGGGATGAGATTTTACTTTTTTGTGCCTAGTCGTCAATTTTCTAAATATTTTCCATATTTATCCTGTGAACTTCAATGGAGCGCACTTTCCAAAGGCTTTTCGAAAATAAAATTCTTCAAATAAGGCTAGCTTCCTTCTGGAAATATTTTATTTTTTCTCGCCTACTCCGCAGTTTTTTTTTTCTCATTCGTTCATTTTTTTTTGTTTAGGTTTTGATGGAGCGCACTTTCCCCAAAATTCTCCAACCCATTTACCTTCCGCCAATCCTTGAAAAAGTTCTTATTGAAGGCTTCTTTCGTGGTGTACTCGTGGTCGATCATCCTGGCGTAGAAACCGGCGACTTCTTCGGCTTCCGGGGACAGTTTGTAGACCTTCAAAGGGGAAATTGTCAATTTCCAAGGCCTCTGAAATGTTTTCTCACCTTTCCATCGTACTTGAAATGAACGTGGTCAGGAAGGGGCTCATAATCCGGGGCGAAAAGTGGACCTTTGTGCGCCAAACTGTTCCATTTCACGCCAGCCGGCTTCTTTTCTTCCTTCCACCTAAAGAGGAAAAATCGTTTTTTTTTTGTCGAATAAAGAAATTGTTGGAATTTTAACCTTGAAATAGTGAGATATCTATCAGGAAGATTTTATCTCGGCGAAAGTTTTGCTATAAATCAAACATCTGTGATTCGAAAATGGTGAAACACAGTAGATGGGAATTTTGATTAAACCGCATTTTTTGAACAAAAATCGCTTAAAATACCCTTAATCCAAGGAGGAGCAAAAACAGTTGAACTGAGACTCCCGAAGCTCTTTTAATCCGAAAAAACAGTTAATAAAATGAAAAATCAGCGCCAATCTAATAAAAGGAGCATCGATGACTTGAAAAAAAATCTCGAAGCGCTCAGCTTTTTCCGGATCTTCAAACGCCACAGCAAGGCATTTCGAACAAAAAGTTCAAATCCAACAAATTACAGTGCATAAATTTCGGCACAATACAGGACAAGCCAAAAATGAAAAATGAAAAAGAAAAAATTTCTCTCGGCAAAAAAAAACCATGTAGAAGACAAAAAATCCTCGCTAATCTAATTGAACGAGCATTGATGAATTTTCAAAAATTCCGTCTCCGGCACTATTTACGAAGCTTCAAATGCAAAGAAAATAATTTAAAACTAAAAAAAAACAATACATGAAGAGCATAGGACAAGCCAAAAATGAACCTTGTCTCGTGAAACTCCGGCTCATCACTGTCCCCCTCAAAATGGTCTACCCCACTGTCTTCCTCCTCGACGCAAAGAATCTTGAAGTCCTCGTCGTCCAGGTCTCCGAGCATACTGTAGCTGGAGCTTCGGCGCAAGTTCGCCCCAAGGGGAGCAGCCAGGAAATTCGACGACATTCCAGTTGCAAAACAAAAAGTTGAACGGTCTTATCAGATTTTCGAATCGCAACAGTGCAGAACCAGCAGCTGACGCCCGAGGAAAACAGTTTCAACGCAGATTAGAAACCGCGAAAACAGGTAACATTGGAACAGAGGGACGACAAATATTTTCAAAATTCGAATGGTTCAAAGCACGAGTCGGGACGTTATCTGGGAGCTATTTTCTGTTTGGAAAGGTGCCAAAATGATCGTGAAACGCGCCAAAATGACGACTGTGAAATTTTTCTGTTTTTCAGTTCAAAACTCTAATTTTTCGCCAAAAAACTTGCTGCAAAACACAAATGAAAATTAAAAATCAATAAAACATCAATTTCGAAATTTTCTGAGCCTAAAAATACTTTTTTCCCAAGCTTATAACTCCAAATTTACGGATGGAATTTGCGCCCGACCTAAAGCGACTTTCGATCATTGGCATCAAATGATTAAAAGTAACGCTTAGAGGCTGTAAATGCACTGACCACTTTTTAAATACCTTCTTCTCAATTTTCACTCTATTTCTGATCATTTTCTTTCGAATCAAACCCAGAAACTGATCAATTTCTCGGAAAAATGAGTTCAAAACTCCATTTTCGAAATTTTCTGACTTTTTCGAAAACTCACCACTCCCAAATTTCTTCCGGCTCTTCCTCCTTCTTTTTCCGTTTCACTGGCGACGTCTCCTGCTTCACTTCCTTTTTGGGCTTCGAACTCGGCGTCGACTTCGACTTTGACTCTTTCTCCTTTTTCTCCTTCTTCTTCTAGAAAAACGCAGAATTCAGCAGGGAAGAAAAAAAGGAATGAAAAGTTACTAAAAATCGTATAAATTTAGAGAAAACAAAATTAACGAAAATCCTTCTTATTCTTCAACAAAAAAAAAAAGGAAATAGGCATAACCAAGTCCCTCATAATCACTGAAGAAGTCTGACCAGCCTCAAAAATCCTAAAACTGAATAGTTTCCTAAAAATCAAAATTTGGAATAATTTTCGACTTCTCCTGTACTTGAAATACACTAAACTCAATTTTCTAATGAAATAAATTGAAAATTTACTGGAATTTCAAGATGAAATTGAATGAAAACTGAAGGAAATGAACGTTTTAGAAGACATGTTCTATACTGGTCATTTTCAAGCTTATTAATACGATTTTCGATGAACCTAATATGGAAAATCTTATCTTCAAAAACAGTCCTTATCCATTTGAAAAATTCAGAATCTTGTATGAAACTTATTTTTTTTATAGAAATAAATGGAGATCTTATCAAGTTTGAAAGCAAGAAATTGATATTTTCAGGGTTTTTGAATAATTATTGGGGCCCAAGAAGTGAGGAATTTAGTTGTATGAAAATGAAAATGCGAAAAAGTTCTTCTTTTTTAGGTTTCCTACAGAAAGCATTTTTTCGGAGTGAAAAAAAAAGTGAATGAATGAAAAAACACAGCCAGACCAGCACCAGCACCACAAAAAATGGTTCCACGACAAGGGCGCCTTTTTTTCCATTTTAAAGTCCATCGAAACTGATTATATGGACATGAAACAGTTAAAAATGATCAACTTTGTGTTCTAAAATAACAGAATCAAATGGAAACCTCGCCCTTGTCGCAGCACCCAAAAAAGCCCCGGGGGAAACCTTTTTCTTCTCAATCATGTCATCGTCGGAATCGTCCTCGTCATCTGATTCCGAGACTTTCTTCTTCTTTTTCTTGGATTTTTTGGCCGAGCTGGGTTCCGGAGTTCCGTACTTGACGGAGAGGGGGACGTCGTCGTCGTCGTCTTCATAGTCTCCTTTTCCTTCTTCTTCCTCCATCGGCTTGAAAAAACGAAACACAAGGTTAGGGTGCACGAAAAACAGTTAAAACTGAATAAATATTGAAAAAAAGTGCGTTTTAAAGGGAAACATATCATGTTTAAGGGTAAATAAGCCACCACCAAAGCAACCAAAGGAACACTTTTCGAAAAAATCAGAAATTATTTTTAAACTTTCAAAAAAAAGGCGCAACAAATTTTTTTGGAGCTAACTTCAACAATGAAATAAACGACTAATTCAAAGTTAATTTTTGAATATTTCCATTTTTGAACTTCAAAAAAACTACTTGATCGAAAAAGATTCATGAAAAAAACTATGATTTAAAAAAATTCTCTTCATTTTTCTAAAAAAATTTGCCAAAATTTAAACCTTCAAATATCAAACTTTTTGAGCTAATTTTTTTAAATATGAACTCAAAGGCTAATTTTACTATTTTTGAAAATTTTTAAAATAAAGAACTTATTTTGAACTAATTTTCAAGGATCAGCTAGTTCAAAGGCTATCTATATCGTTTAAAAAAATTTAAACTGAAAAAAAAGCTTCAAAATCGTTCTGATTCTGAATCACTAGATGAATTTTTTACATTTTCTATTTAAAAAAAACCTGAAAATTTGAAGATTTTGAAGTAACGAGAACTGTTAAAAGTCAAAAATCAATTGATAGGCTAACCATGTAAATTTTGTAAACTTCAATTCCGACACTGTAGAAAAAAATTGATTGAACTGATCTAAAAAAATGATTAAAATTTTCCTTACTTTCTAAAAAAATTCTTAAATTTGAGATCCAAACTTTTTAAAAAGAAAAAAAGTGAAATTTCAAAATTTTTCACAATACAAAATGCCCACAAAAAAACAATTTATGAATTTTTTTCAGAAAAAACGAACCTCAGGCTTATAATCGTCCTCACTATCACTGTCCGCCTTCTTCGACTTGCTTTTTCTCTTCTTCTTGAAATCATTTTTTGATTTTTGGTATCATTTTTCTCATGACTACCTCAGGCTTGTACTCGTCCTCACTGTCGGACTCGGCTTTCCGCTTTTTCTTCTCCTTTTTCTTCTCGGAAGCCGGCGTTTCGACCGTTTTGCTTCTTTTTCTTCTCCCGCTCCATCAACTGACCCCATGGCACGTCGTCGTCCGAGTTGACCGCCTCGTCTTTCACCTTTAAAACATCTTTTTTTCGTAGAAATTAAAGAAATGAGTAGATTTAGATACAAATATTTTTGGTTCTTTACGCCGTGTTCAAAGTAATTTCCGCGAAATCTAAAATTATCTCTGACTCTCCAAAAATAAGTTGTCTTTTTCATTTTCTGACGGCTATTTTGAATATCGCAGAATCGTTCTGAACCCGAAAATACAACTCGGAAAGCGTCCCGGACGTTTCTGAGCATTTCAAGGGATCACTTAAGAGTACTGCCGCTAAAAGGGCCACTAGAATCGTTCAGAGACCTCCAAGACTCGTTCGGTTTGCGTTATGAGGTTTCGATTTTCATTTTTCTTTTATTTTTCAAATTTTCAAGAACTTTTTTTAATGTTCTAGAGTGGAAAAATGAAAATTTCAACGTGTATAACTGTATAACTTTCTGGCTTCAGAGAAAAATGAATGAAATTAAAATTTTAATGAATTCCGATGGTTTTCTAAAACCGTAAGGATCGCAAAAATGAAAGTAAATGCTGAATGAACAATATTTTTGCTTTTTTTTGTTGTTTTAAACCCGATTTTCTGTGTGAATGATGTATAGAATATCTATTTAAACACTGATTTCGCTCAATTTTTTTCCTAAAAAAATAAAAAAATCCTGGAAACTTTTACCTGAACAGCTTCCAATTTTTTTAAAAAAAGAAAACGTATCTTCAATGTTTGGTAACTTTCTTATTCAAAAAAAGTAGTAAAAAAATTTTTAAACCCCCCCTCCTCTCATAAATACACAGAAAAAATGATAAATAAATCGACCCCGCACCTCCTTCTTAACGTCGCCATTGCTGAACTCTTCTGTCACCTTGCCGTTACCGTTCGAGGAGTTCATACCCGAATCCTGCGATCCGTAAGCGCTAAAAATACGGAAAATCCATACTTTCGAATCGAAAAAGAACACATAATTCATGCGTGGGACGGATAAAATGTTGGATGGACGGAGTGTGTTGTGCTTTTCAATGCAATCTTCAAAAAATGTGGATTCGAGGCGAGAAAAATGTATGAAAAAACAAATAACAGTGAATTTAATCAGATTGAATGTTAAAAAACGGTTGGTGAATCGGGAACATGCGACTGGGCGACGAATTTACCTATCTCCGTTACCGTACTCTCCGTTGTGATGATGGTTGGAAAGTACGGGCGATGAGACTTCAGCCATTCTCCTTGTTTGAGATTTATCTGAAATCGATGTTAAGTTCCCATACTTTTACTGTCAAAGGTCATGCTCCAAATCTTCGAAAAATCACGCAAAACTTGAAAAAAATACAAACGATAGAAGAGAAGCTTTTCATGTTACACAACATTAACACTTTACACAATGTGAAAGAGCTTGTTGAAAAAGCTTGAACCTTCCCAGGCTTATTTTACAGTTTTAGTGGATAGGAGATCTCTGAAAAAGTCAAATATTCTTGATGAAAATGAGAGAAAAGTTTTTAGAGACTGGAAGGCGAAAACAGTCGTAGGAAAGTTGTGAAAAAAAAAACCTTTTTAAGATCATTTTTCAACACTTTTTCTAGTTTTTAGACATTTCAAGTCAATTCGGGGGAAAAAAACTTGATAATTTCATTAAAGCGGTTCGTTTCGGATCCCCTTCCGTTATTTTTAAAGGCACTTAGGTCCTAGATAACTCAAAATAACACTAAAAATGCATAGAACAAAACTATGTTCTTTTCAAAATTTCGCTATTTTGGAAAGATCTCCACTGTAGATTTCTGAAGTAGCGGAAGATCTTGACCTAAATTATATCGGAAAAATAGTTCAATTCAGTTTTTTCACATTCCTGCAGCCACAAAAAAACTCTGAAGAAAAAACTTGCTCCAACTCCTTATTTTTCTGCTTCTTTTGTTAATAATTTTTCCCATCTCCACTGTTACACTACAGAGGACCCTCAAATGGACCGGAACGAACGGCGGGAGGCGGAGCTTCCGCATTGTGTGTGGCGAGAGGGAAGAGATAGAGTTCAAACCAAGTGCAATGTCTTGGTGTTCAAACAAGTGTCCCTCCATCACTTCAAGTGACCACTAGAGTTCCCTCATACTTATTTCTAGTAGAAAAATTGACTTTTCCCAGGAATATTGATTTCTTTGGTCTTATTACCTACATTCGATCTAAAAACTAGAATGATTTCTTTTTCTGTGGAAAGCTGGGAGGGTTTTTGAACTGTTGAGAGGCGAAAAAACTTGTGAGTGAAAGAAGAAAAGTTCTCAAATCAATCTCCTAAATGGGATCGATTCATATGATGCGTGAGAAGTTGGGAAATAGTTATCAAGACAGCGATAGAAGTTGACCAGGTCAGGGAAATTCACCAAAAACGTGCGTAAACTATAGTTTTCTATACAAAACGTGAGAAGAAGCAATCAATGACTAAAGTAACGGATAGTGAGTATCACGAAAGACGCTGTTGAATATGTGAATTGATAGTGATCAAATAATAGATCACGTGAGAGATATCCCAACTAAGAGTATAAAAGAAGTCGGGAACTCAGATCTTGATTGCTCGTACCGCCCACCATTCGCCTCCAGCTCCTCCGTCGCTTCCAGCTACGGACTAATCGACAACTACCTCTCCAATCTCCACTCTCCAACTTTATTCACCACTGATAATAAATAAGTGGCGAGTACTCTTCTTTCTGACACGCACACAAAGATACATTAAAGACGCGAAATTTCATAACAAATCAATCGATAGAGTAATAGGAAAAGTAGGAAATGCGAGAAAGTTGGCCTGATAAGTCGCCAAATATTGTCACAATCACTGGAAATCAGCAAAACGAAAAAAAATGATGACAAGAGGAGAAAATGTGAAAATGACGCTGCCAGCGACTAAGTCCGGGCGAACGTGGGGACTTGTGAAAAACAGCGGTCGGCGGCAGCGGCTGGCACGCGTGCGACTCGCGTCGCGGCTCCCGATTAGCCGTGGCGCGCAACTTCTGCCTTTTTCAAAGGTTCACGTGCACCGTACGGCGAGTGTGTTCGCCCAAAAACGACGTTTTTTGCGCCGATTAATCGGTTTTTCTGGATTTTTGTGCCGTCTCAGCGGAGGGCGGACGCTCGGAACATGTCGCACAACTAGGCGGCGGCTCGGCAAACGCTTTTTCAGTGTTCCTTTTGCAGGTTTCGTTCAATTTTCTGCTTTTTGTTAAAATTTTGATAAATTTCAATTTTTTCCACTATTATAAACATTTTACTGTTGAGAATGTTGTCTTAGGATGATTCACTGAGGTATTATCGCTTGATGGGTATTTTTCGATTTTTTTTTTCCGAAATGAAAGCTTTCAAGTTTTACTTTTCTTTAATTTACGTTTGCTTGAAATTTTTTGCTTCAGTCTTTTTTTTTATGAATTTTACGGGGTCTTTTAGAAATTTAGAAGTGTTGCATGACTTGAAATAACACGGAGAATGGCTTTTTGTCACGCTACTGTTATAAAGTTTGTTGTTTCTTCTTTGAACGCTTTACGGGAATTACACTTACGTGAGACTTTTATAAACGCTTTAAAGCAATATCAAACTGTCCAAATATGTAAAGAGAAAGAAGAGCATTTCATTTTGCGCTTTGTGCTTGTAAAAGTTCAGTTTCCTTAAGTTTTCACGATATACACTGTTTCACCAAGCAGTTTTCAGATCAAAAAATTATCGTAAGATGTCCGCTTCTTCGCTGGAGACGTCCTCAAAAAATGGGTACCGTGGATTGAACATGGAGCACGGTTTCATCAAGCATATCGTTAAAAATCAAATTTCTAGGTTTTTTTTTCCAATTATGTTTCTTTAAAATCCTGAACTACAGAGACGAATATCATAAAGTGAACGAAGAAAAAGTGAAGAACAGACAGGAAAAGTTTCGCGAGGAGGGCAGAGGTTTTTTTGGTGTTTTCAGTGAAAAATGACGAATTTATTTCCAGTGAAAGACCGTAAATCGAACCCAACGGTGGGGACCCCTTATGTGCCGCCACATCTTCGCAACTCTTGGTCGGGATCAAGATCCAGTTCTTCAGCTTCGGCAGAAAGTAGTGGGAAAATCAATGAAAAATAAGGGAAAATGAAATTTTTTAGGAAACGTTTACGTTCCGCCGCACCTTCGCAGCCCGGTAACGTCGTCAAAAACCGATTTTGTGGCGGATGAAAGTACCGAGGAGGAATCGAAAGAGTCGAGTTTTGTCAAAAAGGTTTGAGAAAGTGACTCGAAAAGAAGTATTTTTTGAATATAGCTTTAAGATTTTTTAAACTCATTTTTCATGGTTATCGTCTTTTTTTCAGCTTTGTATACATTTTTGAAATCTTTTTCTAACCTGTCTTCCCATGTCTTTTTTTTAGAAAACTTCTTTTTTTGTGTTTTTGATCGAAAAATGAATGAAAGGGCTCAATTTCACGTCGAATTTTTATATTTATAATTTTTCGCTGAACAATTTTAGATATAACCCTTTTTAAAAATTCTTTTGTTTCAGTGGGATTTTCCAAAAAATAAGGAAGAAACCCCTCTTAAGTTCCTTATAACCTCAAAATCCAAGTGGAAAGGAAATTTCCAGAGCCCAATCCTCACCGAATCAGAGGAAATCAAGTTGCGGAGCAAGGTGAGTTAATAAAAAAACATAATCAATGAATTAATAAAGGTTCGAAGTCGGGAAATGTCGCGAATGATGGGAATGGACGAGTTGACCGTCTCGCTCAAAAACGCGTCTCTAAGCGATACAAATTCCGCCCAAGATTTTGTCGTTTTCCAACTTGGCCTGAAAGTTGGCGACACGACCGTTTCCATAGAAGTCAAAAAGGTTTTTTCTTCTTATTTTTCTTGGTGCTGATCAGAATTTAGTTTGTTTTGAAATCAACTCGCGGAATGCTCAAAAATTAATTTTGAAACTAATCTTTTTGCATTTATTGATTTTTCGATTTTTTTAACGATTTGCAGTAATTAATCTTTCGAGATTTCATTTGGTTTGAGCTCAAATGAAAAAAAGATTTTGAATAACGTTAAATTTTTTTCAAAAAAATTGAAATAGTTCCGAAAAAAACCTAATACAACTACATCAAACGCTTAGATTGATTTTTTTAGAGAGCCAGAATTTTTTTATTTCCTACAGATTTTTTTCATTTTTTTCTTCTTAAAAAAAGGTACTGTCTGTTTTTAAAGGCGGAGAAGTCTTTTTATATCTCAAAAAAATCAGCTTTTTCGTTTTTCAAATTCCATTGGTTATTGCATTTCTGCAAAAAGTTTTTTTGTTAGTTTTCGTAAAGAATGGTTTTCAATTGGTGTTTCTCGTTTACGTAGAGCTATTTTAATGTTATTTTTAGACAATTTGGCCCTTCTGCGCCTTTAAAACCAGGAAAATGCTTTTTTTTTTTTGAACAAAAAGTACTTTTTAAATATTCTTCATTCATTTTTGAACAATTCAGTAGTATTTTTGAGTTCACAATTTAAAAACCAATAATTTTGCAGTCCGACAGTGCCGCCCGACTTTCGAAAGCCCTGTCCAGGGAGCACGATTTCACCGACGCCCAATGTCGATCTTTGCGAATTTTCATCGACCAACAAATGGCGCAAAGATTGGAAAAAGCCCGGAAAAGAGCCCAAGAAATGGAAGAGAAAAAAGACCAAGTCTTCGAGCCGGAAAAGGCCCCAGAATCGAGCGACGACCCGAAATCTTCCTAAATCCGCAAATATATCCGTGTTATAACCACTTCTCTATACATAGTACTGCTCTGCATAATATTCTACAGATTTTTGGGTAGAAACTAAGTCATTTTGTGCATTTTATGTCCAAAATCTATACATATTTGTTTTTTTCTAGATGCTTATTGTCATTCTCGCTTTGAAATGTGCCTTACGGCATTCAGGGAACTTGGGATTTCTAGTCATTTTCAGTGGCTAGAACTATGGGTTGAGATTATTTCGCATAGTGGCCTGTTAGCTTTTTTATTCGATTGGTGAAGTTCAAAATGGGTTTTCGGTCGGAAAGTTTCGAAAAACGAATATTCAGCCGATGAAAAATGCTTTTTTTTTCTCAAACTTTCCAAAGATATCTTCAAAAACCGGACTTTTTGGACTTTTCCTTAGGTATTCTGTTTATTTCGTTCTAACTGGTATCTTTTCCGATCCCATTGTATTAACCGCAGTTGTGATGATCACTAAGTCATGCTCACTTTTGTCAGTCCTAATCATAAACGACTACATCTCAGGTGTCTATCTCCGTTCCTCAATCGTTATTCAACTTTTCCTCATCTCTTGAGTATTCGACGACAATCTTCAGTGTCTTTCAATCTCAACTTTTTCCCCGTCCTGTATTACTGTTGATCAATAAACATTTCATTTCGAGCTTTTACCATTTTTCGTCGTTTTCCATCGTTTCTTCGCGAGAATTATTTTGACCTTTGTACGATGTTGTAATTTTTTGCCTGGCTGTGGTGCGGCTGATTTCACGGCCTTTGGAGTTTTTTTTTTCAAATCAATATATATTCTAGTTGAAATTCAGGCTTATTCCTGGTCAAAAGCATTTTTTTGCCACGGATTTTTTAAAAGTATTTTTTTGCTATTCTGTTTTTCAAGCTTTCCTTTATTTTTTTGAGTGGATTTTGAAGAAAACTGTTTGAAAAAGGACTATTTTGAAGCTTTTAAGATTATAAAAAAATGATTCGATTTTTTTGAATTTTGTTCAGGATCCACTCGAGGCAAAGAACCTTTCGAATTTGATCAATTTATTTTTTTCAATTAAACCATAATTAATTAGAAAAGTAGCTTTTTTTCCAAAAGAGAAATTTTTTTAAAAGCGTATCTTTAAAAAGCTCATGCCTTTATTAAAATTTAGGAAAAAAAGTTTTTTTCAATAATTTTTTTCACTTGCGTTTATATTTCAAGGAATCATTGAAATTTTAATGAAACGGCTTTTAGTAAAAATATTTCGAATGGATTTATTAAAATGAAGATATTCATTGTTTCTTTTTGGAATTTCAAATTTTTTTATATAAGTTGGAGGCGGATCCTTGCTGTGAAGCTTGAAGGCAATGAAGTATAGCAAAATCTGGAATATTATGGAAAACGCCTCTTCGCTTCAATATTTCTGATGAATGTATTGATTCTCTTTCAAAAATTGAAAGAAAGGATTCGGGAATCGACGACTTTAGCTTCTAAATAAACCAAAAATAGCGCATCTACTCATAAAGTTTGTCCTTTCAACAGTCCTGAAGCGAAAAAAAACCTAATCTTTAAAATGAATTGATTCTTTTTTTCTTAATATTTCCGTTCGAAAAATTGAAAAATTAAGATAAATAAAGGGAATATTTTGCAGGTAACTTACCTTGGAGCCGCCCAACGGGTAGTGTGTCACACCACGAATCAAATCAATCGCTTGATATGACCATGGTGAAGTCGTTGGTTGCGCTGGCCACCGAGCGGATGCTCCTGAAGACGTCGGGGCCGACGTTCCTCCGCGGCATCGAGTTCATGTACGCGGCAGGACTGGCGCCCGAACGGCTCTCTGTGATGATGACACAGTCGCAGAAGTACGTCCTGCAGTTCCACTCCAAGTGCGACGTCCGTCCCTTCGCCGCCAACTACCCGAACTTTGCGCGGGTCCTGCGGGGCATCGTCCACGTCCGCGCCTGGCGAATCAAGTCCATCGAGTTCGTCAACGTCGCCTTCGACATGCGCGACGTCGAGAACCTGGAGAGGGCCATCGACAAACTCGGCGTCGAGCTCGTCCTCCTCCGCAACTGCTCCTACCCCGGCGTCGCCCGCGGAGACGAAGCCGTCAAGTTCCTCGCCGCCCTTAACCGCAAGAAGCAGGCCGTCGTCTGCGAATACGGAGATGATCGTCTGAAACATCGGATCACCAGAAGAGTGCCCCTCCCGAGGCAACGAAGGCCCACGCGGATGCTCGCCGACCTGGCTCATCTGAACGCCGAAGACCGAGAGCCGCCCGCGGCAGCCGAACCTCCCCAACCGAATGCCCCGGCCGCCCTACCCAGAGTCGCCCAACCTCTGCGGCCGCTGATGCAGGCCCTCGCCAACGTCGATCACGGCGACGTCCAGGCCCTGCAGAACGTCATCCAACTCGTCAATGCACAAGTTGAATATGTGAGTTTGGAGATTGATTTCCGTCGAAGTTCGTTAAGAAAATGGTTTATTAGCAATCATCAGTAAGCTTTGAGGTTTAACCCGAAGCTTTCAATCCCATTTGATCATAATTTTCAGTACATTGGCTTAAAAGAACTCGATGAAAAGGGTCACATGATTGCAAGGATTATTACTTATCGCTTAGAGGTGTGAAAATAGGAGGATTGGATTAGTACACCTTTTACACTTACTCGATTTTTTTTCGAGAGAAATCGGAAATCTGGAAACCGAGATGAAAGATCAGCAAAACTTTCGTTACGGTTTTTTACTTTTTATGCTTACTAGGGAACGTTTTTTACCCCTCGCAGATAAAAAAAAAATTTCTCGCAATAGATCTCGTTTTCGAGTTAGGACACTTCAAAAGCCCAAAATAGCGCTTTTTTGGCCTAATTTGCGTATTTCGCGGTCTTCGAAGCTCCATAACTCGGAAACAAGATCTATTGCGAGAAATTTTTTTTTATCTGCGATCAGGGGCTCCTAAAGTACACTTCAGCAAAGTTTCAGCAAAAGTTCAACCGGGGGGTAAAAAACGTTCCCTGGTTAGAATTGATGAATTTTTACTTGGAGAAGAATTTTATCCCGGAAGTAAGTTAAATTTTTTTGAGTATTATGCTTTTATTTAGTGTTTCAACGCTTTAGAGTGTAATCTACCTTTGAAATTAAGAAAAATAAGTTTTTTTTTTGGCGTCTTTGTGGAGCTGTAGATTTATTGAAAAGGAAAAAAGTGGGAAACAATTCAAATTTTTTTTTGGTGGAGTGCACGCCCCACAGGGAAATCAATATACTTTTTGGTTGGGAATGGTTTAAAATTTGGCCAGATTTTACTTTAAAGGATCAGATGGAAATACTGAAAGTCTTAAGCTTCCTTGTCAGATCGAATTTTCAAAATTTGGACTATTTAAAAATCACAAGCAAATTTCAAGCAACATCAAATTAAGAAGAAAAAACTCATTAATTCCTGAAAAGGGGCTAAAAAATTTTTTATAAACTTCTTTTTTTTTCTCGTTTTTTAAGCTTTTCAACAGTCCTCCTTTCATGTAAATTCTACTTTTCAACACTTTTTTTTTATCTTCTTAAGGATTTTTTTGATAAAAAAAAGTTAGTTCTACGACAAAAGCACGTTTTCTATTTTGATTTTTTTAGTGTTAATGACATTAATGAAATGACTTTTTAACGACAGAAAAACAGTTGCAAAGCATTAGGGATTTATCCTGACTTATCAAAAAAATTAAAAAAATTAAAACACAGAAAAGCTGTTTAGAAACGACGAACTCTTATCGTAACTCCAAAAAGTCTTGAAAAGGCTCTAGGAAGGTCTTTTCTTATGTCTTGTTCGCCGGACAACTTCAAAAAAATGAGTACTGTTTTGAAGCAAATTCCCCCGATAAGAATTTTTCCTTTCGAAGCATGTTCCGTTTCTCCCATAAACATGCCATAAAAAGGTCCTTTCTAGGTTATTTTCATCAAGTTGGCTTCAGTAAATAGGGGCATTCCTTTGAAAAGCCATTCCCAGATGCAACGAATGGTGGCGATGCACAACGGCGTCCGACCGGCCGGACTCCGACGAAGACTGGCGAATCCGTTGGCGGCGGCGTTGGCCGGCGTGGCCGCCGGACGGTTGGCCCGGGCCCGACAGCAACTACTGAACGACCCGTTAGTGGACGATTTGCTGCAAGAAAGACGACTCAATCCGCCGGGCGTCGTCATCGAACCTCCCTTGCCGATCCCGCGGGAGGAAGGCGAAGCCCAAGATCGCGACGAGGTTCGTCCTTCTATAGCCCATTCCTCGCCAGCTTTTCACGTTTTTCTTTCCGCCGGAAATACCAAATAAGATCGAAACTGACGGCTCACTTTTTCTCCGTAAACTACCGTGTGTCGTGTGCATGCACTGCGCCGCTTTCACGCAGAAAAATTGTGTGTATATGGAGAAATTTCGATTCGTCTTAAAGACCTCTGGCAATACGGCGGCCTGCGTCTTTAATATGCCATGTTATTTTTTCTCTTTGAGCCAAGCAAAAGGTTTTTTGAGACGAAAAAATTTTCAAAAAAAAAAATTCGAGATGAGACAGATGGTGTCCCGAGACGAATTTGAGTTATTCCGTTCACGAAAAGTGCATTTCAAAAGAAAAACACATCAAAACGGCCAGAAATCGGAAATTATGAAAAATCTTTATTGAAAGCGAAAATCTAAATTTGCGCGTGAATTTAATTGTTTTTGGTGCGTTACGTCACGACCGGAAAGTCATATGTTACGCCTTTTTTTTCAAATTTTCTGTGTACAAAGTTCAGTTGTTCTCTCGAATTTTCTTGAGACGAGATCAGATTTATTTCTGCAACTGGAGACGGAATTGTTCTGAGAAAAAGTCTCGTGCGTCCCTAATTTGTGCAATTGTTACTAGGAACCTTTCTTGTACCGCCCAGACCTTTTCCTAGTCAGAATCGATGTCCCAACTGAGGAACGGTTTCAGGAAGACGATGACACGGAAGAAGAGATGGACTACGAAGAAGCGCCACCAGCGGAATTGGCCGATGAGCCGGCGGCGGAGGCTCAGAATGCACAGAACGAGGAGCCCGTGGAGGAAGAGCCACTGGGACTGGACGCGGACGCGGTCGCCGTCCAGGGTCAGAGCGAAGAGTTCGAAGCCGTCAACTTGCCCTGATCCTTCTTCCACATTTATGTATTTTCTATGTATTTCTTGATCATTTCTTCTGTTCTATGGCAACGTCTTTCGACGAATCACTTTCCTATGCCTTGTTGATGGAATTGAGCGCGTCGCGGTCTTGAAAGAGCGAGAGAGTGCGCAAAAATGAGAGGTTCAGACGTAATTCTGAACATTTTTTTGAAATAGCGGTACAAGAAAATAGAAAATTTCCATTTTTTTGACTTTCGTTGTTCTTTAAAAAAAAACTAAAGTGAAGAAGATGAACTTTTGACGATTTTTCTGCAAACCGCGACGCGTTGAGCCATTCCCCATGCGACGCTCACACACTCATATTTTAATCGCTTCATCCTCCACTATCGGCCGTGTTTTAAACATTATTTTGGGTCGATTCCTATCCCCGTTTACTGATTATGATGACACTGGATAATTGTTCATATCGGTTCAAATTGATTTCTTTTCTCCTTCCTTATTTTACCTTGTATGAAAGCTCAGCTTTTCCGATTTATTCATTTTCTCGCTGTCAGTTTTTGACTCACTTTTCTGTTTCGAAACTTCAATCGACTTTCTTCTTCTTTGTCTAGTCGAACTAACCTATTGGGAATAAACTACTCGCCAACTTAATTTTCTTCTTCATCGACATAATTTATGCAATTTCTTGGTATCTTGACGTAGCCGAAAAAAGACCTATTTTTGAAATAGTTCTGAATCGACTACAGTTCCAAACCTTCTTCTGTGGATTACTGTACCTTAATTCTGTATTTGAATCGGTTCTCCCATTGCCAATACGTATCGGAACACGGCCTCGTTGATTATTTTCGATTTCCCTCAGATCTTTCATTGATTTTGTCACAATTCCGTGCCCCCCCGTGTTCCGCATACTTGTACTTATTTTTGCCTACGTTGTTGGTTTTATTTTGTTCTATTTTTTTTTCTGCCGCAGTTCAATATTTTTCCCCGAATGTCAATAAATGCGATTGTATGACTTAGGGTGTTTGGAAAATGAGAAAAGAGTAGTTTTCGCTGGTATTTATCGAATTTTTTCAAAAAAAAAATTATAAAATGAAGTTTTTTCTGTGCGATGAGGTCGACGTGGGTATTGAGAAGGACTGTTTTTGATCCTTCGACTTCAAATTCTTCAGTTTTTTCGAGAAGACCCGTTTTGTCGACGAAACCAAAGTCCGAGGGGAGGTTGGTCTTCGATTATTCATTTATTTATTATCAAATTAAAAAAACGTATCATTAAACTTGTAATAAAAACGATTTCATTCAGGCTCATAAATAAATTTGTTTCGAAAAATAATAAATTTCTCCCCTTTTTTTGAAGAAAAATCTCAATTTAATGAAATCCTGGGATTTTTTTATTAGAATGGTTTTTCAGAATGTGCGTTTCAAAAAAACAGAAAAATAACGGGAAAAATCAAATTTGTATCTTTTTTTGGAGTTTGTTAAATGTTCACTAAAGACGGGTTTCCAAAATAAGGCCTTTTTTAAACGCTTGCTTGCAAAAATTTAATTGTTAAAACGAATTTTGCATTTATGAATTTTCTAATTGTATTTCACCTCAAATTCATCTACTTTTTTGAAAACTAGCGAAGATATCGCTCAAAAACCGCAATAGGTGTATGCACATTTTAAACCTACAGTGTGCCAGGGTTCAGCAAATGTGTGTTTACATTCAATTTTAATCAATAGGAAACCTGAAAAATCTGAAAATGCGTTGATTTCTTTAATTTCTTGATCGCTTTGCACGCTCGGGCAAAGTTGGAATGGTGGATAATGGCCACTAAAAGAGAGAGGCTCAAAAAAGGTAGCAGAAAGGCAGCAAAGTGACCGGAAAAAGGCACCAAAAATGGTCCAAAAAAGCCGATGAAATGTCGCAAAAAAGCCACAAAAAAGGAAAAATTGTGATCCTTAAAGGCATAGGGGCAGTAAAAAACGGTGTTTCAGTTCAAATCAGTACTTTGTAGAGTTTTTCATTGCGAATAGAATAGTGAACTTGGAAACGTACAGAAGTTCCTAGTTTTAAAGAAAAATTAATTCAAAGTCGGAGAGAGGAAAGTTTGAGTTCCCGCGAAAAGGGCGCTTTTCAGTAAAGTCGCTCTATGGACAACAGGCTTCGCCATTTTTCGGGTTTTTGCTTTTTTCTTCGTTTCTTTCAAATTTTAATTTTTTCTGTTGTCACCAAACTTCTGTCACGAAAACTTTCTATTCATGTATAGTTTGCAAACTTTGATCGCAAAAATGCTTCTTGAAACCCCGTTTTCCACTGCCCCTATGCCTTTAAAGAACATTTCTATGGAGCCTTTTTCCACCCTTTCCGGCTTGGCCTATGCTATGCGTGAGCTGCAAACGCCGCAAACTCAGAAAAATGAATGATAACGGTTCTGGACGAACAAAATCCCAGGCTTCATCATTCGTGGACCACCGGCGGGTCCGATGTGTCGCTGGGAGTGGCGGCAACGGAATGGTCTCATTTTTCCGTGGATATCGGAAACCTTTTGGAGGTCCTGATGGCGGCGACGGTGGCAACGGCGGTCATGTCGTTTTCAAAGGTTTTTGTGTCATTTTTCTGGTTTTGAAGACATACTCCGTTTTTCGCGACTTGAAACTACTTCTTTTCTCTGCGCCTTCCTCGTCTCTCCTATTTTTATTTTTCTCTGATTTGCCGGTGAGGGAGACGCGGACACTAGAAAACTGTCAAGTCGCGAAGGACGGACAGCACGTTTTTTGAGTTTATGATCAAAAATTGTCTTCCAGCTCACAAAAACACAAAAGACTTGGGACATTTGAACTCTGTGATTCGGGCCAAGGATGGAGAATATGGGCGGTCAGTTTTTCGGGGTTGTAATGAGGGAAATAGTTGGTTCAGAACTTTTTCAAAAGTTGAAAAAAGAGGGAATATACTGAGAAAATTTGGATGGGTCCCTATAGGGAGTGTAATAAGGACAAGGCACCCCTATAGGGACCCCTCAAACGATGTCGGAGGGGTCCCTATAGGGCTCCAAATTAAAGGGGCCCTTGCAGGACGAAAAACATCCAGTTGACCGATGTTGTCGGACTGAAAAAAATATTCAATTCACCTTTTCAAATCCGTAATTATCAACTTTATTCATAAGGAAGTAAGAAAATAATTGCAGAACAAAATCCTGCCATGGAAAGTCGGCGGATCACAAGGAAGTCCTTGTTCCCGTTGGAACGGTTTTTAAATGCGACCAGAAGACGGTCTTCGAAATCAATCGCGAAAATGAGGTTGAAACAGTGAACTCAATTAAAAATTCAGTTCATTTTAAGATATTTATCGCGGCTCGCGGTGGAGTCGGAGGTCGGGGCAACGAATTTTACGTCTCCAATGAAGTTAGGAAACCTTTCAAGGCGGAATTCGGGGGACAGGGCGAGGAAGTGGGTTTTTAAGTGATTTTGAAGAGATTTGAGAGGTCAAAAACTCCAAGTTTTGGAATTACTTGGACATTTTTAACCGCAAATTTTAAATAAGTCATGTAAATTTAAAAAAAAATAATTTTTTTAAGCTCGTCTATGACGTTGAAATGCGAATGATGGCGACTGCGGGCCTTGTCGGCTTCCCGAACGCCGGAAAATCGTCCGTTTTTTCCTTTTTATTCGATAAAAATGGGATATTTTAGTTCCCTACTCCGCGCGATTTCAAGAGCCAAGCCAAAAGTTGCCGCCTATCCCTTCACGACCTTGAGACCGCATGTTGGGATGGTCTTCTATGAGGATCAACAGCAGATTTCTGGTTTATCTCCATGAAAAAAAAAATAGAAAATGAAGTCCTGAATTCCCACTAGACTCAACAAATGTGACAAGAATAACGAATTTTTCCAATTTTTTTAAACGAGTTGAAAGTTCTGAGATCACCTGTTTGACAATTTTCTCGTAAGCGAAGTTCAAAAGGAGCTAAAGAAAAATAATTTCGAGAACCTTTTTATAGTCTAATAAATAACTTTTGAAAAGCTTCAAAAAAAAACCTTTTTAATAGAAAAAGCGATTTAAAAATCGTTATCCTTGTAAAAAAAGAAAAAAGGGATTTAGTTTGGCAATTTAAAAAAATCCATTTTCTTCGAAAAAAATAAAATGCATCTTCTAAAGCCTTTCTGACTGTTCTCCCTTAAGTGGCCGACATTCCTGGTTTGATCGTCGATGCTCACAAAAACCGAGGTCTTGGCGTTGCTTTCCTGAAACACATTGAACGATGCCGGTAAATTCATCAGAACGAAAGAAAAAAGATAATTCATTGAATTTAAAGATTTCTTTGGTTTGTCTTGGACTATTCAGCTGGCCAACTCACGGAACAGTATGAATGTCTAAAACATGAATTGGAAGGTAAATTGAAAAACTAAAATTAAAAAATGATGAAAAGGAGAAATTTCAACATTTGTCGTAAAGTAAAATGTCTTTTCCGCAGAATGTTAGTGTTTGCATACTTTTGCCATACCGTGATCGTAATTGGGAAAAATTTGGTTTTTGTTGTATTTTTTTCCTCTGGGTTAATTTGCGATTCAAAACTTCATTTCACTCACTTTGAAATGACTTTTTCAGGGTACAAGCCAGGTTTGTCAGAAAGAAGTTCTACAATTGTTGTGAATAAGATCGACCTAGCTGAACAGGATAAGGTGAAAATAAAGTTCAATGAGCTTTCAATTAACTGGAAATAAATTCAGGACGAGAATCTACAATCCCTTTTCCCCAACCTGCCGCTTTTTTCCGTTTCTGCAATGCATGGAATCGGTTTGGATCCCCTTTTGGTCCACTTGAGGGACCAGTACGAGACACCGGATGAGACAGAGCAAAATGAACAAGAAAACGAGTTTTGAAAATAAAATATGGCTTTATTCAAATCGAAATTCCAACACCGAGCAATATAAAGAGACGAATCTTCATAGTTAGAGAGCACGGCTGAATACGAGAGCGTTTAGAGAAAAAAGACGCCCACCCTCTCATTTTGAACGCTCTCTAACTTTTGAAGACTCAAAAAACATAAAATTCACAGAAGACTTTCAAGTTATTCACTGCTTGCTTGTTACCGTAACCCATGGAGGTCTTCACACGATGAACGAAATAGTGTGCAAAAGTAAGAGGTTTAGACGTCTCTGTAGTGATTTCCGTCTCAAACAAGTGGTGAAGAAAACAATACCTCATTTGCCACTGTCTGACTGTCTGCGCTCCCTCGTTTTCATGCGCTATTCTCATCAGAAGAGATGAAGAGAGCGCAGACGGTCAGACTTCTTCATTTTGTGGCCTATGAAGTTTACAATGAAGAAAGCAGTGTTTATTCATCAGGATATACTTTTTTGGATTTGACTAAAAATATTCGCGTCGGGATATTTCTTGGCGGCCGGTCGATGCTCCTTTAATTAGGATCGCTCTTTTCTTTCTCCGGTTAAAAATTTGGAAAATTATTTTCAAAAAATACTTTTGTTGATCAAAGGCTCAAAAATGAGGAAAAATTGAAGTTTTCTGCATTTTTTAGCCTAAAAAAATCTCCAGAAAACGCTTTTTTTCAATCAAACCTTCGAAAGTACTGGAAAGAAAATCGCGATTTTCAAAAAAAAAAAAAAAGATCAGTTAGAAAAATCTCATTTTTCTTAGATAACATTTTTAACCCCGACCTTTAACTTAACAAATTTAAAATTAATTGATTAATTAAATTCAAAAAAATAATCCGAATTTTAAACACAATTTTGAGCTGAAAGGAGCATCGAAAACGATTTATTTTTTGGCTAAAATCAGCTGGGAATAATTTAAATCAGACTAGAAACAGTCCTGAGAGAGGGTTCAGCAGAGGGAGGAGGCCTAGTCAGCAGTGGTCGGCGGCGTTGGCGTGGGTCTCGAAGGGATTCGGATATGGGAAGGCGGGGTACGGTGGCATCGGTAGGGCGCTTCCGAATCCTGGAAAAAGCACGCTTTGAATGGAAATTCTAGAGGTTAGGGAACTGGCTTGAGGCGTCAAAAATAGTATTGACACGATAACAGGAGAAATAGTATATAGTTAGTAGAGGGCGCAGACAGGCCACGCCTCTTTTCGTTTGACCCCTATAGGGGTTAGGGGGAAAAACCGCCACTCTCAGAGACAAGAAAGTGTCTTCTATAGGCAAAAAGTTTATAGCCTGACCCTGGGCCCTTAAAGTTCAAGTGGCTCTTATAGGGTCCTTCAAATTTTAGTTTTGCTCTGACTTAAAGTCAATAAGACGCACTCTAGGATTTACATTAGCATGCATCCCTAAAGTGGTCCCTTCTGAAAGCTTGAGTGGCCCCCTAAGGGTAGCTAAAGTGACCCCTATAACTTTTACGGTCCCCTTAGGTTGCCCCTATAGGGATCACTCTGGGGTTCCTAAGACCTAACCGTAAATCGGCTAACTGCCCTAACGCAGCGTAAATGAGTAAAAAACCAGTAAACTTGAAATTTATCATGGATATGCGAACCTTCAACACTAGAAATATCCAATAAACATAAAATTTTGGAAACCCATTTACGCTGCGTAAATTTCCCCGCCTCAAGCTAATCTTGGCTCTCGGCCAATTATCGGGCGTTTTTCGGGATGCGTCGCGCTAATTTGAAACTCTGATTCAGTTGCCTTGGTGACCTGAATCGTAGAGTTGTCTGGTGCAAAGAAAATTGATCTTTTAGCTTTCTGGAAATACTATTTTAATAAAGAGTACTTGAAAAATCGATCGTTAATTAAAAAAATTGTTTTGAAATAATATTTATTTTGTCAGATGGAAAACCTTCGTTATTGGAAGTTCAACGCGGCTGAAAATGGCTCAAAAAATTTTTTTCGCTTCGAGAAATTTAATGAAGCTGGGCTATGCTCCTTTAAGCCACCCAGCAAGTAATTTTGGCCGGCTAAACTTGGGGTCTTCAGAGCGGTCCCTATAGGGGCAAACTTAGGGCCCTTGAAGGATCCCCTCTAAGAACCACGATACCTCTTCCTAGGCGCTAGAGCTTGCACAAGTGGCCCCTATAGGGATCACTTTGGCGTTCCTAAGAAGTTGAGCTTTTAGAAACCATTTTTGATTGATCAGCCTTCACAGAACACTAGTCAAAATTCTGAACAATTCGAAAATTTCGTGATTTCAACTGTTTTTATTAGCATAGGATAGAATGGACTATTTTACTTTTTCAGGTCTTTTTTCCGAGGGTCTCTGAAAAGGTACTAACCATGTCCCATAGCCGGGAAGCCTGGATAGGTGGCCGGAAAGTAGGGGAAGAAGTTGGGCTGAGTGAACCCGTCGCCGAAGAACGACATGGCAGAAGGCGTCGGCGGCGGCAACGTCGCCGGCATCTTCTTCATCATCTCGAAGCTGTGGACGGCCGACTGGAGATGTTCGACGGCCGTCGTCTCCTTCTCGACGTCTTCCGCCGCCAACTCCGGCTTGACCTCGACGCCGTCGCAGGCGAACTGCTTGTGGAACTTGGCGAACTCCTCGTCGAACTTCATGGAAGCCTCGGAATCGTTGTTGACGTCGCCGACGACGTCGTCAGCCGCCCGCGGCACGTCGAATCTCGCGTCGTAGGTCATCTCGCCGGCGTGCGAGTGGGGCGTCAGGATCGGCGGGGCACATCGCGACTGAAGCGGCGTCATTTGGTTCGTCGGGGGCGACGGCATCAACGGACGACGCATCGAGTCCATCGAGGAGTTCACCCAGGACCTGGAATTGGAAGAACTCTTATTCAGAAAACAAGTTTTTTTGGTTGCCGGTTGAGTTCGATGTTTTGCTGTAACATACAGAAGACTGGTAACAAGTAATCAAATTTTAAAAAATGAAACTTCTCTGTAAAATTCTTCTAATTTTCATCTTCTATTCCGTTAGAAAAGTCAAAAAAGGCCGTTTTTACAGATTTTGCATCAATTTCCGGGGGTTTTTTTCAAAACAGTTATAATCAACGAAGTTTCCTGTACTTTCTGTAAAAAATTGAAGTCCCCCCAAAAAAAAAAACTCAACCTAAACTTTCCTAGAAACTTATCAACTAGCGAGAAGCTCAAAAGTTGCCCTTTACTCGTGACGCGACAGCCGCGTCGCACGTGACTCGGCTGTGACGTCATCGCCATTTTTGGAAAGTCGTCTTACCATGAAGGAACTTGCACGTTCCGAAGTTGGCTCTCGCCCTGGTTTTCCGACTTTTCCTGACGTCGGAACTTGGCGCGCCGGTTTTGGAACCAAACCTGGAAAATTCTGATCAAACCAAAGTCATCACGAAAAAAATTTTCAAAGCTGTCATATGCTCTTTTGCCCATGAAAAATCAAAAATGCGAAAAATCAGCATCAGAAAAATGCAATTTTTTGATTTTTGACAAAATGGCCAGATTTAAAAACGCAAATTTGCTCTGTTGATAACAGCAATCAGCTTCTTTTTTAAAGAATTCCTGGGTCGAAAAATTGGCATTTTAGTTATGGATCTGGGAACCAAAATACCAATCCTATGGCTTATTTTCTGAAGCTTTTTTTTCAAAACGGCTCATTTTTTGGAGCTTGTTCGCTCTAGTGATAAAAATTAATTTTCTTCGACATTTTTAACTCAAAACGGCTTTTTCTATAGAGCTTGTTCGCTCCAGTGATAAAAATCAACTCTCCATCGATTTTCTCTCAAATCGGCTCATTTTTCTGAAGCTTGCTCGCTCTATTGATAAAACCAATTTTTCCTCGAATTTTCACTCAAAACGGCTGATATTATGAAGCTTTTTCGCCCCAGTGATAAAAACCAATTTTCCATCGAATTTCTCTCGAGACCGCTCATTTTTCGAAGCTTATTCGCTCTAATGATAAAAAACAATTTTTCAACGATTTTTCTTTCAGAACGGCTCATTTTATGAAGCTTGTTCGCTCTAATGATAAAACTGATTTCCCTCGACAATTTTCACTCAAACCGGCTCATATTATGAAGCTTGTGCGCTCTATCGATAAATATAATCTTTTTTGAGTTTTTCTCAAAAAGGCTCTTCCTATGGAGCTTATTCGCTCTAATGATAAAATTCAATTTCCCATGGGTTTTCCATCAAAACGGCTCATTTTCTGAAGCTTGTTCGCCCTATTGATGAAACTTATCTTCTTTGACAATTTACACTAAAAACGGCTGACATTATGAAGCTTGTCCGCTCTATTGATAAAACTGATCTTTGTCGATTTTTTCACTCAAAACGGCTTATTTCATGGAGCTTTTCCGCCCTATCGATAAAAATCAATCTTCGCTCAAAAATCCTCCCGACATCCCTTAAATGGCCTGGTTAATTGCTGTTGACGTTTTGGGAGACAATTGCGCGGGTGGGATTTACTGGCAGGAGACGTCGATAAATTGCTTTCGGGTTCGGATTTCAGGAAACCGGCCACCTTGCCCCCAGTTTTGTCGTCTTAACCAGCACCTTTCTCCAGCAGAAGGCGCTTTTGAATTGGATTACGATGACTTTTGTCTCATAATTGGTTCTTTTTGATGTTTCAAAGGTACAAGGAATTGTGAGATTTCAAGTTATCGATTTTTTCGGCAGTTGGGATTTTTGAGTGAGATCTAGGCTATTAGAATCAATTTAATACGCAGATTCCAAGTTTAGGCTTAAAAATGGCCTTTTAAAAATAGTGGTCCCTAGAGGGTTAAAACTTAGGGCTTATGGCTCTGATCCTCAAGTGGTCCCTGCAGTGATCTTTTGATTTTTTTTTATGATTTGATAGTCAAAAAGACGTGTAGGAACCAAAAGCGTTCTCCTTCAGAGTGGTCACTTTAGGGCTCTGAGGTAAGGTGGCCCCTAGAGGGGAACCTTCAGGGCTTGGTTGCCCCTTAAAGGATCACTCAGACGTTCTAAAAACCTTAACATTTTTTAGAGCTCAAAAAAAGATCCGAAAATCCCTCAAGTTCTGCCGGAAAACCGAGATAAGAATCCGCGCGCCGGCGCTAATGGGCCCTCCGCCGACTTCTCAGATTACTGTAGCGTTGTCCCGACGGTTGTATGTTATTAGGGGATTACCGGCTGCACACAAAAACACAATGAGGCTGGCCTTTTGTCGACAAAGTGCATTCCTCACAAGGCGAAAAGGCAGGTTTTCGGATGGGTTTGATCGGGAATCTTTACTCAAAATGAACTTCAAACGATAACTCTCTGTTATACTTCATCCGTTAGAAGTTGAATGGTTCTGGCCGCATTGAGAATGGCTCAACGTGTTGCAGTTAAAAATTAAATGTGAAGACTAATTGATGCCCAAGGGCGCAAGGCGTTTCAAGTCGGGTGCAATTCGATAGAATTTTGCTTAGCTGTGCGAGGTGCGACCAGGGTTTTTTGAGAATGGCTCAACGCGTTGCGGTTCGAGTTGCAGTTTCAAGGCTATGCCGGAGCGCGCAAATCGTTTCGAGTCGGGTGCACCTTCTTATTATGCGCTCAACTAAACCACGCGCGTTACGTTTCAAGTTGGCGCTACCCTATTTAAAAAAGCGCAAGTCGTTTCAAGTCGGGTGCAATTTGATAGTATCATGATTAAATGTTCGAAGTGCGACCAGAGTTTTTGAGAATGGCTCAAAGCGTTGCGGTTCGAGTTGTAGTTTCAAGGCTAACCGATGCCGAAGCGCGCAAACCGTTTCTAGTCGGGTGCACTTTCTTGCTATGCGCTCAACTAATCTACGAGCACGTTACGTTTCAAGTTGACGTCCGCCGATGCAAAAGAGCGCAAGTCTTATTAAGTCGGGTGATAGTACTTTGATTAGATTTTCTAAGTGCGACTAGGGTTTTTTGAGAATGGCTCAACGCGTTGCGGTTCGAGTTGCAGTTTCAAGGCTATACTGAAGCGCGCAAATCGTTTCAAGTCGGGTGCACTTTCTTATTATGCGCTCAAATAATCTACGAGCGCGTTACGCTTCAAGTTGACGTCCGCCGATGCAAAAGAGCGCAAGTCGTATTAAGTCGGGTGATAGTATTTTGATTAGATTTTCTAAGTGTGACCAGGGTTTTTGAGAGCTGCTCAACGCGTTGCGGTTCGAGTTGTGGTTTCAAGGCTAACCGATGCCGAAGCGCGCAAATCGTTTTTTTTTGCAAAGCAAATTTCAGCCTCTCTGAGCTACAGAACCTTTTCGGGAACCTTCCATAAGAAAAGCGCGGCCTGTTCCTGTCGATGCGCCTTTAGTTATGCCAGAAATTCCGCTATATCAAAGGCGCTGACATACAAGTCGGCCACGCGCATCGAAAGGAAGATTTCTGGAAGGGTTCTGTAGCTCGAAGGAACCAAAAAATCGTGAAAAGCTGGAGCCGACTCATCAAAATCAATTGATAAGGAAAAAAAAAAATCGTTTCTAGTCCCGACCTCGCTATAAAAGGTAAAGTCAAACATTTAGAAATATTCCCACCACCGTAACCTTCCTTTCTCTATCACTAATCACTTAATCGGGCCTAATTAGTTCAACTGAAACGTGATGATGAACTAATTGCCCCGGCGGGTTTCTGAAATGTCACCGTAGAACTCTTGCGCGGAGCTGCACCGATTAAATGCTCGCCGAGCCCGAAATGAGCAACTTTCGAGCTTATAAGTGTGTATTGATACGGGAAGAATATTCTACAACATAATTTTTGAACTTATATGTAATATATATTTCCGTTTTTTTAAAAATTTCTGTGTTGGATAACTCGGAAGAAAAATCAAGAAAAAAATTTTTTTGAAGCGTAAATCGGCCAATTTCTTCTCCTGAACTGACTTTTTGATAATAAAAAAATCAAAAAAATTTTTTTTTCTCGGAAAAAGAAATGAAAAAAAGTCTCCCAATACATGCCCGGATGAGTCAAAAATCCAAAAAAGCCCTTTTTTCATAAAATTCAAGCGAATTCTCGAAAAAATGAGAACTAAAGACGAAACTTTGGTAGAAAAAATTCGAAAACCCTCCATAAAATTTAAAAAATCAATTGTGAAAAAAATCGAACGGCTGACCTAGAAATCCAACTTTACTCCTATTCAATTTCAAAAATTTTTCAACTCGAAATTCAATTTTATTCGATAAAATCCACTTCAAAACCATAAAAACTCAGAAACTACATGAAAATCAAATTTTTTTCCACATTTTCGCGACTATAAAACTTTTCTATATGCATATCCCTCCGAAAAAAACCAAATATAAAATGAAAAAAATTCTGGCCAAAACCCACAAAAATACTAGCAATTCTACCATGGGTTAATCGAAAAGCGTTCCATTATTTTCGTCTTTTTTTTCGCAGTATCATTAAAATTCGAATAGTTTGAAATGTTGGTAGAAAAAGCTTGAAAATATAATTTTTTTCATAAGGATTTTTTTTAAATGATGAAAAATTTCATTGAACTAATGAAAAAGTATGATGTCAAAAATCTCAAAAATTTGGTTTTTTCGAAAAAAAAATTTGAGCTTTTCTCAGATTTCCGGTTTATTATTAATGTTTTGTCCCCTTCTTAGGATCCCCTTGCCTTCCTCTATAGGGGTCACTAAAACTTGCGAAAGTGGCCACTTTAGTGGTCAAAGTAAGGAAAAGAGTATACTAGTGGTCCTATACGTCTTTTTAACTTTCAGACTCGAAAAAAAACAAAAGACCACTATAGGGACCACTCAAGCTTAAAGAGCTTAATGGTCAGACTCATAATCCCTATAGGGACTACTTAGACTTTAGGGAGCACCATTTTGTTCACCTAACTCCTCTCTAGAGGTCCCTCTGGCGTTTCTCAGTTGATTTCCCTCTCCGGAAAACTTTCAAAAATCCTCACCTGGACTCGAACTTCGGCCAGCTTGACCTTGTTGGCCAGAGCTTCTCTGGAATAGACATCAGGATAGTGACATTTCTCGAAGGCCGTCTCGAGCTCGTGAAGCTGGAAAGTGGTGAAAGTCGTCCGGTTTCGACGCTGTTTCTTGTCGTGCTCCTGCTGCAGCTGCGCGTCTTGACAGTAATCGGCATTCTGGACCGAAAAAAAAATTTTTAGGGTGGGAAATACGGCCTTTTTGCTCTTTTTTTTGATACAGAGAGAAGATTTATTGAAATAGAGTGTACTACTGGAAAGATCGTCGTTTGATATATGATTTGGCTACTTTTACTCTGCTTTTCTAGAAGAACTTTCAACATATATTCGAGCAAATTCTCGATTTCAGTTGCCTTTTTAGAGACAATTGAAGAAGTCCAACTTTTTTTAGGCACACTATGCGCAAAAAGGACTTTTTCTTAAAAAGAACCGCAGAAAAAAAGCTACCGTAATCCCAGTCTTTTTTGCGCTTTCGCTTCGAGACGCTTCAGAATGGAAACAGGTCTTGAAGCGAAATTAGCATCAAAAGTATACGGTTTTTTTCAAATTTTCTCAGTATGCATTTTCAAAAATAGTCCTTTCACTGTCTAAAATCCTGAGATTCTTCCTTTAAAGCCGCAAAAGCAGTTAAAAAGGTATTTCAAGCAAAACATATGTATAATGAAGCTTTATGTAAGATTCCGACGACTTTCTTGAAATTATAAAAAAACCTCTTTTTGAAACGACGTGAGGGGGGTGGTAAAAATTAATAGATTTTGTTAAATCCTAGGTAAGAAAAAGAGAATTTTTCGCATCTTTTATCGAAAAGATGCTGGAAAGAAAATCAAAAAAAGATCCAAAAAAAATCCTGTGAGGCAATAAAAAAGGGCCTTAAAACACCTTCTCCCATTATTTTTAGGGCTTAGCGGAACCTTTTCAGCTCCTTCTGAAGGTCTCGAAGGAACTTTCCCGTTATATCTATGATTATAGAATGTTAAAGACTTTTCACTGTCCGTATGCCTCCAAAAAGGCCCGATTCCGAACCTTTTCCTTGCTCCTTTTAGTCGGCTGAACATTTTTCGCCGTTTCCATGGGCAGTTCACACTCGTAGGCGCCATATTCGTGCTTGGGAAGATGGTCTCGGGCATTTTTCAGGTGTTGGAACTCGTACGGCGAGATGATCGGGAAGACCGCCACTGAAAATTGAAATGAATCATCGCTATACTTCTTTTTCTAGCCGCAGGTAGAATGACTCTAGTTGAAATTGAAAAAAAGTTGGTTCAAAACTTCTTCAACTTGTTTCTGACATTGAGTTCCTGGAAGGCGCAAGTCGCTTTGGGTCGGTTGCACTTTACGCTTTTAGCCATTCCATGTGCACCGTTTTTTAATTCACAGTGACTCATTATATTCAAAAAGAGGCCATATTTTCATTTTTGAAGAGTTTTAAAAGATATTTGACAAATATCGAGTTTTTCAAATCGAAAATTTTTTTATTCAAGGCCGATTTTCTTTATGAAACTGACGTCAGAAAAACGGTCTAAAGAAATCAGCAAAAAATGGCCATTTTATCCATGGAGCGTACATGCATCTTTCTCAGAAGCTTCAAAAACCTGACATTTTCCTAATACAATTACTGAAACGTTAAAAGAAGTGGGAAAGAGGGGGCGCTTAATTTATCAGTGGAGCGTAAACTACTCGAATTTGTTTGGCTCAAAATTCAAGTTTTCGAAATTTATTTCCAGCTTTATGATTCTGTTTTTTTCAGATGATGGCGCTTAGAAAAAAATGAAAAAAAGCTGGAAAAATTTTAATGAAAAAAAGGAAAAAGTAGTTTCAAACTTAGATATTTTCTTCTAAAAAAACTATTAAAAAAATATCAAAAATTGGAGAAAAAAATACGAATTTTTTTGGAAAGGGATAATTTTTTTCAAAAAAAATTTTCTGTACCGATTAAAGTTGAAAGAAGCTCTTTTTCAGTTTTTAAGAATTTTTCACGCCCTTCTTTGAAAAATTTCCTACCTTATTTGGTAAGACTTAAAATTGTCTGACCTGACTGCGTCTCCTTCTCCCTCAAACTCATAGAAAATGAGAATAGCACGCAAAAAAAGAGAGCGCAGAGAAGTCAGACAGTTCCAAGAGACTCAAGAATAACTATTCCACGTTGCAAAAGTGCACGGAAAGTGCATGCAAACTCGAAAAATCCCTGGTCTCGCCACGAAAAACCTACGGTTACTGTAGTCTGCCGGTTTTTTGCGAAACTGTGGAAGGTCGAAAAATTCGGCGATATTGGCCAATTCGGCGGCCCAGTTAGTCGTCATTTTTCTTTCTCGGTTGAATTTTGACTATAAAAGGAGGGGTGCAGTACAGTGCGCGGCGGCGGCGGCGGCGGTTCCCATCCCACCAAAATCCAATTTCAGACTTTTGATTGGATCGCTGGGAAAATTATTACTGAATTTCCACGGGGTTCTCCGTTTTCCGGATGACTATATACAGTATTGAGAATGTTTTACGGTTGAAAAGTTATAAAATGAAAAAAATGGCAGGACTAAATTCCAAAAAAGATCTTTTTGCGCCTAGTTGATAACATCTACTAATAGAAAAAAAAAGTCATTGATTGATTTATTGATTGATTGGAATTCCTTCATCAACTTCTATCAGTCTGACCTGTCTGCACCCTCTTTTCTCTCACCATAGAGATCACAGAAAGAGGAAAATGAGAGAAAAGAGAGCGCAGAGAAATCAGATCATTTTCTCAAACCTTTCAAAAAACGCCTCTTTGCCAGGGCTCAAAAAGCTTTTACTTTAAGAAAATATGACCAGAAGTCCTTATCCCTAAATTCTACTCTATTTTTAGCCGCTCAAATTTTAAAAAAAGTCTTGAAAAAATAGCGCCGTCTGAATTTTTTTTTCGAAAAAAGGTGCAGCAAACATGAACGCGAAAAAACAGCCGCCTAATTTGGATTTCAGGCTTTTTCAGGCTCAAAATAAATTTTCAGTTTTGTGAACTGAACAACGTTCAAATTTGTTAAGGAAAAGTAGCCGCTCTTTACAGAAAATTCGACGAAGAGAAATAACAGCCTTAGAAAATCATTCTGATGACTTCAAAGTGCGCTCCGACGAACTAACAGTTCTGTGCTCTTTTTTAATCGTCCTTCTTCGCCAAAAATCATATTAGAACCCCTCCCTATGCGAGTACGTCAAAATAATCAAGTTTCAAAAAAATTGAGTCTATCTTAAAAATTTACAAGTTCCTCAAGTTGAAGGAAGTTTTTTTAATGAGACAAAGTTCACTAGAAGCAACTTTGAACGCTGATTCCTAATATGGGCTTGGAAAATGCCGAGGAGGTCTGTCAAACTTTGGAAAAGTCGACTTTGAAAAATGCTCGTTTTTTGATAGTAAGTCTGATCAATTTGAAAAATTTTTTGGAAACAATTTTGAGCCAAAAATGGGATTTAAAGGTTCACTTTTCAAAGCTGATAGGGCAAAAATAGTCTGACGAACCTTCAAGGAGATTTCAGAGCGTATTTTAAAGATAAATGTGAAAAAAAGAGAATCCAGGGAACCTATTGGAATCCAATTTTTTCGGAACAATTTGAAGACAGGATTTGGATTTTCACAAGTTTTATCTAACATTGGAAGGCCAAAAACCTGAAAAGCCTTTTAGGAAGTTTGGAAGCCCATATTTTAAGAAAGTGAGTGAGAAACTGGATCCAGGGAACTTGTCTAATCCAAAAAAGGTCATTTTCCGGCCAGGAAGACTCGAAAAGCAGTGAGGCAACCGACGGCTCCCATCGCCAATAAATATATAACCGACCGGGGAAATTATCACAAATTACAGCATATGAACAAGGGAAAAAACGCGTGTCGCAAATCGAATCAGTGTAAATGGGAGCGTCGTTTATCGAATTTGAGCAATTTATTTTAATTTAAATTTGATTGGCTCACGGTTGTTGCTCGGCGCCATCATGTGGAGTGGGACGTCGTCCATTGGATTTCGAGACGATTTTTTTCCGAGGTTTTTCAAGTTGAAGAAGGAAAACGATTCAAAGTGGGGGGGCGGATGTGCGTCGGACCGAGAGAGGCTAGATGGGGGCGTGGCCAAGGTGGGAAGGGGCGGAGCTTCGGCGGCCATTCACGGAGCTCCGTGAGGATTTTGAGGGCTTGTCGGAAAGTTTGAGGATTATTTTTTGAAACTCCTCTATTTCGGAATAATTTTTGAAGACCGCTGAGAAATGATTTTTGAGATATTTTCAGCTTTTCTTGGCATTACCAAATATGTACTCGCAAAAAATCTGTACTTTTTGAGAAAACGCAAATTTCAACTTGACGCCAAGACAGAAAAGGAACCGTTTACACAAAGTTGCCTACCGTAATTTAATTTTCGAAAGATAACTTTTTTTTTCTTCTCATTCTAAATCTGACCTCAAGTTTAATTTAAGCTGGATAATTGAAAGAAAAACAATTTTCGCTCTCCAAAAATGTCTTCTTTTCGATAAAAAAACTAGTTATTTGGGGTCATAAAACTTTTCTGGTCGCTTTATTTTTAACTGAATTCAGCTTGATTGAGCTCAATTTCGACTCAGTGGTTTCTTTTAATATTTTCAAGTTTAAAAATAAACTCGACTAGAAAAAACCCGTTCCACTTTTCGAAAAATCACAGAATCAGTAGATGGACTTTTTGGAAGTCCTCAACCTCAATTTTCCAAAAAGCAATTCCACTCGTGAATAAAAAAATGCAGAATTTTTCAAAATTCGATTTTTTCGCTTCAGAATTTTATTCTGAAAGTATTGAGAGTCGGATATTTAGAAAGTAATTTTCGCGTCAAACTTTCCTGATAGAAAACCTACATTCCGACTGAAAAAAAACCTCTAACACGTCCAGACTTCTCAACGTCCAAAACAACGTTTTGCCTCTTTTTTTTCTAATTTAATTGACTCTAACAAAAGTTGCGGTGAACCCCGAAGTGTTCCCAGGGGTGCACGCCGGTTGGTTTAATAAATAAATAATACCTAAAAAGAAAAAAAGAGGATAAATATCGTCTGCTATGTATCTGGGGTTGTAGTGATTAGAGGATTTATCAAAATTGTTCAAAAGTTATCGACTTCTGTTTCTTGAGTACCTTAAATACCTAAAAAGGCACTAATTCCTTACACGATTTCGAATTGGTTTGTTTCCCAACACTACCATTTGCTACAGTTTCATCCTAGGCTGTTACGGTAGCCCAAAAAAAAAAATTTAGTTCCCGACCGGTTGCCCCAGGGGTGCGCGCCGTCCAACGCGGGTTGCACCACGAAAATCAAAGCTTACTTTTTTCGAAGTTCACTGCGGGGTACACCCTCATTTTTGTTCGAGTGAACTTTATCTTTTTTTTTTACCAACCCCAACTGATCGACTTGATAAGATGAAGAAAAGGTTTTGAACTCCATTTGAAACGTAAGTTAAGCATTTCTAACTGATAAGCTCAAGAAACAGAGAAAATTAATAAATTTTGAACAAATTTGATAAATCCTCTAATCTCTACAACTCCAGATACATCGCAGACGACAGTAAGAGAAACAGGAAGTGAAGTGATCCCTTGAGGGCCGTTAAAGGACGAAACATCAGACTTTGAGACTTTGAGTCGCACTCATCGCGTGATTAGCAAGTACGGTGACTAATTGGAGCACCTGGGGGAATACCTGAGTTGGAGAAACTTATTGGGAAGGCGAAATGCACGTTATTTGTTTTTTAAGGGCACGTATTCACTTACACGGAAAAAAGGCTCAGGAACTTTTTTTTAAATAATTTTTTTCTCGAAAATCAATGAAATTTATAAAATTTAAATTTTCCCTCCTTGCTTGAATCATTTTAGAAAAAGCACAAAGCTTTCCTGTAAATTTTTTGAAACAGTGAGGTGAAGTAATTCCACCTTTTTTTGATGGAATTAAAAAAATTGATTCATTCCTGATAACTTCTCTTTCGGATAGTTTGATCAGAGTTAATTATAAGGCCAATATTAGATCAAGAGGGGGTTTTTCTTTTATATTATAAACATCCATACGAAAACGGCTCAAAATTAGTTCAAAAAATAAATGAAAAACAAAAAAAGACTGCCATTTTTGCGCGGCTCAAAGTTTCAATAACAGGAGAATATTTATGTCTCAAACAATGGCCATTTTCCACGGCTAGATGTTCCTCTTGTTTTAAAGGTTCAAAACTTTCTTTCAAAGTTCAGCTGTGCTTTTTTTCTGCGGCTCAAAAAATCCAATCAAAAACGCAGCTGATAGCCCATTTCTCAAAACGCTATTCCGCGCGGCTAATATTTTAAAGTTAAACGAACCCTAACGAAATTTGCAGCTTCATCCGAATTTTTTTACTTCAAAAAAATGACCGTGCTATTTTTTTCGCGGCTAAAAAAATTTATATTAAAATTAAACCTGCCGTGATTTTTTTGAAGCTTCATACGAAATTCTGTTTGAAAACTTATCATGCTATTTTTCGCGGCTCAGAAATCTTCCAGTTCTGAATTCCAGAAAAATCGCGATCAAAGCTAATTTTTTGAATAGCTATTTTCGCGCGGCTAGAAACTATAATTCAAAGAAAATCCACAACAAAATTAATCAATTTTGCACGAAATTGAGCCTTGAATTTCACCCCACTGCTCTTTTTTTCGCTGCTCAAAAATCCGATAAAATCGCAGCTCGAATCCCGTTTCTCAAGTTGCTATTTTTGCGCGGCTAAAATTCATTTCAAAAAGAATACACAACGAAATTAAGCCTTAAAGTTTATCATGCTATTTTCCGCGGCTCAAAAGATCCTCCCGTTACAAAATCCAATGAAAATCGCAGCTGACGGTCAATTTCTCACCGTGCTATTTTTGCGGGGCTTGAAATTTTTTCGAAATTGAAGCTCTAAATATTTTTTTTTTTCTGTTTTTTTTTCGTATGGATGTTTTGTCGCTAAACCCACCTTGCTATTTCCTCGCGGCTGGAACTGAAAAAGTGGGCGGAGCGGGGATTTAATGGACCCATCCATGTCGTTTGATGTGCTGTCGTAATTGGATTCGACACTTGGTCCCGACATTCTTGACGCCATTTGGCGGTTACGGTAGCCGAATTTTGACACGAAAATTGTCGTGTTCCTTCAAAGACGTGTCCAGCTTTTGGGAAGGGACTGGAAAATTGAAATTAGAGCAAATTTGGTCAAGAAAAAAGAGCCGTTCACTTTGAATTTAAAAATTTTGTGTTTTTTTCTAAAAATTGAGAAACTTAAAAAAATCAATAAAATCGATTTTTTTAAAGGTTTGTATACTTTTTAAACCAAAAGTTTCAATGGAGCAACTTTAATCGAGATCGAGAAAAAAAGCCATCTATCCATTTTCTTGAAAAAAGGGCATATTTTTAAAAATCCAGATCGATTTTCAATGGAGCAATAACGAAGAGGAAAAAATAGCCTCTGGACTCAAACTTTTTTTTGGACCTGAAAATCGATTTTTTTAAACCTGTATTGTTTTTAAACCATAAATTTCAATGGAGCAACATTACTCTCAAAAAAAAAAGCCATTTATCCATTTTCTTGAAAAAAGGGCATATTTTTAAAAATCTAGATCGATTCTCAATGGAGCAACTATGAGAAAGAAAAAATAGCCGCTGAAATTTTTTTGGACCTGAAAAATCTGATTTAAACAAATATTCCACACAGAAGGAATTTACAGAAAAATCCAGACAATTCCAGAAAATAGACTTTATTTTATACAAAAACGAAACAATTTCACAGGTAGAAGAAGTAGTTAAGAATTTCATGGAAAATGAATTTCGGAGCGAAACGAACCATTTCGGAATCGATCTTCTGAAGCGGACATGCGGGGGGACAACACAGGGACATGCAAGCGGGACTAAAATGAACTAAAAAGCGTGAAGATCGATGGAAAAATGGTTCAGGAAGGCTCAAAATTGACACAACTGGAAAAAGAACCAAAAGAAGTTAACCGTGGGGATTTGAAAAAAAAGATTTCAGTTCAAAATCGAGTTGATCAGCGCCGTTTGACGTTGGAGACGCGCTTGCTGGTTTTGGACCGATCGATGGGACTTTGCAGGAATCCCGCGGGATACAAAACCCGGTAGGTAAGGTACCAGCAGGCCACCGCCGTCAAGGCTCCTCCGAACTGCAAGAAAATCAAATATTACAGCCAATTTTTTGATGAATTTCGGCGGGAATTAAGATTTTGAATTGGAAATTTTTCATTCAACTGAAATAAAATACCTTAAAACACCAAAAAAAGTTTTTCTCTTTGGAATAAAGCATGTACGTGGTTAAAAATCCTTCAAACTGCAAAAAATCGAATTTTACAGCCAATTTTTGATTAATTTTGGCGGGAATTTCGATTTTAAAGTGGAAAAAATTGATTTATTTCTTATTCAACTGAAATAGAATACCATAGAACATCGGAAAAAAGTTTTCTCCTTTAAATAAAGAATATAAATGGTTAAAAAAACCCTTCAAAATGCAAAAAAATTGACTTTTATAGCCAATTCTTGATGAATTTCGGCGGGAATCGGCCAAAAAAATTAATTTTTTTCTACATTCGATTGGAAATAAGATACCATTAAAAAAATTTTTAAAATTGCCTGAAAACTATCAGAATAAGTCTTTCTTATAATTATCAAAAATTAAAAAGATCTAAAAAAATTTCAAAACTGAAAAAAATCAACATTTGAAGCTGATCTTTAATGACTTTTTGGCGTTGAAAAATAAATTTTTTTCCATGTTCAAAAATTGACTTTCAAAAATTTTTCAGTGTAATATAACTTGTTCGATTAAAAAAATAAAAACATCATGAAAAAAATTAAAAAAATGGCCTAAAAAAATATTAGGAACAAACTTCAAAAAGAATATAACAATTATTCCACCCAAGAAGTTCTCATTTTTTTGAAAAAAATTGAATAAAAAAATTTTTTTGGTTTTGTTTCGAAACTATCCAAAAAAACCTTAAAAAGGGAATAAAATCGAAATTCCTACCAAAAATTAAAGTTATTTTGGCAGAAAAAAAGAGGTTGACTTAATTTTTTTAAAAGCTTCAATTTTTTTCAAAGGTATTTATTTTTCGAAGGAATCATCAAATTCTCGCAGTTTTTTTGATATTAAAACTATCAAAAATGAAGCTATATTATTTTTTTCAGCTTTTTTTAACGAAGTAATCGCCAATATAATTTTCGGAAAAGCTTCATTTTTTTCGATTACAAAATTTGATAAAAACTTATAGAATCCAGAAAACCTCTTTGAAATTTTATACAAGCAACTAATAGCACATAAACTAATAAAAAAAGGTTTTTTTTTTAAAATCGGGAGCCTTGAAAAATTTTTTTTTGTTTCTTTTTTTTTCCAGTTAAAAACCAACGAACCTCTTCAACCCAGGTGTGGTAGTAGATGACCGAGATCATGAGCTGTTTGAACTGCAAAAAAAAATCGATAAATCAGTGAAAATCGATCATAAACGAACCCAAAGGACGTGCAAGACGCCCATGGCGACGAAGAAAAAGTTGATGATTCGGGTGATTTTTCGGTGGTCCTCCCAATCTTCGTTGGTCGGCAAAACTTCGTCCGTCACTTTTTGGTAGTTTCGGAATGCGGAAGCCTAGGAAAAAGGAATGAATATATAAAAATACATCCTAAAAGTATAAAAACCGGAAAAAAGTTACTTTTAAAACAGGTAAATCTGCAAAATTCTAGGAAAAGCTGGTTTTTTTTTCAAATTTTTGCATCTTGGGTTTCTTTCCTTCCTTATCTACTTCGAATCTTAAAAATCTTTTTTTCCATCTTTTATTCTTAATATTTTTTAGGCCCTAGGGACGAAATTTATGAAAGCTACACAAGAATAGAAACCGATTTTTCTGAAATCTTTCGGGACTTTTGCCAAAAATTGTTGTGAAATTTTTAAATCTGAATAAGAAAAATGACCCTTTTAAAATATACAAGGCATTTTTTTCTCGTTCTTATATCAAATTTTTCTTCCAAAAAAAAAAAAGATTTTTCAATAATTTACTGTAGATAGTACCTAGGAAGCCCTCTGAAAAAAATATAATTCAAAAAAATAATAGCTTAAAAAAATTTAATATTCTCAAAAAAATATTGAAGATGCAGGAAACCCTTTCAAAAAAATCTAGAAAAAAATGAGCTACTCCCGGAGGAAATTCGAAAAAAAACTTTTTTTTTTCTTTTCTTTTAAATTTAATACTTCCACTGGAAAATTTTTCAATACAAACGTGAATAAACTTAATTATTTTCCAAAAAAAAACCTCTTCAGTGAGGACAAGGATGCTGTAGAGCATGAGGAAACAGTGCCCGGAAAAGTCCCAGCCGTGGATCCAGTCTCCGCCCTCGACTTCGCATTTTTGGAGCGAAAAACTGAGTCCCGAAGTGCAGTGCGACGTCAACTCGTGTATGTAGCGGAACCTTGAAAAATATGAGTTTCTTTTTTGAAGGCAGAAAATTATGAAGGGAGAAAGGTAAAACTAAATTAACCTTATAATTAATGAAAAAGCGAAAAAAATTGGTAATTTTTTCAAAGCGATAAACTAATTATACAAACTCTGAAAAACTTTACTAAAAAGTTTAAAGGAGCATGGAGTGACTTCAAAAAATATTTTCAAGACGAAGAGCCGATTTTTGTGTTTTTTTGGGTCGTGGAAGATTTCTTCGCCTACAGAAGCACTAAAAAAAATAAAAAATAGTAGACAATAATCCAAAAAAAAAAACCTTATAAAACCAGATATCGAGAAATTTTTTTCAAAGACGCAGGTTGGCTTGAAAAACACTAGTTTTTGGTGCGGAAATTTAAGCATCTTAATTTTTTTTTGAAGTTCTATATGAAATTAATACCCTAAAAGCTTATTACTGGAAAAATTTGGTGAAGAAAAAAATTTTTTTTTAAGCTGAATTAATCGTAAACTTATAGGAAAATATGCTTTAAAAAAATTGGAAATTTTATTTTTGTTTAGAAATATGACCCTTTTTCAAGTTTCAGAAATATCAACACTTGAAAATGCTGTTTATGAACGGGAACTTGAATAAAGAAGCTGAAAAAAATAGTCAAATTTTCCAATTTCTGAAATTTTCTTCATTTGCGCCTTAAAAGTATTCAAAACTATCAAAACTCACAAATTCGTGGCTCCATACCAACAAGCTGTGGCTACACCCAACCGAGCGATATCGATTAAAGGCTGATCCCGACTATCTTTCTTGTTGTGGGCTTTCGAAGAAAACCTGAAAAAAAAATCATTAATAATCCTCATTTTCCATGTAATTTGTGTAAAAAACCAACCAAATAAAGGGTCCAACGATCGCCAACGTCCAGAACCATCCAATCTTCACTCCATATTGATTTACAAAATTATTCTTCTGAAAAAAATAACTTTAAAAAACATAATCAAAGGAGGGAAAACCTGAACCAAGAAAAAGGTTCCGTCAAACTCATAAAGGCTTTCTAAGAACGCCAAAGCTGACAGGAAAACTAGGTAGAAAATTGCGATATTTTTCGCGTCGTTGAATAATATCTTCTTCGAAAACTGGAAAAATTGTTTAGATTTTAGAGAAATGAGAGAAAAACCAACATTCACAAGGAGACCGGTGAAAAAATTCGGCTGATTTTCAGACACGATTCGCCGTGTTTCATCGGTGCTTGAAGGGAACGTTTTTACAGGAGGAATCCGTAGATTCCCGTTCATCTGGAAAAAAAAAGTTGAATTAAAAATAAATTCACAGCGAACTAATGAGACGAAAATAATTGATCCTATTGATATAAATGTTCTAGAAAGGTTCACGAGTGATTGGTAAAAGCATTAACACAAGCGGGAGAGTGACATCACGTCTGTTGCGAAATAAACAACAAAATTTCTCGGCGGAAAACAAAGGGGCGTGGCATGTGTTCAGCGATCATGCAAAGGTGCGGCGCACTTTTTTGCAAGGTCGGAATGAAATTTGTTATTGCTGATTTCTAATAGTTTCAGAAAGTACTTGAGAGCTGATGAAAGAAAGGAAATTAGAAAAAGAGAGAAAATAATTGTTAAACTAACTTAAAAATAATATTTTCCTTTTTCTCTAGAGTCGAAACGGACCTTCATAATGTTTTTTTCAATTGAGAACCACTACAGAGGGACGTTTTCTTTGACTTCTTTTCACAGTTGAAGTGTGAAATATAAGCTATATTGAAGATAGAAATATAGAAAAGAAGTTGGGAAGCAGTATAAGCCGTGAAAGAAACGAGAAAAAGTGGACGAATTAGTTTCAGCTCTAATTTGACGTTGCCTTCCCAAGTTTCTTATCAATCAGAGAACATTCTAGCCCGTCGAAAAGTTCAAACGAACCTTTTCGGAAATCACGACGATTTGTATTGTCATAACACGCCTCAAATCGCGCAAATGTTCGTATCGATAGCGGGAAACTGATAAAAACACGAAATGATCAGTCATTTCTAGACGCTTCGTCCAATTACTAACGTCTGTGGATATTTCTAATCTTTTTAACGCAAAATTACCCTTTTCCTATCGTTTTTGCTCATTAAATTCTAGATCTTTGATATAAAATAATTGAAACTATTTTTCAGCCGAAAATGCAGCAAAAACTGAAGTTGCTCGAATCGAATGAGGACTTGGAAAAGGCTCAAAAATTGATGGAAAAAAATCCTGAAAACATTCAATTCTACAATTCTTTGAAAATCGAACTGGAAAAGTCGTTTCCCTACACAAAGTTCAAAGTTTATTCTCATACTGCTGCAAACAACGCTGTTTATTTTTATGGCCTCAAAGTCAACAAAATCACCAGGTCAGTTTTTGATTTGTTTATTTTTCAAATAAAGTTCGAATATTCAGAAATTATATACTGACGACAAATGTAGGAAACTTTGTCGAAGAAGATTTCGTGAATGGCTTCCGAGAATTCGTCGCCGTCGAGAAACTATTTCAAAAGGAGGCTCTTCTGCTCATTGCTGACATTAAATTTTCTAATGCGGTAAATTTTTTTTTGATTCGAAGAGAAAAGGAAAAAAAAAATGTGAATTTCCTATCACACACGCTTGAAACGCGCGAGGCTTTCTCTCCCCAGTGCCGTCTTCCTTCTCTTGCATACGACCACATCACGTTGAAAACACGCCATCCCGTCCGATCTGGCAAGTTAAGCAACGTTGAGAGCCGGTAGTACTTGGATCGGAGACGGCTTGGGAATTCGGCTTGCCGTATGCTTTTTTTCAATTTTAAAACTCAATAACCAAAAAAAACTCAGGATTTTTTGAGTTTCCAAAATTTTCCAGGCCAAGAAATACGTGACCGAGGTTTTTCCATGCTACGAAGCGAAATCCTACCCTTGCACGATGTATTATATGGATGAAGAGCAGACGAAAAAGGTCCTCGAAATGAAGATTCCGGATCCTCCAGAGGGCTATTATTTTGGTTTTTTTTATATCTTCAAAGAGTGCGAGAAAGCAATTTTAAGACGACGTGGATCCTGAGAAAGACGCGCAGATTATCACAGAAACATGGCGACATTCCACAAAGGATGAGATTCATCAAACCAAGTAAGGCCTTGGGAAAAACTACTAAAAAAATTGACCAAGTTGGGAGAAAATCGATAATTAAAACTTAAAAATAAAATTTAGCCATATTCACTGTTTCAATTACTATGCAATATAAGAAATAAGAAATTAGCCGTGGAGCGCATAAGGCGAGCTCTGAACGGCTCTTTTTTTCATTTTTTTGATTTTTTTAAACAGAAAGTAGAAAAATCAGTTCGATATTTGATTTGAAACAGCTTTTCTATTATTTTTTTGAACTTCATAAGGTTCTTATTCAAAAATTTTTTTGACAGAAAAATGAGTATTTTTTAAAAATGTCTATCGAGAAAGAGACGAAAAATCTTGATTTCTAAACCTTTTTTAAAGCTCCCAAGTATATTTTTTTTGGAAAAAATCTAGGAAAATCCACTTATTTTCAGAGAAAAACTCCGCCGGTTTCCTTCTGGAATGATTCGACACGAAAAAGACGGCGCTGTGGCTTTTGAGATGCTCGATCACTGGGGCATGCTTAATCATCAATTTGTGCTTCCTGATCATCGCCGTCGTGGCCTTGGAAATCTCATCGAGCTCACGATTTGTCAGAAATGCTTAAAGTGAGTGGTTTTCCGAGGTCATTCTACTTTGCGGTTTAGAATTTTTCGAAAATTGGCTAGAACACTCCTTGATGACCCAGAGACAGATCCTGAAAGTCTCAAACTGCAAAAAATCCTAGTTTTCGAGAAATGAAGGTCTTAATGCCTCAAAAATGCCTAATTTGGTACATCGAGGAGCGCCCAATTTTCAGGGAATAGTTCAAAGTAAAAGGACCTTACTTGGGAAAAAATAAAGGCTTATTTAGATATTTTTTCTATGAACCTTAAGAAAAAGATAAAAATTTGGTTTCAATTTTTGATCAACAATATTTATATCTTGCTTCTTGGAAAGAGGGAAAATACAGGGATCTTATTGGATATTTCTGATGACTTGATATAAAAATTAAAGTAGAGAAGACCTTTAGAAGGACCTTCAGAAGGCCCCAGAAAGCTTTTTGAACAGACTTTTCTACCTTTTTAGCCTAAAAAATGACCCAATTTGAATTGACCTGCAGATGAGCTGAAAATGGCAATTTTTGAAATTTATGCCTCAATTAAATTTTTTTTGTTCCTAATTTTGTAGCTTATTGAAAAAGAGAGATAAATTTTGTGAAAAATATCGGAAAATGTGCGCAAAAATGACAATAATTGAAATTATTGTATTTCGGAACGCATTGAAATGGAAGAAACGCTTCAAACTTCAAAACTAAATTCATCTGAAATTGTAATATAACAAAAAAAAGATGGGAGCGTCATAATACCCAAAACGGATAAAGTGCCCAAAAATAACGCTCCCCCTCTTTGACGCCTCTCTGCTCGCCTCTGCCTTCTTTCTCTCGTCCTTGCGTCAAACCGCATCGGGTCGGGACACCCTGAGACTCAAGCACCCCTCCCAACCTTCGTTCAGTATCGCTTCTCGGCTTTTTGGCTAAGATCAGTTTGTAGTTACCGTTCTTATCGTATTAACCTACGATATGAGCTCATCGAGCTCTGTATAGGTTATTCCATTTTTGGAGCCGAAGACGGGTCCGGAGCTTGCTCCGACCGTCTGAGGGTCGTTCCGGCGTTTCACTGCTGTCGGACTCGGCCCAGACCTCGAGCGGGTCAAAAAGAAATTTCAAGTCGAGAATTACCAAGTTCCTATACGTTTCATTCGAGCTAGTTCAATTCAGATTTTCTTTTTCGTACGTTATAGAGCTAGGATCTTTCATTCTTAACGTGACTTATTATCTCATTTCTACTACCCGAGTAGTCGGTCTTCATTTCCGCTCTCGTCCGAGATTCAATCCGGCGCCCGTCAGCCCTGGACAAGCTGGGCGCCGTACTGTTTCTACATGGAGAAGCAGTGATCGCCGGAGCGCTCGAAAGTCGTCTACTACTATCAAAAGAGAGGCGAGATGTTCTACGCGCCGCCTACGCTTGATACACGACATTATCGCGAACCGACAAAAAACTCTTCAATTATTCCATGATTCAGCACAGAACCTACTCTGAAGCCTGAATAAAAGTTTCAAAGTGACTGAAAATGAAATGTGTCAAATAAGAATGATAAAGCTTGAATTCAAAGGATATCTTTTTATATATTTTCAGACAAGGAATAAAAGTGCACAAAACGGTGGAAGAATACAACGTCGAGGTGCTGAAAAGGAGCGACAAATCGCCGATTTGGACAGTTTTGACCTCGGAAGGCAAACCGATCATTTGGGACTATTTGGTTTTCCAAGTGAAGACTGATTGAAATTTTGGTTATTTATCCGTTTATCATGTCATATTCTGGTAATGAAGTTCTTCAAGTATTCGTCTGTGCATTTTGAGAGCTGAAAATAAAGTGAAACTACGTGGAATGGCTCGGAGCGCTGCGGTCAAAACATAATTCAACGGAATTCAACCTTTTTTTCATGAAAACGGATTCCTTCAACAAGAAAATGTTCATTTCAAAGACGGAAAAAAAGGGGACAATGCTGTAAAGCTTCGAAAAGGCTCCGCAGAATTGGTATCAATCGGCAAAATATAACAGGTTTTTCGGTAAAGCAAGTTTACGGTAGGGGCTACTGTAACGAAAATCGAAAAAAGGGCTGATATGTGTGTGTGTGAAAGACTCGGTCTATATACAGAAACAGCAATAATTAATTAATTATAATTATATTATCGTAGAAAAAATTACTCAAAACATGGCTTGTTTGTTGACGACGAGGACGGTGGGTTGGTGAGAACGGGGCGGGGCTTTCGTGTCGACGTGGTCCTGAGTGTTGCTCATGTTAGGATTGGCGTGGGAATTTCACGTTTTTTTAATACTTTTTTTCAATTTTTTTCGTTTTTTTTAAGAAAAAAAGCTCTCAGTGTGGAGAAAAATTCTAAATTTTGAGAAAAAATTTTTTTTTAAGTGACCCTCAAAAATTAAGGGGTTTCCTTAAAAATATGCTTCTTCGAACAATTTAAAAAAACTGTGAGGCTACTTTTCTACCTTGAAATTGATCTATGAAAAAACATTTTCTCACATAAAAAAATAAAATCAGATAAAAAATCAATGAGGATTTTTTTTCAAGTGAAAAATGTCCACTAACTTCTGAATTTTTTCTCAAATTGGTCTCAAAAAATTTGAAAAAAGCTATAATTGTTCGTTTTTCTCATTAATACTTGAAAATATCCATTTTCAAAATCTCAAAAATCAAATGGAGCTCACCTTGAAGTGAACGGCGACATGGGCTTGCCACAGATTGAAACTGATAAAACTGAACAAAAATACAAAGATTCCAGTGCACTGTATGTAGTACGACGGCGTCTTGTCCGTGTGAAGGGCTGAAATTTAATTTTTTTTTCTGAAGAAGAATAGTTATCCAATCATTTTTCTTATTCAGAGCGTCAAGAAGACAAAAATTCATAGTAAAGCTTGAGAAAAATGAAAGATTCATCCTGAGTTTATAAAAATTTGTAAAAATCGACCATTTGACTCTCTATTAAAAAGATTGCAAGTTGAAAACGATCATGACAGAAAAACTCACTGTCAAACGCCCAATTAAGCACCATAATAATGTAGAAGGGCTTGAAAATAAAGTAGAATGAGAAGATGATCAAGGCGTAAGAGGCCAGGATCATGTGGAACATCTGAAAAGAAGGTTTGTGAAAAATTAATTTTTTTTTTAGAGATCTATATGTTAACGCTTTGATATGGTACGTTTTATTTGACTTATTTCTTATTTTCCGTCACGTTTACAATGAAAGATCCTAGCTCTATAACGTACGAAAAAGAAAATCTGAACTCAACTAGCCTGAATGAAACGTATACGAACTTGGTATTTCTCGACTTGAAATTTCTTTTTGACCCTCTCGAGGTCTGGGCCGAGTCCGACAGCAGTGAAACGCCGGAACGACCCTCAGACGGTCGGAGCAAGCTCCGGACCCGTCTTCGGCTCCAAAAATGGAATAACCTATACAGAGCTCGATGAGCTCATATCGTAGGTTAATACGATAAGAACGGTAACTACAAACTGATCTTAGCCAATAGGCCGAGAAGCGATACTGGAAAGAGGTTGGGAGGGGTACTTGTGTCTCAGGGTGTCCCGACTCGGGGCGGTTTGACGCAAGGTCTAGAGAAAGGAGGCAGAGGCGAGTAGGGAGGCGTCAATGACGCAGCGCGTTTATTTTGGGCATTTCTTTCGCTTTGCCCGTTTTAAGTAAGATGGCGCTCTTAAAAATTTTTTTTTTGATTTTCTAGTTTCAGATGAACTGAGTTTGAAGCGTCTTTCTCATTTCAACGCGCTTCGAAATGAAAAAAATTGTATAGTAATTCTGGAAATTTCACCGCTTTGCTTCATATTTATTATTCTCCAGAATCGAATTAGAAGTAAGATATAATTATTTTTGTTAAAAATTGAATTGAATGAAAAAAATTCCAAAAATTGCCATTTTTTTAAGTCATTTTCAATTCATTAACAGATCATTTTCAGGCCATTTGCAGGTCAATTCAAATTGGATCATTTTCAAGCTAAAAAGGTAGAAAAGTCTGTTCAAAAAGCTTTCTGGGGCCTTCTGAAGGTCCTTCTAAAGGTCTTCTCTACTTTAATTTTATATCAAACCACCAGAAATATATACAAAGACCCCTGTATTTTCCCTCTTTCGAAGAAGCAAGAAAAATTAGCATAGTCTCTCAAGGAGAGTACGTCAAGAAGGCGCCGAAACAAAAAAAGAAAACAGGCTTTTGTGGCGGCCAAGAAGCTTCAATTCGTTTCAAATTGGCTAGCCCAAGACGACGTAATTGCCGTTTTTGGTTGTTATTTCTCGATTCGATTCGATCGCCGGTGGTTGGAATGTTGGGATTGGAACGTCGGGATTGACTTTATGTTGCTAATTTAAAAAAAAAACTGATTTAATGGAAAACTTAAGCAAAAAAGAGCCTTGAAGCCTATATACTCTTTCTCAAAAATTAAAAAGCGCATTTTTAAAAGTTTTATCTTCTTTTTCAGATCTGTAGTAATTGAATTTTTACAAATTCTAGCTTCCTCTGATTGTTAAAAATATAGAGAAAAAAATAGACATATTTTAAATATTTTCATTCGCTAAACTCGAACTGTCTGTCTTGTCTGCGCTCTCTTTTCTCTCTCCAACGCTGTTATTTTTAGTTTTTTTCTATTTTTTTACGAATTTTTTTGGTGAGGGAAGAGAGCGCAGACAAGTTAGACTGTTTCAATCATACCTTTGAATTTTTCTGGATTTGCGATTTTTTTATCAAAAGATTTTAAAAAAATTTGAACTCTTCTTCAAAAATCGAAGCTCATCTGTAACTACATAAGTTTTCAGTTTAAGTTTTTCTATTTATTCATTTTTTGAAAAGAAAATTCGTTAATATTTAAAATGTACGAGCTCAATCAATTTGTCTTCAGTACACATCCCACTGGAGATTTCAAAGAAAAAAAAAATTATGAGAAGATGAAAAAGGACATCCCCGAGAAAAAAAAAACCATTCAGGAAAAAAAAAATTGTATATTTGACGCAATAGGCGAGACAGTGTGCATACACTCGGAGAGCTCGCACGCAATTTTGCAGACTTTTTAAAGTACAGTAATTCATAAATTCCAATATTTTTGTCTTTTTTCTCTCGATTTCAGTTCAAAAAAAATTATTTTTTGTGAAAATGAGTTCAATCCAGTTGCTTCACATGAATAAAAAAATAATTTCTAGAAGAAGCTCACCGAAATGGCGATGATGGGCCAGACGAGCTTCTCCCTTTTGCTGATGATGGCGGCGACGGTGAGGGCGCTGATCGACGTCGGCAGCAGAAGGACGAACATGGCCTTTCGGAACTTGAAGTAGAGCAGGACGACGAGTCCCAGGATCACTAGGATTCCTACTCCCGCCAACAGTTTCATTGCCGTCTGCAAAGCGAGACTGTTCTTTTTTTTTCTCGAAATTCCTTGCTGCGGTTATAAGAAGGGCTTCAATTACTGGGAAAGTTTGTAGTTGCCACTATAGAGGCTCGCCAAGGACTAATTGGAGAGCACACTGAAGTGGCCACTTAACCCATCTCTATAGTAACCACCATTTTCCGTTTTAGTGGCCACTATAGAGGTTATCTATTAAGTGGCCACTTCAGTAGTTTTACATCCAGTATTACTTCCAGTAACTCTGATAATTAAAAAAAAAGAGATTGGACCAGTTGTGTTGGTCCATTGAGCCCTAAAGTGGCCACTCAAACTTTCAGTAGTCTAGTAGTAGCACTTAGACCTCTACAGTGACCACTAATTTTCAACCCCTTAAGTGGCCACTAATTTGACTACTATAGTGGCCACTAAAACGTCAAAACTCTATAATGGCCCCTAAAATTTTTCCCAGTAATTAGAATTATCAAGGCAAAGAGCCTTTTTCAGTGTCCCTTTTGGGTCTACAAGGGTTTTGAGCCATTTTTGTCTAAAATTTTCGCTAAGGTTCTTAAAAAAGCTTGGATTTTATTTGAAGAAGGCATCAGCGTGTTTCAAGAGGAAAATCTTTAATAACAGGCCCTTCCTGGAAACATTTTTAGTGGCCACTTTAGAGTTTTGACGTTTTAGTGGTCACTATAGTGGTCAATTTAATAGCCTCGTTGCCTCGTTAGAAATCTATGTGGTACTATTAGACTACTCTAGTGGTCACTAAGTTGTACAATAGTGGTTTCTATAGAGGTGGTTCTAGCGGCCACTTTAGTGTCCTCTCTTCCGGAAGCCCTTGAGTGGCCACTAGAGTTTTCCCAGTTTCTCCAGCTTTCTATATGTAACCAGGAGCAAGACGGACACAAAATCTTTCAAAAAAATATTTTCTTTTTCCAAAATCCTAAGAAAAACTATCGTTTTATATCTTTTTCATAAAATTGATTTATTCATGATTATCCAGTCAAAAAAATCGTGGTCAATAAAAATCATATTAATCAATGGGTCTATGGCAAAATCACCTCAATGTGAAGGGAGCCGAAAAGGAATCGCCGCGGTTTCTCCTTCTGCGGAGAAGAGCCCGACTCGTGCATTTGGTGGACGGCGGCGGCCATTTACCCAAAGTTCCTAAAAAAAATAAAGATTTTCAGAATTCATACAAGATCTTAAGCACAAAATTGTCAAAGATGGAGGAGATAAGGAAAACAAGATCCAGGAAGGGTCTAAAAAGCTTTAAAATCAAGGTTGAAGGTTGAAGTTTCTCTTTTTTGACCCTTTCGAGCATGGTAAACTTTTTCGCTTTAGCTGAGAAATATTTTTTTCTTTTGAAAACGACCTTAAAACAAAAAAATCCATAGAAAAAAATTTCAGATTTCTTTCTAAAAAAATTTTTTTCAAGCCCGTAATGATTTGTGAGCTAAGGATGGGGGGAGGGGGGTTTATAATTTCAAAGTTCAGATTCCTTTATTTCATTGGAAAAAAATATTCAAATTCGGGATTATTTTGGATAAATATCGAATTAAAAATTCAACACGACCTTAAAAAAAGAGAAAAAAAGGCTCTTCGATAGGATCAATCCAGCCGACTTCAGATTCATATCGACGGCTTTAGCCAGTTCACCGATTAACCTATTTCATATACCCTCATGAAAAGAAACTAGCAAAAATGACAAGTAAATACTTGGCATTAGCGATATACGTTGCAAGATGTATATCAATTTGATCCGAAGCTTAAATTTTAATCAATCTTTTGAGTGTCCTGGAAACATTTTTTTCGGGGGTTTTTTCGGCTTTCGGTGTTTTTTTATTTATTAAAAACAGCGTATTGCTTCAAGTTTCACAAAACATAAAATATGACATTATTGCTCATATTATAGTGACTCAACGCTCCTAACACAAGGAATGCTTTGAAATTAGGAAAAATGTCGCCAAACTTCGCAAGGTTCCAAAAACATTTTTTGATCATAGAAAAAGTTACAAATTATTTAAAAGGTCATTTCGAAGGTGTTCTTTAGAATGTGAACGTTTCAAAAGCTTCGGGGAAGGAAAAGAGATGAAAATACTCATCAAAAAGGCTCATATCTGATCAAAATTTGATGAATTAAGATCTCAACTTGGGCAAAGTCGGTCGCTAGAAGGGAGAGGCTCAAAAAAGGCAGCAAAAAGGGAGCAAAAAGGGTCCCTCTACCGAGCCTTCCATCTTTTCTCGGATTTTAAAGGCTCGATAAATGGTGGAAAAAGGGAGAGGCAGCAAAATTAGTGCATAAGGGCCGATGAAATGGCGCAAAAAGGCAGCAAAAAGGAAAATTTATGGAGCCTTCCCCCTTCTGACTTTGTCTATGAAGAAGAAGCTATCACCAAAGTCTTTAAAAAAAGGCAATGCAAACCGAAATATGTTCTGACTAACATGAACAATCGAAAACACGTTCTGACTAACATGAGCAATGATATTACACAGGACAAATTGAATCACAAAATTAATGAGATAAGCGGAAAGAGCCTTGAGGGAAGCAGGTCCTCATTCCTTGATGGGATTGGGAAGATAGGCGGAGGGATGGAGGCGAGCGACGAGCCGGTTTTGGTCCGAGGCAAAACGGCCAGTACCTCGGTCTCCTTGGGGCCGTTCCTCTTCTTTAACGTCGCCGCCGTGGAACGAGTGGCCGACGGCGGCAGCGGCATTGAGGTCAAATCGAGTGGAAACGGATGCGGGAGGGGGATTTCTTCACGCCTTGTTCCTTTTTATGAGGTGCCGTTAAGCTGGAGTCGTGAGGGGAATGAGACTGAGAACGTCTTCTGGATGGGAATCTTTCAGGAATTGACAAGAAGGTTGGGAATCTACTCAAGTTTGGCCAGAATACTCCTTGATGAACCAGGCGAAGATCCTGAAAGTTCCAACCTGCCCAACTTTCTAATTTTCGAGAAAGGCCACCCCGAAGTCAAAGGAAACCCTCAAAAATCCGTTAAAATAGGCTTTTTTGGAGCTTCAAGCCCTTATTTCTCAAAAACTAGGCACTTTTGCAGGTTGGGACTTTCAGGATCTTCTTCTGGTACATCAAGAAGTATTCTGGCCATTTTCAGAAAATTCCCAGCCTTAAAGTTACCTTCCTTGTGAGTTTTCACCCACTTCGGTGACTTTAAAACCCCGACACAGCGTCGGAAAAATAATTAATCTCGCTAGAAAGTTTTATAAATTATCTTAAAGAGTATCAAAATCCTTTTTCTCAACTATGCGGCACCTAAAAATTGAGCGCAACGCGGTCGCGATGCGGTTTTTGGCGCGATTTTGAATTTTTTGCATTTTGGATTTTTCCTGTTAACAAAACGGTTTTTTTTTACATCAAATTCTTTTTTTTTAAAGTTTCTTAAGTGATTTTATAAAAGGAATAATGAAACTTATCCCAAAAAAACTACATAAGTGGGATAATTTTTGAATAGACGCTAAAAACGTATCGCGAACGTTTCGCACACACTGTTGGGATCGTAGATGAATGGATTTTTCAAAAAATTTTTCGAAAATCAACTTTCACTTTGCATTGAAAGTCGGATGAGCTTTTCTTTTTGAAAAAATGCTCTCAAAGTTATTAGCAAAATCGGCTCTTCGCTTCGAGACCTTCATGAACTTGGCTATGCTCCTTTCAACGTTACGGCAAATATTTTTGAGCAAACTAACGCAAAATAAAGAGAATTCTCAGTGACAAGCCCTCTGAGAGAAGTCCAACAAGAAGCTAGATCTAAAAGAGAACTTTCAAGTTTCAGAAGAAAAAAGAAAGCCAAGATTCAAGATTTTCAGC